CGAGGCCAAAATAGCCTTAAATGCGAAAAAGTCACGCGTAACTGCTAGTATACGCTAGCGAGCAGTTAAAGAGGCTGTATAGACTATTATAATTAATTATATAGCAACTCTTACTAAGCATTATACGTGTGAGCGACAGAGCTGTCCTAATTTTGGTAATCCTTGCTATAATCTGCCGTTATACAGTCATATTTAACTCAATAGAGAGCATCTTTAAGCATGGAATCAAGCTATTAAGGATGACCCTAGTGTTGATATAGCGCATCCTCTTATATCTCTAGCTTAATAAATGACTAGAGAGAAGGAGAAAGAGCTCGCTAAAAAGCTACAGCCTCTGTCAACTCTATAAGCAGCGTTAACAGCAAGTTTAGCGTCAGCTAGGGGGTTGACGCTCAACCTTAATCTTTCTGGCAGTGCTTAATAGCAGGATACTATGCTTCGCGAGTCTGCTGATAGTAAGGATTAATATAGAGGTTTAGCGACGCCGTCAAGGGCGAATTGCAACACTTTTGGAACGGGCAGTACCTTGAGAAGTTTTCAAGATCGCAAGGCCGGCTCTGCATATTTTCAATTTGGTGCTGCATGTTGGAAGAGGGGACAAGGAGATGGAGCTGTGCATGAGCATGACATTTTCCTCTTCATTTCTTGTCTTCGCGTATTGTTGTAAACTAACTTCGCTTACTACGTAGTAGTAGGGGATCTAATGCAGAGATCTGAGGGGCGAGCCGAACCGATAATTTCAGGGGGAGGAACCGAGGAGTCGGGACAATAGTTACACCGCACACATGCATTTTTGCATGACCCCGACTTCCATCCTTTCGAGTATTAGGTAACATGTTCATTAACTCACAGAACAAATGACTCTGAACGGTATAGGCAGATCATGCACCAGAAAGAGCCCGTAAGCTTCGCTCTAACTCGGTTCTGATCTTCAGGGCCTTACCACACCGCCACAATCTCCGTCCAATTCATGCGTAACGTGTCTCTTGTTTCACTTGTGGGGGACACATTGCAAGCAGGAAGAGTGCCTCTGACGGAAAGTCTGGAGACTAGTAAAGGAACGCTAGGTTGGCCTGCAACACCTTGGTCCGAGAGCCGCATGGAGCTTTAGCGATTGAGCTGCAAGAAATGCCGTAGTGGGCAGATAGTATCAGGGGAACGGCCGGCAAAAGCTCACTCTGCGATCTTTATGTTGTGAATGGATGGACCGTTTCAATGGCTTTGCCACCACCGAAGGGAAGTCGACTTGAACGTACCATAGTGCTTCGGGTGAATGATCATCCTAATACCATGTTGGTGTTGCTGGTGCTGTGGATTAGGTTGCTGTAAACTCTAACTCACAATGCTGGGAGAGGAGAGCCAAGCGCAGATCGGTTGGTGACAATCGCATTGACCCCTGCTTTGACTCACTATGACAAACTCCAGAGATGGACATAGAAGACTGTATGCAAGGATCTGAGTCCAAATGCGCTTCGACTCCATCTCAAGCTGATCACTCACTTTCGCGAATCTTTCCAACCAATACGACTATCAGCCTCGCTTGATCATGGACTGGATCCTTTCGTCTATTGAAACTTTCGTCGCTGCTACTAGCAATGCTAATCCCAAGTTATGGGCCTGCAATTTCACATTACGTAGGCTTAACCGGATGCCTGGATAAGACTATACAGACTCCTGGATATATAAGTCCTTCAGGATCGATGCAAGGAATCTAATCCACCACAGCAGATCCAGTCAATCCCAGAGCAGCCGCGAGGTCTCTCCCATTGAGCTACAGCCATTCCGCTCATCTACCGAAGCTTCCATTCAAATGGCCAGTCTCTCCTCCTTCCAAGCCCAAGAAGGCATTATCAAACTTCTCACCCTCTTCATCCTTGCCTTCAGCTGCCTGTCCCTCGTCGCTGCTGCCCCTACAGAATCCGGTCTGACCACTCTATCCGACGTCGAGAAGCGCGATGCCAGCACCCTGAGCCCTCACGACGTCGATGCGCTCGCGATCCGCGCCCCAGTTGCCGCTGACAACGAAGTCTCCAAGCGCGAATCAGCCGGTCTCTACTGGGGTCCGGTATACATCGGCAATCTCAAACTGACGCTCACAAACCCACACGATGGCTACGCGGGCCCCAAATTCCCCAACGCCAACCATATCAATTTCCACGTCTACCTCAGAGGGCCCCGAGCCGACTACAAAAAGGAACTGATAAATCTGCACATCGTCCGCTACGGCTCTGGCGGGCGTGATTGCCTGTACATGTGGGATTCGGTCTCCAAGAAGACTATCTTTGACAAGTGTTTTGATGATTGGGGCAACGCGATCCCGGAAGCGGTGGCGGCCGCAAAGGCGACCGTGGATACGCTGTTGAAGAATGCGGATGCGATTGCCGCGGTAGCGATTATTGCCGCATTGGGGGTTGCGTTGGCGGCTGTATTGGCCGGGTTGGGTGTTGCGGTTGTGATATAAAGGGAGTGAGTAGAAACTTCTACAAAGGATATCTGTCATTACCATCTTCAGGTCGATCGAGGAGGAAAGCGAGTATGTACATTCGCAGGGCTGGGGGGGGAGAACAATTTCATTAGCGTCTTAATGGCTGGACGGTGGGGGCTGAGTACATAGGATCACGCAAGCTGAGACTCTCATTCACAATACGTCGTCTTCCTTTCCTCCCTTTCTTTCAAACTGTCAGTGACGTTCTTCACAATGCCCTATTCAATACTACTAGTACTAGTAGTAGTACTGCCAGACGAGCACGCCAAGCCTGAGACATCAAGGGGGTAATGCTTGGCACCCCTTAACCAGCATCGACGATCATCCATAAACCATCAGAGTGATATGGGCATCCTTTATAGACGACTCCCAAATCTTTGCAAGGAAGGCTTAAAGATCCGCAGCATGGCTTCCTCGGCCGTCTTTATAGTACCGACTTTCCATAAAGCTGGACTCATAACAAAGCCAAGTTGAACCGTCCGCACCTTCACACGATCCCATCAGATGAAGATTAGCGACTTATTCAAGTAGACGCTAAAGAGGGAGATGTGGCTTCGAAAGAGCGCTATCACATTCAAGGTCGGTGCCGGCAGTGGGTATGACAGCAGACTGGGTCAGACAGTGTGTTAAGGGGTGCTGGTATAGCTAGGATGGTCTGATAAAGAGGTGAGAGGTTGAGGACGATTGTACCCCAAATCACCTTTCATAGCAGTGGCGTTGCATCATCGATCAAGACAGTAGAGGCGTGGGTGAGCGCATCTTCCCATCGCCGCAAAGAGGGAAGAAAAACGCTGCGCAGGGTAGGTGAAGAGAGAGATTCTTTGTATTTTCAAACCACTAGCCAGCAGCTTCTGTTGCGGTGGTAGTAATCACAGGGCAAGAAGGACAGCAAAAAACAAAAAAAAGGCTATGAGCAAACCCGGATTCGAACCCTCTCCCTTTAGTTAGCTACTACTTTCAAAAACACAAAAAGTTCACGGCTGTACTCCACTCACCACCGCCCGAAGGTTAGGTAGCTACTGGAAGGGGAGACACAACCGCTATGAAAACTTAGCTGACTCATCTGAGGTTTAAGGCCTGTTTTCCAAACCCGCCGCCTTATCCACTAGGGTCTGGGTGTGGGACGACGGAAATATAGTGCGGAATAATAAAATATATACTAAATATTCGGTGGTCTGCGCGTTACTGTAAGTAGAGCAGTACAAGTCTTTCTTGTTCTTTAATTATAAGTACACAACCAATAGGAACCATTTTGTTTTCAACTAAAATTCCATCTGAAGTCGTCTTGAGGAGTAGATTTTTGATTGGAGTAGTCTTATAATGATGAAGAAAATGAGCACTCACTCAAGCGCCGTTCATAGCCACGCTATCGCACACCTCATTCAGTATCCGTCAACCGTGCCCCAGCGACCGACTACCTGGCAATCTGTCTTCGGGCCCATGACGAGCAATCTGTCCTGCGAGCATGCATGTCCATTTCTCGTTCTCACATCCAAAGAATGCCAAGCAATCCTTTGCCATGAAGCTCAACCCTTTCCCACCATGAACCGCTCATCGAGTGTATATTAACTCCTACTCCAGCTTTCGCAGTAGACACAAACATGTCATGCGGAAGGAGAGAACCGATGTTTTGGCCTGCGTCTAGCTCATTCACCTGCTGCTGCCGTCTTGGCACTGCACATGGTTCGTGGAGCTACAGTGGGTGCATGAGTTTCTGAGCGAATGACTAGGTTCCTGGGGTAGAATCGAGGATTAGTGGACTTGCCCACGCTTCCCGGCTGCAGCATATTGCAACCCGCCAGACTCGAAGGGATGATGGGAGGCAGCATAGTTGCGGGATCGAGGATGACGGTCAAACTCGAGATCTCCTCAGTGATGGAAGGGTACATGGTACCTCCTACTTCGATATCAGCAGCGGTGAGCGATTCGGCATTGGCTTCCATCATAAGCAGAAGTTTCGGCGACAGGCGTATCGCGTCTCGGTTGAGAAGACGGGTATAAGCGGCTACTCAATGTCAGCTCTTTCAGGGTTTACGGAGCCAGGAGTACCTCCAGGGGACCTTACCATCTTGATAGCCGCCAAGCTGCTTATTGGGAAGAATCACCACTTCATTCCCACGTACATAGCATGAGAAGTTGTTTCGAGTGACGAAAGACACATCGAGCGGCGATAGCTGAGTCTTGGTAAAAGTCTAGAATTCAGAAAGGTAATATTGGCGGTCGTCACGTCGTCTAATATCCATGATATCTCCACTGAGATCATAAGAGATACTTGCGTTGCCCGCAGTAGCAATCGCAGTGTCAGTATAGCTAGAAATGGCGCTCTGCATGAGCGTATAAGATCGATAGATGCTTTCACATCATTGGTAAGCTTCCACCTGTAATAGAAAGGTTGCAGCTACTTCGAACGTACTTTGCAACCAAAGACACCCCCTGTAACGAGGACAAGGCATCCCTTCCTCCAAGAGGGGCAAGAGCGTGCTCCAACAGAGCAGCGCCCGAAGTGGCCAAGGACGTTGTGGCCAGCGAAGCCAGCCCAAAGGCAAGGTATGTCAAGGATAGAGCCATTCTGAAGGATGTGTAAAGCAGTACTTCCAAGATGGGGAATGCACTAACTCGCAGATGAAAGAGAAGAGACAGATAAGAATTGTATTCAATGGGTAGACCAACCATATATATATCTGATATCAGCGATGTAGGAGACATAGTGACTCTTTTCAACATGATTCCAGCTAACGCCTGCTGCTCACAAGTGTACTTCTGAGAAGGTTCATGTTGGACCAATAGGACCGCGGCCCTCAGAGGACCGTAAACTAGCTTTTGTCTGACAGTTCAGGACTCTGCGGCAGTGGGCAGAATTGGCTGGCTCAGCCAACAGGAAGACAGCCTGGTCAGCTTCCAATCCTTCTGCTTTGTCAACCGATGTTATACACTGACTCATAAATTGCCATTCCTTTCTGAGAGGGCGTGGCTGGTTTTGGTATCCTCTTCCAACGGGTTGTCTCCGCCGGAGCCCGGATAAAAAATAGGAGTTTTATGACCTGGGCTCGGTGGCTGATATGGAGATCTCTTTATCATTGCGTAGCTATGAAAATACTTACACCCGAAGTCTTTCCTCTTTCATTTGTGTCATAATGATGCAGCAAGAGCCGACCTGCTATGCTTCACCCGTTCCTGAAGGGAAAAGGCTTGTCAGCAGTCAAAGGTGGTCCTCAAAAGCGGGATGGGAGCTATGCGCAAGATTATGGATTGATGATCAAGAAGAATCTTGGTTCCTAGATCTGGGACGGGAGGCGGAAATTGCCAACCGCTACCAAACCTTACCCAGTCTGAGCCTGAAAGGGGAATGGAATGGGACAACAGCTGTGATCTACGGGGTAACCGTACATCAGAGTGTAAAGGGTGCCAAATCTGGAACCCTTTTGACGCTGCTTTTGGCACCCTCTGCACTAACGCTAGACGGGGGACCTGCAGAAATACCCCCCGTCCACCCACCAGCGAGCTAGTAAACTTAGCGAGTTTGCATTCCTATTGCTAGTATAAAACCTAGCTTCGAGATTGGAGTTTCTACATAATACAACCTCCTAGATATATCTATAGATCTTTCGTAATTCTACGTTTTTACTCTTTTTAACGTCACTGACGAGATACTCTTATTACTTCTGATTATATTGTTACTCAGATCTGCTTTTCACTTGTTTTTCGCGTATTTTCGTCTACTACATGCAGTGACACATAAAAAAAGAGCCAATTCTTCAGGGGAAAAGCAGGTAACCATTTCCGTGCAAGGAGAAAGACATGCATAATTTCATTCGCTGTGCCACTTTCGAATGCGATAAAACCATAACCAGTGCCTTCCTCATCACTCCGGAGCTCCAACCTTAGCATACGCCCAAGACTGAATGTTCGAGAGTCGTTTCTTAATGGCGTCCACATCATCCTGCTTGAAGCTGGCGTTTGCGCTCCTCAACACCTCCGTCTCCTTGTCGAGGAACGGGTAAATGGATTCAGCCGGGTTTTCGGCGGAAAAAATCTTTTCAGCGAGCTTGCGAATTTGATCATTCAGCTCTGCATTGGCTTCCTTGTCAGCAATTGTCAACTTGGCTAGCACTGACTTCCATCCGCTGAACAGGATTTCATGATCATTTTGAAGTATCTGGTCGAGCCCGTTAGGGATGAAGCTGAAGTTGATATCATTTTTCTCGATGTCTGGGTCAGCCTTGGCTTTTTGATCATTGTAGAGAAAGGCGTTGTTCATGCTCTGGTTGTAGCCATCCCAGTGCTGAAGTAGCGCCTCCATGGCAAAAAACCGAATATACTGGTCCCAAGCAATGACTTTCTTCGCTCCAGATAAGCCTTGATCTTTGATCTCTCTCGCAGCGCGCAAGAGGTCCTTCCTGTCCTTGTGCTCCGAGAAACCCTCGAAAGTCAAATAGCCTTCAGCGAGGCGGTCAGGATCGAAATCGTCCAAGAAGGTGATCTCATACGCATTGCCGTTGTCGCTTTTGAATTGATTTTTGACGAATTTCTTCTTGAAAGCCTCGAAATTGACATACACGCCATCAGCTGGTAGGAACGTTGTTTTCACTCTTGGATTTCATCTTTGCCTCCCCAAAATTGCCCATTTACGCGCACAGTCGCGAAATTGCAGCGGAAACTGGGCAGATCTGCCTGCCGAAGGATTTCGTAGCCAAGCGGCTGGCGCACGTACGCGGGATCCTGCTTGCAATTATTGAAAACCAAGCGATCTGTTCCAATCAAATTCTTGATTTCATCTTCGTTCGCCTTGTTGAATCTTGTGAAGTCAAGTTTGATCGAGGGTTTCGTGAAGCTCAAAGATCCATAGAATGATTTCTTGATGATGGCTACTTGGGTGAAAGTACTCTTTTTCGGAAATTTTGTGCCGGAGATCGTGACAGACGTCGTTTCCACCCAGTCGTAATTTGTTTGTGGGGGGTCTGAGTTGGGCGCCCCGACCCCGCGTGGTGAAGCCTTCAAGACTGAGTCGTTCCACTTAGCTGGGTCGATAGCAATATCTATGCTCACGAGATTATCAATGCTATAAAAGCTATCAAGTAGGTCTTGAGCACCCATGGTAACCCTGCGTTAATCTATACTCCGCAAGGTGTTGTTCAAAGAGATAAGGTTTTCTGATCAAAATCAAACTTGGACATCGTGCTCAGTTTAAGTACTCTGTGGACAAAGGCTCGTTCCCACTGGCCACGTCACCTCCACCACCCCGATGCATTCTGTTTCTAGCTCGTGACATCACGTCGTCTGTTGAAAACTGGTTCAATCTTTTTGATTGGTTCGGAAAATGGGCTAAAGCAGATCAACAGCTTGGTCGGACAGCTTATAGCGCTTCAATGCGCGATAAACTGCATCAGCTGTAGCACACAACGGTATGCTGTGAAAGTCTCACCCTAAATATTGCCGTTTTGGTCTTTACACATGGTCGCGTGACCCATTAGCGGTTTATTGACATGGTATGAAGAGAGTCGGGGGCCGCAGCAAGGAATACAGAAAAGCAGCTAAGGGGTATTGTGGGTGGTTGGCTGTGTTGATATGGCCGATCCGAAGCCCAGACCTCCCATTACCCAGGCTGTTTCGACAGAGTACCCTCTTGGGAGAAGAGGGCTTTCACTCGCCACCTGAGACTTACAATGACGAGCTCTTGAACCATTCATGAAGCAGGTGAAAGGAGAAGAATGTCGATTTAACACAAGTCCATTGTATGATTTGAATTTGAGGTTCTTGTCGCAAAGAAGTGAAAAGATCAGCCAGTATATGGCAAGCCCTGCAAGCAAACAATGACTTGCATGGTGAGTGCATAAAAAGAGAATCTAACTCATAACAGCTGTGGTAGTCCTGTTGGCCTATTTAGCTAAAAACGTCAAAATAACACTAAGCCCCAATCCTCTTACCGCCGACCGGTTCCATAGTTCCCTAATTGGGTTGCGAAGGCCGTACGAGTCACGTGCAAGGAACAAGACAGAGAACACAGTGTATCATGGTTGACAGTTAGGTCAAAGATGGGCAATGATTGGACAGATTGGCCAGGAACTCGAGCAGGAATAGGAAGTTGAGAGGGAAACACTGCGCTGCAGGGTCCAGGAGTAGACTAGCGGGGTGCAATAGTGACGGAGCCCAAAAGCGGGCGGTGCGGGCGGTGCGGTAAGCCGGAGAAGTTCCAGACAGCGTCAGAAGGCAGAACGACAAGGGGGAAGGCCAGACGAGCAAGACACAGGCAGAGCGGGGGTGTTCCATGTAGGACAAGAGGCAGTGCCACTCTAATCGGGTAGAGCTGAAGCGGCAACAATCGAAATCATCACAATGCCTTCAGCAGAGTATTCCATGATTAAGATTTAGCCATCAAACATGTACGGAGCATGGCATCCACCTTTCTGGCGTAAATTGACATTTTTTCTATTGGTCAAGATATCCGCTAGCGTCTACTTAAAACGACATAAAGTATAATTGGGCGGATCAAACTTGATAGCGGCTGCTTAAGGTGCGCTTATAGCGGCAGCGGCTGCAGCAATCAATCAGAAAAATGTCAATTTTTACGCCAGAATGGTGGATAATCTGTACAGAGGAGGCTTCTACGGAGTACTGCCCTCCTCAAGGCCGACGTAAGGCGCTCGTGACTTTTGCTTCAACACATTGGCCCGGTCAGTGGGTCAACACCAACCGTGTCTCGCCCCATCATTATTAAAGGATCGATGTTCTGTCTCAACTTAAGGTTATTGGTCAAGCTCTGCCTGCATCCGTTAGGGAGGCTTTCACAGAACACAACCGTTCATGCCGCGTAATCAGCTTTCGAACTGTCTAAGTTCACCAAAGTACCACAAGGTAGCCTGAATTGCCGCCCATTCGATGAGAAGAACAGCACTCAAGTCCCGGCTCTTGGGATCATCCTGAGGAGCTATGTCCTCCCCACCAGCTCCTGAAACCATCACCCCTTCTCAACTCGCTTACCTGCTCTCCATTTACCCTGTCACCCTTGAAAAGGCATACAAGCTGAACACCCGCTTGAAAGACCCAAAGAAGCTATCCGGTGCTCTCGAGGATGACAGGTGGAGGTATGATCAGCTTCCAAGGATTCTCGCTGCCAGAAGAGCAGTTGGGAAGGAAGGTGAGAAGGGCGAAGGCGCACCGTGGCTCGAGAAGGCGGAGTTGGAGAGATTGGTGGGCTGGAAGATGTGAGTTCATCGCCTCCACTTATTGTGCGTGTCTCTGGTCGGCTTTCCACTGTTTGCAGACAGCGCTTCTTTGCTTTCTTGTCCTGGAGAAGGTGGTGTTGCTTTTAGCACCAGCTGCTTTCCGCTGAATCCTCTTGCACGGTTCTTGTTTGCTGTCTCAGACCAGCGATGCTAGCCCCTGTCGGCATGTTCGGTAGCGGGAGCGCGGGAATTCTCTACTTGAGTCGGAAGCATACAGTCCTTTGAGTAGCAGAGATGTAGGTATGCGGTCTTGGGCAGACGGAGTATATATCCTCCCCTTTTTTCGTCTGTGACTACTCCTAAACGCTGTGCCTCTTTCGCTTCCTCCATCGTACCACCATTGTCTTTTTTCCGATTTCACCATCACTGCGTTTGCTCATTCTGCCTCCCGTTAAGATCTCGATTCCCCCAATGCCCTTCCTCAGCAGCCCTTTCTTCCAAACAGCTCAGCCCTCCAAAATAGTCTCCTAACATCCCCTCAGAACCCACGGCACTCACCGCCCATTTCTCCCCTCCCTCATCCGCCAGAATAGCCCCGAACTCATCCAATCCACCACCCAATCCGCCTTCTCCAGCATCCGCACTCCCGCTCACACCCTTCCTCCCCAAGAACATATTCCATACCCCAAAGTCTCAACCTCCCTCACAACCCTAACCAAACCCCTGAAAGGCGTTGGCCCGGCAACCGGCACCCTCCTCCTCAGCGTCTACCACCCAGACACCATCCCCTTCTTCAGCGATGAGTTGTATGCATGGCTTGTCCTCCAGCGTCAACAAGCAGACACCAGGGAGGAGAAGGCGAAAATGAAGCTGAAGTACGACATGAAGGAGTATCAGCGGCTGTATGAGGCATGGGCTGACTTTAGGGAGGGCTTGGGCTTGAGGGGATATAGGAAGGTGAAAGCGGTGGAGGTTGAGAAGGTTGCGTTTGTGGTTGGGTGGTGGCATCTACTTGACGAGGAAGAAAAACGCCTTGTAAACATGGGAGAGGGTGGGCATGAAGCGCAAGATAAGGACGAGAAGCATGATGAGGTATTGGGGGAAGGCAGCGACGATGCTGAAAGGACGAAGTGGTTGAGACTTACGGAAGGGATTAAGGGAAAGGGCACCAATGAGGGCAATGCTAACGCTGGCAAGAGTGGGGATGGATTGGTCAAAACCACATTGACAGTTAAGGTTGGGGACGAGAAGGTGGTAAGTGTGCCCAGGAAAGAAATTGAGATGAAGAGGGAGAGGCAGCCTGTCAACGACGAACCCACCATAAGACGATCAAAGAGACTGAAAAGGTCATGATTTTCCTCGGTTCTGCTGTAGCTGAGAAGGCAGAGCAGCAGGATCGGCTGACCTGTAGAGCATTATTCATACCCTCGCATCATGATCTGTAACCAGGGGTGGCCGAAGGAAGGATTGTGTATTAAACTATATGCAATATTTGTGTATGACTCGAGGCTTGCGAACGAAGGTATCCCAGACAGTTCACCTGTTCTCCAAACCAGCACTGCAACTTCGGTCAACTCTCCCACAACCCAGCTCCACAAACAATGTCTCTTTACAAGAAAAGACCAAAGCCTGCCGCAACGACTGCAAGCATACCACCAGTCACTTCAACACCCAACGCCGAAGCGGCACCAGTTTCTGTAGCGCTGGCAGCACTTCCACTCGCGGTCTCAGAGTCAGACTCGGTAGAACCCGAAGTAGCGCTAGCAGCTCTTGATGTAGCCGTGCTGGATCCCGAGGAAGTGCTACTGGCCACCATCCTGGTTGTAGTCCCATAAGCCGACGCCGCAGCGCAGTTCTGGGATTGCTGCTGTGAAACCCCGAAGCGCGCCGGGTCGCCGGGACAGTTATCGTAGCAGGTCAATAGATCACCGTATTTCTGGCAGAGGCAGGCCCAATCATTGCCGGCGCAGCTAGAGACCATCGGTTGGAGTTGCGAGACACACGTGTCAAGGATTCTGAGGGAACACTGTTAGATAGAAGGATAGCTGCTTGGAGAGCGGATGGCTTCATCTTACAATTGAGCAGCACAGGTTGTGCTGCCTGAGGTACCAGTAGCAGTAGGTGTAGGAAGAGAAGTGTTTGGTGTTGATAGAGAAGGGGTGGCTTGTCCTGCGGCAAGAGAGGCAGCTGCGGCCAGAAGGAGGAACGTGAATTGCATCGTTAATTATTATTCTGAATACACGAGCAACTAAAAGATGGATCGAAGAGAAATAAGGATAGCAAGTCAGCAGTGAGTGATCGAATGATGGCAGTAGCAGCGAAGGAAGAAATAAATTCGTAAGAACACAGATTGTAAATAAAGGGATGCTTGGCACAAGACTGATGGACTCGGGACGTGATGAAGCTAATTTCCTAGACTTTCACAAACAAGGCGATTGACGCTGCACCACGGAGACTAAAAGTGCGCTAGATATGGACATCGGAGGTGGTCAAAATTTGGTCGCAGCAATTGCTCGAGATGGTGTGAGGGGACGCAATCATATCTGAGACATGCTTCTGCCTCCGTCCTCTCGAAGGCCTCATTGTGATCTGCACGTATGCGTTCGCCACGTCCTTGGCCAAGCCAGTTGAAGATCAAACCGTGCATTGTGAAACTTGGGACTCGCATGTGCATTTTTGCTGGTGGGAGGAAGAAAAGGGAAGGGGAGGGCAAGGACAGGGGGACAGCTTGTGTGGTGTGAAGTAGCGTTCACTAAATAAAATTGATCTCTTGGCACAGAGACCAAATCTACTCAGTACAGCGGAGGAGACATAATATTGTTAGCTCAGTGCTATTTAATCATTCAGCAAGCATAAAGGTTCTCTTGCTCTATCTGACCTTCTTAGCGGCGCATTTCACACTATAGATATCTTGAGTTCATCAAATTACGGAGTTGTGCATCAAAAGTATTCAATAAACGCTAGCTAGGATGATTTGAAGCTAGCCTTTCTTGTGCTAGCATAATGTTAGTAGTTAGTGGGGACCTAAAGATGATCAGAGGGGGCGGATGGCTGAAGCTTAACTGACACAGACGTCTGAGCTGCATCAATAGCCCAAAAATGGCCCTAAGGATCTAAGCGAAAGGGGGTCATAGCGGCAGCCCTAGAGGTCTACCACTATAGCACCAACAGGCACCTTTTTTACTACATACGTTACGCTAAAGCTTGCTACAGGGAGAGACATAATGTTTGTCACCTCCGCACTAGTATCTTTGGACCAAAACAATTACCAAACAAGCGAGGCTAAGCAGCACTAATCCAAAGATGGATTAATCAGAGTTGGTGGTCTTGCTTGTATGGCTGCTTGATCTTGTAAGCTTTTCGACAACTAATTAGCTATCTGTGGACTCGTTTCAGAACTAGTCACTACTAGCACTGTATTGATAAACATTATGCCTCCTACTGTAGTAGATTGAGTGTGTTAGTGGCGCTCTAGTTTTAGCATATATTGAAGACTCTTGATACATGACTCGGTACTACTACGTATACGACTGATGTCAAGGATGCTCACTGGGGCAAATGAAAATGGATGGTGTCGTCCCATGACAAGCAGATGCTAGCACCAGCCTAACATTATTTATGCCTTTCCGCCTCGTAGTATTACTTACCAGGAGAAGGGGTAGTTAAAGGTATGAGCTAAGTGCCGTTAGTGGGAATGATAGCCATTCTGTCAAATAACCACCACCATACTAATAATGATAAGAAAAGTATATTTTAGCCATACTTTGACCATATTTTCAGCAAAGTATGTTATAGATAATGAGATTTTATTAGATCATAAACGACTAAGCAGTCAGTATATGCTGATAATTACTCTCTAAGCAATCTTACAGTCAGACTTGGTCAAAGCGCACTTTGACGGCTCCCCTAGCATTATTTTGAGAAGGCCTCTTCCTGCTAAGTACTCCTGCTCGTGTCATTTTGCTTTCACATGGAACTTCTCAGGATCTTGAATCGTAGCCTAGCTCATGGCTCCGATGTTCAAACACATCAGCATTGTATGACCATCGTATGTGAGAAGAAGGGCTGGTAATTTTGGCTCTTAAGCAGGTCTGATGCTAAAAGGACCAAAAAGCCGTATCCAGGGCTGGATGTACAGCTTCACTATCTGTGGGTAACAGCACCTTTCGCCAAACTGCCAGCTGTGTTTTAGCTCCGACTTATCCGACCATCCCTAGCGACTTTGGCACGTCTCAGAAATGACAGTGCTTGACCGAGAAACAAATCTTAACATCCCGCTCGCTTCAAATTTGTTGTGGGCCAAGACGATGGGAATCCTCTTCAAGCGTCGGCTTGGAGCTGCTCCTCATCGAGTGGCTCTTCTTTGACCCTCTCCTCTTCCTGCTCCACATCATCCTTGGCAACCGCTGAGCTCTTTTTAGTCTTTGGGGTTCGTGGTTTCTTGGTTGGTGTAGCAGGTACTCCATCACCGTCCTGGTCCTCGTCGCCCTTGGTCTTGCGTGCGCGTTTCTTTCCCGTAGCCGGCGTGCCAGGAGTCGCAGCAGCAGCAGCAGCAGCAGCAGCATCACCACCACCCGCCAGCCCAAGCTTCGTAGCAGCCTCTCTGAATTTTGCTACGCGATGGGTGATAGCTTTGGCGGTACAGTCTTGAGAATAGAACATGTTAGTTGGTGGTTTCCGATACATACCTTTGAGCTTACCTTCACCAATGATTGTAGCCAGGCGCTCGCAATCGTCTTTGCTCACTTTGACTTGATGAAGCGCAATGATCGCAGAAGCGAGCTGTTGAATGTGGAATCAAGTCAACTTCAGGTGCTTTTGGCTGAGCGACCGAAATTTTATCTTACCTTGAGGTCGTTCTCAGCGGTCCAGGAAGGCATTTTGAACTTTGCGTGGTTGTGTGGCAATGTTGGTGGTTGATGTGAAGAATGCTACTGATCTCTGCGAAGGTGGGTGGTTTAAGTAGAAGTTGAAGGTGCGAGGAGGTGGCAGGAAATATTCGTCTGAGAGTTAAGAATTTTAAAGTAAAGAGTTCAGGCAGCGCACTTTAAAAATGAGCCTGTTTGCGGTGTTCGACTCAACATGACCTGCCAGACTTTTCCAGATAATACTCTGAGGATGTCCTCCACATCTGGTGAAAGCCAGAATCATCCTTTCCATCGATTTTCAACAACCTTCCACGGGATATTAGCGGCGTCTCTTTACTGAGTATACCCGACCTTGTGAATTTTGCTGATGGTGCTTCTGTTGCACTTTTTGACCGAATCATCATTTAAAGTTCGTTCATAGGGGCAGTGGAGCGCACAACTCCTTTGTAGGGGACTTCTTGCATTACGTAGGGTTGTGATCATATCTCCTTTTTCTCCTGTACAACAAGGATGCCATATACTGCCAAACAACATGACGTTGTCCACTAAATCCCTAAGATTTCTATTTGTCATAATAAGCCTTGTAAGTCGAGGGGAACACTGCTGCCCCTTCCAGCTCTATATTGCTTCGGACCTCCAACGAATTGTCTTGGAGGCGGCAATTGACTTTCGTCCTGAAACTTCCATCGCCTATCATCGATCTGCAATGTAGACTTCGTCGGAGTTCTTCCAGGGCTCCCAGATCCTCCGTTCGACGGCATATACATACTTGGATCTAGATTTGAACGACCTATGGGTTGAGAATGTGGAGACGGTCTACTTAGTGGTGGACTTGGAGCAGAAGCTGGTGGTGGCGGAGGAGCTACCGGTGGAGAAGTGGGTGGTGGTGGTGGAGCGCTTGATGGCGATAACCTCTGCGTACTGAATGCATTCCGGGCAGCTTGCATAGCAACCGAGTTCTGCAATCCATGCAAAGGGGTAGACGGAGCAGGAGCAGGAGCAGAAGACGGAGGTGGTGGCGTTGATCGTGAAGGTGGTAGCGAAGGCGCTGAACTAGGTGGTGGTGGAGGCGCTGCGGAACGTGATGGGCTGGCTGACAGCGGTGGGGGTGGAGGCGGTGCAGGCGGCTGAAATGCAGAAGACGGCTTTCTTGAAGTCACTGGCGGTGGTGGAGGTGGTGGTGGAGGCTTGCTCACAGGCACAGACACCGATGACGATGGTCTCGGCGCAGGCTTTGGTGGAGGTCTTCTGAGGTTTGCTACTAGCGGATTCGAAAACGGAGGAGATGATTCTGTAGATTGAGGAGTGGGACGAAGACCATTCACCTTGGGTATGGATGGTGCTAAACCACCAGGTGGAGCTGGAGGGCCCGGTGCTGATCCAATGGGTGGCCTTGGAGCTGAAGAGCGATTCGTTTCTGGATCAGAGCTGTACGAGGAATCCCCGCTCGCTCCAGTGTCAATACCACCTCCTCTCTTTTTGAGTTTGGGCATGCCTCCTGCAAACAGACCTCCCAATTGAGGAGCCGAGCCCATGCCTCCTGGTTCCCCTCCACTTCCTCCTCCAGTGTCGCTATTGCTCCGGACCCTGTTCACCCCGCCGACTGGGGGTGGAGGAGCCAAATTGCTTGGTGCTTTCGATCCAGGTATTGGCGGCGCTCCACCCAGGGGAGGGCCGGAATCTGACTTCTTGTGTATTATTGGAGCTGACCGATCATTGGTAATAGCCTTCTTGAGTGGTCTCCCTTTTGAGATGTCCGATAGCAGAGCTCCCTATCGCGTCATTTAGCACCAGAATACCAGTTGTAGTCACACAGAAAAAGCGGACAAAGCACTTGTTGAATGGAGGAACATACTCTGTCTTTGGCAGCAGCTTTAGGTGGTCTATTCGGGAGGCTGCCCGGGCCTGGTGCTCCTCCAGGAGGTGGAGGTGGAGGAGGGGGAGGGCCCCCTCCCGTGCCAAATCCAGGCATAGGCGGAGGTGGTGGTGGAGGCGGCGGACCAGGCATGATGAGGTTGTGGTGCAGTGTCAGAAGCAGGAGTCACTCAACTTAATGTGGTATATACATTTCAGCAGATATATTAAGCCTGCAACTGCTTACGGTAATGAGTCGGACCTGATGCGTAGTGGTATTGTTATTGAAGTGATTTACACCTATTGCCGCCGACAGCGTTTTTGTCACACCCCCAGGCTCTGTACTGGTCTGCAGCAGCCCTAAATTATTATTAGTTTCGCACTTTTAAGCACTCCTCCATCTGTACTACTAGTAAGTGACCTGTATTCCCACATCCAACCAGTTGTCTTAGCTTGTCAGCTTACTACGTAATCCATACGGACACCGAACATCTTGACATGGTTACATCTCTGTAGCCCCCTGGACAACATTATACGTATCTAGTACAGTTCCCTTTAGGCGCAAGTACACCCAGGTCATGCATTAAGGCAATCACGATGCTGAACACAGTTCTATTCCTGCACTGTCCCCAAATGATAGCATTAGGGCAAGTTCAGACTGTAAACTGAACCGTAACGGCAAGGTAAAGGCAGAGCAGACCATGTAGACTATGAGAGAACTCCAGAAGATTCATGTAAGCGGCAGCAGCTTTTGGCTACCTACCCCTCGTCAGAGACTGCAGTAGAATAAAGACCTCGTGAGAGCAAAGGTTAGGAAAACATTCCAGGATCCAACCAGGACATGAACTCCCACTGAACCTTGTCTGGAAGCATGCAGCGGAGTGAGACATTGGACCAAGTATGTACGATCCTCGTGGTGTGATTCGATGTCGTGATAACCAACCACCTCTTCGTAAGCATTTTGGTGTGCATCCTTAGTTGTGACCCTGCTTTTTCAGGGTAGTGCTCAACCACTCTAGCCCTTCGTACAGACCATCACCAGTAGTTGCAATCGTGGATTGAATGTACTATTGTAGATGTCAGCGGAAGAATCTGCATTGATGGAGACATCTTACCCAAGCACGTCGAGTGAGCGAGTGTAGACCAAGCTTGTCAGTAATTTCCGCAGCATTCATGGCATTCTGCAAAGCATGTTAGTATCAAGCACAAGAATTATGCAAGGACCAATCATACTGGAAGATCCTGTTTATTGGCGAAGATGAGTAGAAGGGCATCCCGGAGCTCATCTTCGTTCAACATTCTTTGCAGCTCCTCCCTGGCTTCAACGACACGATCTCGATCGTTGCTGTCAACCACGAAAATGATACCTTGAGTATTTTGGAAGTAATGCCTCCACAAAGGTCGAATTTTGTCTTGTCCACCCACGTCCCACACAGTGAACTGGATGTTCTTGTATTCTACCGTCTCAACGTTGAAGCCAATTGTAGGGATCGTAGTGACGATTTCTCCAAGTCTGCTAAGGGTAAGCAAGGGCCGCAGATCAAGATCGGGATATCAAGCCCCACTTCAACTTGTACAGAATGGTTGTCTTCCCGGCCGCATCAAGACCAACCATAAGAATCCGCATCTCCTTCTTCCCCAAGAACCTGTCAAACAACTTCGAGATTGTGAGACCCATGACGGCGGTGTCAGGAAGGAGGGCTTAGTGAAAACTCTACATGCACCGAAACTTGTTAGCGAGCGAGCGGCAAAAGAGCTTTGAGTGCTTGGATGTGAACAGTCCCAAAAACCAATTGAACAAAGGCTGCCTGGAACAAGGATGTGGCCGGGAGTGGATGACAAGTTGCCACAACCGCTTTCCTGGAGGGTGGGGGCGCAAGGGCTGAAGGAAGCATGACTTACAGAGGAGTATAACGTTGTCAGTGTGAAACTCGAAGAGCAGGAGAAATGATCAAGGTGTGGTTGATGATGTACCGTGTATGGATCCAAGCAATTAAGGTGCGATTTTTGTTTGGGTCAAGTCGGATGCTCACAGGTTGCAATTCTTATCACGATACGCTAACCCGTTTTAGTTCGGTAGCTCAGCGGCGAACGGTGAATGTAACCGCAGTTTTGGTTAACAGTATCTTTGAACGCAAGTGCCATCTCTGTGAATAACAGTGAGCGGTCTGCAGGGCCTTATCCCCGCCTGAAAATACTGCTGCCTTATAGACAATGCTAAATGTCAGTGGCTACATCCCTTCGAACCGAGAATGATCATTTGCACCCAGGCAGCTGGATATCGAGAGGACAGATCTGCTGAAACCACTTCGTCATGACAGAAGCTCAATTAAGAGGTCTGCTTGTTATGGGCGGTGCAGTTACTCGTGTGACATGCCGTGTACTCTACTGGATTTCTCTGAACATGTGGTCTTGTTCAACTCTTTTCAATCAACAAACCCGTCCATCGAAGCAATAGACATCTCTAAGGTCTCTACTACGGTCAGAAACGTGAAGTAACTGCGTATTCTGCTAATTTTGTGCTATTCTACAGCCTGAAATCATTTTTCAGCTTCACCGAAGAGGACTTCAGCATTCGAAACAGCTATAAGACTCACCATGCCTGGCCACCCTGCCAAGACAAAGCCTTCTTCTGACTCATTACTAGTAGTACTATGTACATGGTTCCTCCTTGTCCTTGTTTCTGACAAATATGTTTGATTTTCATCTTCTATACTTGCTTTATTTGCTTCCAACGTCCTCTCAACATCAGACGGAGCCAAATCATGGATATCCCGGCTGAGCAAGAGGCCGTGCTAATCCCAAAAGAATACACTGATGCTCTAATGCTCGATTTGGTGGCTCAAGCCTTTCGAGACATTCGACTTCGGGCTCTGCAGACTGATCCAACGTCTTTTTCTTCTTGTTTTGCTACAGAAAGTGAACAACCTCATTCGTTCTGGACAGAACGACTCCAAAATCCTCAAGCGAAGACCTTTGCCCTGGTACATGAAGCTTCAGGGGTACAGCATCATCATCACCCAGAATTTACCCTTCTCAGACCGTGGCTGGGCATCCTTGTGCTCCTGGGACCTAAACTCGTCGACATAGACGTCTACGACAATGATTCTCCGTGGAAAACAGTTCTGACAGAGCAACATGCCATTAATGAGCAGCCCCAGCTACAGGAGATGGAAGCGTCTTCAGTAAAGATTGCCCTGGCCTACCAGATTGTTTCTGTATATGTTGCAGCTGAGTTCAGGGGCAAAGGCCTTGCCAAGAAGTTGATGAGCTCTGCTTTAGCTGCTATTGAGCAGGACCTGAAGAATAAGAGGTTTGGCAAGGCAGTATGTACTGTTGATGTTGCAGACGGTATCTCGGTGGCAAGGAACCTGTATCAAAGGATGGGGTTCGTTACAGTTGCCGAAGACCAGTCCACCACGGACAATGGGCGGGAGTTCCATGGCTCTGTAATGCGAAAAGCCATGACCTTCCAAGCCACGAGAGATGCAAGTGTTGTATAGAGTGGAGGCAACATGGAGAGACTGTTGAATAATCACACAATCGTTCTCATTCCCATCATTCATAGGCAGTACTGAGTTACTACTAGTACCTAGTAACTGTTAGCAAAAGGAGGCTCAATGCTGGGCAGGTCCGAAAGCAGACTAGTCTCAGACTAGTGTCTTAGTCAGCTGTAAACTTCCCACATTTGCAATATCGATCTGTAGATTCTGACCGCAGCCTACTAGTAACCACCACCTGCCTGCACGCGCCAATCCTCACCATAAGAATCTCATCCATTCTTCTGGAAGACTGTTCTCATCATGTCGAAAATCACAGTCGGTCAGTACAACCTTGGAGTGATGCTGAGACACACTGTCACTAACAAAGAACAACAGCCGGAGTGCGCCAAAACGTGCAACAACTTCTCGACTACTCTCTCAACGAGAAGAAGCGTAACTTCCTCGAGACCGTCGAGCTCCAGATCGGCCTGAAGAACTATGACCCCCAGCGCGACAAGCGTTTCTCTGGCACGGTCAAGCTACCCACCGTCCCTCGCCCCAACATGGCACTCTGGTCTGTTCAGCCTCTTGCCAGATAACCACCCCCCCAGATTAACCCATCTCCAGCATCCTCGGTGACCAACACGACATCGACCGGGCCAAACACCACGGCGTCGACGCCATGTCGGCCGACGACCTGAAGAAGCTCAACAAGAACAAGAAGCTGGTCAAGAAGCTGGCGCGCAAGTACGACGCCTTCGTCGCCTCCGACACGCTCATGCGCCAGATCCCGCGTCTCCTCGGGCCCGGCCTCTCCAAGGCCGGCAAGTTCCCCACCCCGATCACGCACGCCGAGGATCTGAACGTCAAGATGACCGAGGTGCGGAGCACCATCAAGTTCCAGCTGAAGAAGGTGCTGTGTATGGGCGTGGCGGTGGGCAATGTCGGCATGACCGAGGATGAGCTGATCAGTAATATCATGTTGGCCATCAATTACCTGGTCAGTCTGTTGAAGAAGGGCTGGCAGAATGTGGGGAGCTTGACCATCAAGGCGAGCATGAGCCCGCCGAAGAGGTTGTACTAGTTCGGTGGTCGTTTGTGGATGAGGCAACACTGGAGCTACGATTCGATGCGTAGATGGGAATTCATGGAGCTCAACCCCTCTCTCATTGAACGAGAGAGACCTGCAGAACTGGAGCCGCTAGACGAAAAACTTACACACAGATCGACCTCTGTTCTGCTAGCACCTTGACACTAGATATGACAATGAAATCCACATGTTGCGCCTCCGCAGACCCGCAACACCCTGAACCGCATTCTTCACATAGACTGTGTTCGCAGTTGAACAGTGCGCCAGACAGCATGATAGATGATGACACCTTCACCGGTACCAACAATCTCCACGTAGCTTTTGCTTTGACCTGACCCTCAGCAAACAGGATGCCGGGCCCCAAGTACCAGTACCACAACAAAAGCTCGGCGGCCCCTTTAACTTGATTCGCTCACTCCATCCCCTCCAACAGCTCCGTCTTATCCAGCATCATGTCCCTTCTCGCACAAAACTCCTTGAGCGCCTCCCAATCCTCTCCGCGCTCCTCGCCCCACCTCCATTTCTCCCGGAACCCCCAGGCCAGGGCCACGCGATCGAACGCCGCCCTCTCCTCCTCCCTCAGCCACCGGTCCCGCAACCTCGTCCCGGGCCTCCAGACCACGCGTTCCATCTGATCGTTACTCGTGGTCAACGCCACGAAGCCCATGGTGGCGGTGGTGGCGACGTAGGCCATGATGCCGGCGCCGGTCAGCCAGGTGGCCAGCGTGGGGTCGTACGTGTTCTGCCAGTGGTGCGCGACGTAGGTCGAGATGGTGTAGGCGCAGAAGGGGGTCAGGCTGAGGAAGAGGAAGGGGAGGGAGGCGCGGCGGAGGATCTTGTGCAGCCGGAAGGATGGCGTCGCGACGCTGGTTTCGATTATGGAGAGCGCTAGGGGCAGGGATTTGACGGCGATGGCCGAGGTTAGGGCCGCGGAAGCGAGGTGCGTTGGGATGGCGTTTTTGGGGTTGCGTGGGAAGGGAGAGATGTAGGTTATGTTTTGTGAAGAGGTTGTTAGGGAGGAAGAGGAGGAGACTGATTTTGACGACTTGGATGCGTGGGGTATTGGTTTGTGAGCGTAGAGATGGAAGACCTCGGGTAGGTATTCGGGCTTGCCGAGGAGGACTTGGATGTGGACGTAGACTTGTAGCATGGGAAGTGAGATGTAGATCTTGGGATCGCGGAGGATGTTGTAAAGGTTCTTGGCCACGGTAGCTGATGCTTTTTGTCTGAAAGATATCGACATCTGAAGTGGTGCCTTCGCTCCTTGCCTAGCTGTTTCTTCCAGGCCGAGTATGGATGAAGTTGAGGTGACTGTAGCCTTTATCTCACCCGTGCTTCTCTCAGGCCATTCAGGTTCCCCATAAATGAGGAGCTCTGCGAGCTGCCGACTGGTCTCCAACAATTCAAGGACATCCAAATTATCCGGAACTGTCGTTGACGAGCGTATCCGCTTGCTGTCCGCTATCAATTGATCGAGTGCTTTTGCGGGATCTGAGAGATCTGGTTCCGGGAGGGTTTTCGCTTGTGTCTCTACTGAGCGCGTCGCTGTCGGGTCTGGTGGGGGCAATGCCACTTGCGAAGCAGTGGTTTGTGAACGGCATTGCAGCAGCCATTTACTGCGTTTCTTGCCATTAAACGGGAGACTCGTTAAGCTCAATAGGTTCCTCTCCTTCACGAAAGCCCTTGTGGACAGTGATACCGTTCGCAATGGAGAGCACTGGGTCTCCTGCCAACATGATCGACACACGAAGTTCGACCAGCGGAATAAGGGAGGGTTCATTGTGGATCAAGGGATGTGATGGTGGTCGTTCGACACGCACTCAATACCTGGGCATCCACGACTCGGAGCTGGACTTTCGGACCAAGCTTGATGGGCGCTATCTCGACGCCAAGCAAGTTACACAGTTAAGTTAGATTAAGGTTCAAACGTAAATGTTCACCACTGCACATGGTTATTATTATTATGGAAGAAAAGTCGAATCTCAAAGTGTGACAAGAGCTCATTGAAGGCAAGTAACTGAGAGTAGTTCTGCTGATTGTGTATTTACCATTCTGCTAAGTGTGCTTGATGCACGTTGTAATCGCTCGGTCCTCCATGATGATGCCTCTGAGTGTCTCTGATATGGTAATCATCTGCCTGCGAGAATGCTTTACTCCTCAGTCTTTGAAAAAGCTACAGCTCTTCGGCACCTGAATCTACGGTCGAGCATCTGTCATCTGTCACACTGTCCGTTCTCTCCTTCAGCATTCAATCTCAGTCCGAGGCCAAAGCATTCTGCAGCTCGTTCTCCTTCCGGGTGTCAACACCACTCACCCACCATGCCGCAGCCCGGATGATGCTCTTAATTTGTTGGAGCTCTGCTTCGTCCCTCGGCCCGTAGATGATCATGAAACAACGAGGACACGGCCAATGCCACCACCAGGTGGTGCCACGGGCGAGCGGATGACGTTCTCCCCAGCCTTTGTCTAACACAATCTTCATATCCTCTGGATGCAGGTGAAGATGCATACTACCATCGGTCTTATGCGAATGGACGATCTCCACATAGTGGTCTGGCTCGTTAGACGTTCTGAATCTAGAGAAGAGCGCCTCGTTATGCTTTTCGAACATGGATCTGGCAATATACCAGCGAGAAGGACACTCATTGACCATTTCGCGGATCATATCTTGCAACTTCTGTATCATCTCTGGAGAAGGATTTTGCGTGATCTGGCGCTGTGGAGCAATTCCAAGCAATTGCGGACGAGGACCTTGACGGGCTTTTAGGTCTTCTAGAAAACCATTGGCTGGTCGAGGCTTTGCAGGGAAGACCGGGACGCGGTATGGATCTCGCAGTTTGAATAGACTAATCAAAGAGAGTTTGGTGTAGCCTCGAAACGAGTAGGGAGTGCCGCCGGGTCCTAATGACAGGAACAACTTGTAATCTCGTTCGATGTACTTGTATCCCATGCCGAAGAGAACAAGTGAGAAAAGCCACAACACAATCTGAAGAAAGCCGAGGCGGGCGAAGGGGACAAAGGGTGGAGATGGTGGGGTGGTTGGCAATGACTTGATCCCGCCATTGATGGAGGTGGAGACAACGCTCTGATATTGGTGAATCATTCTGTTCAGAAGAGACGAAAGGGTGATGCTTGTGCTGTTAGCCATAATCACCATGTCCTTTGGGCTGATGTTGAAGATGGATTATCCTCCAACAGTAGGGAGATGGAGCCAAAATCCGGGATGCGAAGGGTGAAGGGAAAATGGAAGACTGCAGGAATGGGAGGAAGGGAAGGAACGAGTCAAGCTCACTTGAAATTGTGTGGATCAAAGTTATACGCAAGGTTGGCCTCTTAATATTCACGTCCTCTTCTACAGGCGAAACAAAGTTTGATCACCACAGTCGGCCGTCAGATAGAACAAAAGCATTCTCTCCAAGTCCCGTGGCCACAATTTGAAGCACATGCAATAGTCTTGTTGTCTCGCGGGCATTGGTAGATGCAGTCAATGTGAGATGTGATGGGACCACCTGGCCGTAGAAATAGAAATATATCTACGTGCAGAGTGGCCTGTGAAGTACCTTTTTGACCTAGCCAGGTTGTCCGTGGTACGGCCCATGATGAATTCTGACGTCCTGGCTGGATTTCACTGTTGCACCCTTGTTGTCATAGTGCAGCTCACAGCTTTAAGCCGCAACTACGGGATCAATCCCGACGAATCCTCATCACGGGGCGTTGCAGGGCTCGTATCTATCCATCTTAGTACCCTTTGGTGTGGGGAAGGGGCCTTTAGACTTTTCCCACAAAGGGATAACCTACGTAGTACTCCCTACATCCGCAACACATGGACGGCTTGGGCACTCTTCATTGGAGCCCAGGCGACTGCATACCTATTATTTGCCTCGTAGTTGTAGGTCCCGTATAGGGTACGAAGGTATCGTCTGGTCACTATAGCTGGGTATAAGTCAAAGCAGAACGTCAGATCTTCCAGCGGTGAAGTTGGGTGAATGCATGGGACTGGGTAATTAGGCGGCTATCCTGCAGCAACTAGCCATCTACAAACCGGTAAGCTAGTGGGATGATCGTCTGCTGCACCTTGTGACGTTGAGGCTAGTCTAATAGCAGCCATTTCTGGCACTGGAAATGCCACGATGGCAAGGCATGGCCCACACAGGTAGCAATGGCGAAGATGCGCTGACCCCTCATCCAGCGCACAACTGCCACGGGTCGTAGAGACTAGAGGGCTTCTTGGTGATGAAAAAGGCTGTTGTGTACTTGAAGGGCTCTTCCGTATTGAGGCAAGATACCCAACGGAGTAGTCATCAGGGAAGCCGGCTCATCGTTACTAGCACTGGACGATAATCTTGGTGTCTGGAATTCGACGAGGGTCATCACATGATGCTGACCTCATCCCTTATTGGCTCTCAGCATTGCAACAGACAGCGTTGCGAATCTCTCTTGATGTGACAGTGTTGTCCTCCCTGAGCATACAGTGCTAAGCAGGAGGCCTAAGCTGTACCATGGGTTCATCTGGTCGGCTGCTCGGCTGCTCGGCTGCTCGGGACACCAACGAGGGAGTTGGTGGTCAGATCGAGGACGACCGAGATTGGGGCCAAGTGGCGTCCAAAAACGGGTGTGCTGCCAGCTGCGCAAGCAACGCCTGTTGCGTGCATAAGATGACTCCCTAACGTAGTATGGACAACTCAGGAATAGTTATAACAATACTCCGTATAATAGGTAGTACTTCTTGATGCTCCAAGGAATGCTTGCCTGCAGTTGGCGAAACTGGAAGAATGCATCTGCAGGCGAAGCGCTTTCGTGCCTTATTGCTTGCCAGGCCTTTCATTTCTCATTGCATCTTCTGACGTCCAACAAGGAGCTCGACAAAGTGTTGTACTCTTGTGCCATGGCTGATCAGGGCTTGAAATGCTGCTGGTACGGTGGTGGTGGTGTTGCTGCTGCTGCTGCTGATGATTCGATGACGCCCATTGTTTACCTGGAATCGGTTGCCGCCAATCAGCATGGCCCATCAGCCTCGGCCCCCCCAACCTTTTTACCCTTTGCCGCTCATGGTTTGTCCATCTCCAGAACCTCGAAGCAAGCCAAACCAAACCAACACCGAGTTTTCTTTGACCAGTTGCCCCTGGTGTGCACTGTACATACGTCTCTGGTGTGGAAGCACAGCTTGCGCGGTCTTCTATTTCCTTTCCCCCTACGAACCTTCCGAGTTCCAATTGGCAATCCGACGGACGGCGGACTTGGTGTCAGTACCGCAAGTAGTAACTCCTGAGAAGCACGAACACTTCCGCCATCCACCTTTCGCATCCGAGATCTTGGGGATCAAGCTACACTTACGGCATAGCTGCGCATGACTCAAGTCGGGTGTTTGCCATGTCCCGGCGGGTCAGGACGTCGTCAGGCTTCGAGATAGCACCACCAAGCCGCAATCGCGCATGTTCAGACTTGGAGAAGGAAGCATTGGGGCTATCAGACCCCGCAGAGGACGAATATGACGAGGAAGATTCGCCATCGTCCTACTCCTCCCGCGCCACATCATCCTCCTACCAGCCAATGCTTGGCAATGCTTACTCGCAAAGGGCCATTGGACGTCTCCCCTTCAGAACCGGTCAGGCGGTGATGAGATGGCTGTGCTGGGCGGTCGCGGCAACCATCTTAGTTTTCATCTTCTCACTTGCACATTTGAGCTGGAGTTCGGGAAAGAGAGTACAGATCGAGATAGGGAAGTCGAGTCCACCTCCGCCTGCACCATGGGAGGCATTCCCGTTTTTAGAAAGATATTACGGAGGTGTTCGCAGCTTGGTGTCTCGCAGTGTGAATGTGCCGGAGTACCCATCTTCGGATCAGACCTCTAGCAGTACAACGAGAGAACACACACGTCGAGGCAGCATCACACCGGAGGCCTTCAATCCATATCCCGATTACATGTCTGACGCATATAAAAACCAGTATGGTATAAAAGTGGATTGTTATCTAGACAGAGAGAACAAGATTCAAATCCCGCCAGTCAGAATTTACAATGGGGTGCCAAATGGCTTCCCAGATCCTGTCATGGGCACGAACTCGTTGTTAGGGATGCGGAATGACATCTGCTATGACCGATTTGGACGATTGGGTCCTTATGGACTAGGTTACAGTCTTAGTCGAGGAGGAACTGGGGCAGCCCTGGAGGGGGATCGTGACGGGGCCGATGGGGTGTGGGAAGAGGTCCCGCAGGTTGACTACAGAGCCGTACAATGGGTAGAGGCACAGCAAACATGCACCATGGCAAACAAGGACAGATTCGCAGAGATCAAGTCCACTGGGTCCGAGAGATTCCGATCTATGCAGGTGGGGGGGCTGGCTGGACGAGAAGAGGGAAGGGAAGATTCAGGAGAGCAGGCGCCAGGTGAGAGTGTACCATCAGAGGGTCCAAGTCCGCAACCGGACAAGACCACCAAGCTGCCTAGGACCGCCGTGGTGATCCGCACGTGGTGGGATTATCCTTTCACCACCGAAGACATGCTCTATCTCCGGTCTATCATCGCTGAGCTCTCACTCAATTCAGGCGGCGAGTATACTATCCACTTCCTAATCCAGGTGAAAGACGACAATGCACCCATCTGGTCCGACAACGAGACCTACGAACGCGTTCTACGTGACGCCCTTCCAGAAGAATTTTGGGGCATGGGCACTCTCTGGTCAGAACGACAGATGGGTCTCCTGTACGGTGGACTCGCAGAATCATTCACGCGAGGCCTTCCTGTGCATGGTGTCTATCGCAGCGCACACATGCCATTACAGTACTTTGCGTATACCCATCCCGAATACGACTTCATCTGGAATTGGGAGATGGACGTCCGTTATACAGGACACTGGTACCATCTTTTCGACAGCGTCAGTAACTGGGCCAAAGCGCAACCACGAAAAGGCCTCTGGGAACGCAACAGCCGCTTCTACATTCCCTCCGAACATGGATCCTGGGAAGACTTCCGCCAAATGGTGCGTGTCCAAACCCAGCTCGGCACCAACTCTCCCAACAACATCTGGAGCGGCCTCCACATTCACACCGGTGCCGGCAGCACCACCTCCAGCACCGGCACTGGCACTGATAAACGCGAAGGCGACATACCCATCTGGGGTCCCGAACCGCCTCTCGACGACGACAACACCACCTTCCCCACCGACCCTGTCCCCCCAACCACCTACGACGCCGACAAATCCACCTGGGGCGTCGGCGAAGAAGCCGACCTAATAACCTTCAACCCACTCTTTGACCCCTCCGGCACAACCTGGATCCTCGCCGACGACATAACCGGCTACAACACCGCCCCGCCGAGCTGCAATCATCACCGCCTCCCGCCTCTCCCGCCGCCTGCTGATGACCATGCACCGTGAAGTCAGCCTGAACCGGCACACCATGTTCTCCGAGATGTGGCCCGCCAGCTGCGCTCTGCACCACGGCCTCAAAGCCGTCTACGCCCCGCACGCGGAATACATCGACCGTCGCTGGCCGACCAGATACCTCGAAGCAACGTTCAATGCGGGCAGGAATGGAGCGAGCGGCGGGGCCAGGACGGCGGTGTTTGGAGACCCCGAGCACAATTTCAGGGGCACGACGTGGTATTACAATGCGGGCTTTCCGGAGGTGCTGTGGCATCGCTGGCTGGGATATCGGTTTCATAATGCCGGGGGCGAGGAGTTTGAGGTTAGTGGCGTGGGCGAGAGGGGGGGCGGAGAGGGCAGGATGTGTCTGCCTGCTATGCTGCTGCATCCAGTTAAGAGAGTCGAGTTGGTGGTTGAGGGGCTGAGGGATTGATCTGTTCGAAGGGAAAAGGGAAAGGGGTAAAGCTGCGAGTAGATCGATTCAGGGGAGAGGTGAGGAGGGAAGAGAAGGGAGAGGAATCCTTGTATATAGATAGGCTTGATATTATTGTATCGGTGAGGAGACTTGCATGGACAGACGGACAGACAGACAGACGGATAGAAAGGGAGGAGCTTTTGCTTGTTCTCGAACAGTTACAACCCCGGCGGAGATGGATGCACATACATACATACCTACCTAGCATGAGCCAAATGTCGAGATGAGAGTATTACATCAAGACCCCTGCATATGTATAACATATACCTCGTCGAGTCTCGTGCCTAACTTAGTTACTTAGGATGGATGTCGAAGGAATGGCCGCCAAGGAGGAACATTCCCACTGCCCATGATCAATCATGAGTACTCCGCACCATAAGATGGATGGACACAGATACATCAGAGATGCAGCAGTAGATGCAGCAGTAGATGCAGCAGTAGATGCAGCATTTGTATGCCATGCCGTTTATTTTTCTTGGTTGTCTATCAAATTAATTTTTTATTCAAGTGGACTAAATACTAAATGGGGCGACGATATATACTACATAATGTGATCTGTACACGAGTTTCACTCCTGCTATAGCCAACTCCTCAGCCTGTCTAAGCCATCTCTCAACACCCCCCTTAACCCGCCGACCACCTCCTCCACGCCGTACGTGCCCGTATAAACCAATGCGCCCATCACCACCAGCGTGCCCAGCACCTTCGCCACCGTCCTGACCCTCCTCTTGACAGCGCCCTTCCTGGTGTATGTGGCCTCCCAATCGCCATACCGGGGAAACATACACCGCAAGGTGAAATGGATCTGACTCCACGGATACACGGTCGCGTTCCAGCCACTCTCTTCCTTGAAATACCAGCTCTTACACCCGCCCTTCTGCCAAACGCTGTCCTTCAACGCGTCTTGAACCTTCTGCGTCCATCGCCGCTCCGCCTCCTCCTTCACCTCGTACGTCCTCACCTCCCCGTCCAAGATCGGCCTGATGAAGTTGAGCGAGTGATTGACCATGTTCTCCGAGGCGAGGATCACGGATGAATGGCCCGTCGCGGTGTTGGGGCCGAAAATCAGGAAGAAGTTGGGGAACCCGTCCATGGCGGTGCCGAGGTAGGCCTGGGAGCCACCGCGAGACTCCCAGACATCGTAGAGGGAGCGGCCGTCTCGCCCCTTGACGTCGAGCGGGTGAAGCCATTCGCCCGTCTCGTAGCCGTTGGCGAAGATGAGGGTATCGCAGGGAATGGTGCGCTCGGCGGTGGAGACCTTGCTGTCCGTTTGGGACATGGGTGGGTAGTGGCGTCCGGGCCCGAGGGTGACCGTGTGTTCTTGGACCGAGGTTAGAGGCAGTGAGGTGAGTTCGATCTTTGGGTTTTGCAAGCTGCGGAACCAATCACTGTCCTTGACGCGGCGTTTGCAGCCGACTTCGTAGTCAGGGGTAAGGATCTCCCAGTATTTTTCGGGTACCATCTTGTGCATGTAGGCGATGAGGGTCTTTTGCTTTTCGACACGGTATTTTCGCGCCCTGGCGCCAATGCTGAAGGTGCGCAGGAATTCGAGTTCGATAAGGGCGAACAGGGCTTTGCGAACGGTCCATTGCAGCCCAGGCACCAAGGAGAACAGGGCCGGTGTGTTGGACTCCCACCATTTGACCACCTTGGGACCGAAGGTGGGCTCAACCCAGCCCGGGGAGCGGAGGAGTTGTGTTATGGATTTGGCGTTGTAGGGTGGTTTGATGATTTCCGGGGTCACCTGGGCGGCGCTGCAGCCGGCACCTAGGATGACGACGTTCTTGTCTTGCAGTTTAGTGGTAGGATCCCAGCGTGCAGTATGGAGAATGTCGCCTTTGAATCTGTCGAGGCCGGGAACTTCGGGATATGGTTTTGGCTCCACGAGACCGCCGACTGCGCTGGCAACAACCTTGGCCCGGATGGTCTCCCTTTTGAAGCAGACCTTGGCAATGCCTTGCGACTCTGCTATAGCTTTTCGTTGTCTCCCGCTCAAGTCACCCATTCCTGGGGCCATGTGTTCAAGAACCAGTTCCCATTCCTCTTCATCATCGAGCCAACGTATCGAGGTGACATCAGTATCCGTCTGGATTTTGTCGAGGATGTGAAATTGCTCGCAGACATTGTAAAGATATTTCGCGATCTCTGGACCGGAAGGATGCAAAGTGCTCCAACCCGCATTTCGAGCGAACGAATACGAATAGCAGATGGTTGGGCTTTAATTAGGTTAGACTGCGACAAGACACGGGGATTTCGAGTGAGGGCGTCTCACATGTCGCAAGCAACGCCAGGATAGCAGGTGGTGTACCAAGTGCCACCAATGCCGGATTTCCTTTCAAAGATGCGAAATTGATCAAAACCAAGCTTGGATCTCAATTGACATCCCATGGCGATTCCCGACTCGCCAGCGCCTATGACCACGACAGGGTAGTATGTGTAGGCACCGTCACCAAAGGCATTGACCCGGCGGATGGTGTTGACGGCGTTGGCCATGGCGATGATGATCGATATCTAGGAACAAGGAATGAATACAAAAGAAGCGTAAGAAAGACACTGGGCTTTCAGACCAAGTTGAGAAGTCAAGCAAGAAACAAACAAACAAACAAACAAATGTTTTTGGGTTACAAGCTTGTAGCCAGGCGATGTAGCTCTGCCAGAAGAAGCCTGTGAGAGACCGCGAGACGCTCCATCAAGAGGATGTTCTTGCCCTTCCCGGGGCGCTATACCGAAACTAGCACTTGCACCAAAACGCCCAAAGACGAAACCACCGTGGCAAGGCGGCCGAATGCGGAAAGTACGCGGAATGGGTTTGGGGGGGAGATCGATACGTAATCGAGTAGCAGTGTTACACTGCGGCGCCGCGTGCTTGTCCTGCTGTTGATCTCAAGGCTGAGCCGAGGTTGAGCTTGAGAGCGGCAAATACACTTACGGCCGTTCTGTGCGGGCGACCAGTTAGGGGATAGGCTGTTGTTCCGTCCAGGTCAACCGTTCCCTCGGGCGTGGTGTTGTACACATGGGAAATGCCAAATAGTACGATAAGGGGCAGAAATCATTTTAGCATGGTTTTACTACGTAGTAATAGCTAGTTATGATACAGTGTCACATGGGTGCCCACGTAGTAGAAGCCTCTCTGGTCAATGGCCATAAATATCAGCTAGAGCCGTACCGCTAACCGTTCAAAGTTTAGCTGTCTCGTCAACAGTACTCTGTTCTGGAGCAAAATTACTAGCGCCTTGATAACATCACTTCTGCATGACGCTATGATATTCAAGCTAAATCTGGGCGCTGGCACGTAACAGGCTTGGCATATCTAGCCAAGCCATGTCACATGATACTCTTGCTATATATTGTTGTAGCTACTTATAACTAGGAAATCAGACTCTTTTTACTTCTGATTTCACACCTGATAGCATTGTATTCCGCTCTTGTGTTAGGGCTCAACTTTTCAAGACAAGTCTCAACTGTAGGTTGGGTCCAAGTGGGTTGGTTGGGTAGAACAGGGGGTGCAATCAAAGATACTTCTGAATAGCCTCAAGCGAGGGATGAGATGATAACATTGGTTGACTACCAAGACAAGGAAACTACTTGGGAAATGAGCGTGCTTATATAGACTAGGAGATTCGTGCTCATGGGTGATCAGACATGATCACTCCTGAGCGTTGCTCACCAGTCCCTCCTCATGAACACCTTGCTCAAGGTTGTCTCCGCATGAGCGTGTCCTTTCGCCAAGCCCTCGGGCTTAGGTAGTTCCAGGGTCTCCTCACACAGGGTCCGTGCAGCCAACAAGGCCTGTCGGTGCCTATTGTGTTCACGTGCTGTAACATCTTGCACGACTAGTTACAATTTTGTATAGGGCCAGCAAGGCTCTCAGGGGCTCCTCCCTTAAGGGCAGCGCTGCAGATGATCTATAGAGATTATACACGCTTTCTGTCTACCCTGAGTATCAATAAAATACGTCTTTCTCTGTAATAAGAATAAGAATCTGTAGCCGATCTCACCTATGGACTAGGCTGCTATATCCTCTGTGTCCCTAAATGAGCTGTCTTCCTAATTGGGACTAGTACGATTCGTCTATAAAAGGCTAATTATTATAGCTATGATACTATAAATAGTACTATTCGAAAGCTAACTAGAAGCGAAATTGCAGTAGAAATTGACTCGTTAAAAGCAGGTGAAGAGATTACGCGGCCAATAGGCGCTCTCAGAAGTTCAACAGCAGCCTTTGGGCCAATATTTAAAGCTGATGCTCCTCATTTCCCTTCTTGATGCAGCCTCTCTGCTTTCTTGATGCTCCCTGTCTCCCTTCTTGACGTTCCCAACCACCTTTCTTGAAAAACATCTGTTACTACAAGTGTTCTAACCCCTCATGCGGTGCGAAAACTGTCGTCAGATCGATATTGACAACATTCGCAACGGTAGAAATATCCTTCAGCAACCCTCCTTCCCAGACCTGCGACGCTCAGCTGAATCAGGTTGTGACCTTTGCCATCTCTCCTATGTTTCCATTGTCACCGAACGATCAGATTTGATTGACAGACTCCAACGTGGAATCTACCCTAGAGATGAGACCGAGCAAGATTTTGATACAGAGATAACATTATGGGGGGAGGTTCATGATTTCTATTCGTTGGGCAAATTGAGAGAAAGAAGTGATAAAGCATTTGTGGGAATTGGAGCCTCTTCCCCAGGCAGAAATTTGGCGACCCGACTCATGATCTCTGCTGAACTAGGTGTGTATTGCAAAATTTATTCAATGACTTTTGAACTACAGTAACTTCGGTTACTATTCAACTAGGCACGCCGCCTGCTAAGTATATTGCTGGCCGATTACCGTCACAAAATCCAGGTCATCAAGCCACCATGACCAGAGTCAAGAAATGGGTCAGAAATTGTGACTCAACACATAAAAAGTGTGCAAGCCGTAACTACTCCGTCTTTCCAACGCGGATTTTGGATATCAAGGGTAAGCCCATTGTGATTGAGACAAGGGGTAGAATGGATGGTAGTGAGAGGCAAGATTATGTGGCTCTCTCCTACTGTTGGGGAAGGAGCGGCAAGAACCTATGTCTGACAATGGAGAAGGACTCCTCCACAGCGATGTCGATATTTGATGTCTTCACCTCCACCGGAATTGAAATGGACCAGCTTCCGAAAACTGTCCAGGATGCAATCGTCGTATGCCGAGAACTGGGTGTTGATTACCTCTGGGTTGATGCGCTTTGTATCATACAAGAGCAAAGAGACCTGGAGGATTTCAAAGTTGAGGCACTGAAGATGTCCCAGTACTACGAAAATGCCTACCTTACGCTCATCGTCGGATCTGCTCCAGATTGTGCCGACGGATTCCTGAACGATCTTCCCGAGCCAAAAGCCTCTCCGTGTGAAATTGGATATGGTCGTATGACCTTGGGGACGCTATATCCTGAAAGTGACATGAAGGGGGTGGTGAAATTGTCGCTACCCAGAGATTCAGCAAAAGGCCCCCTCTCCAAACGTGCTTGGCCTTTTCAAGAGGAGAAATTAAGCCGAAGAACCCTTACTTATGCCTCTGAGATGGTCTTATTCTCGTGCCAAACGATGTCTGTCAACGAAGAAGGAAGCTTCTCGATTATCCCTTCTGCCACTGCGGATCCGGCCACTTTCGACCCTCATCACTTTGATTTGCATACGCCCCACGACTTGACTACTCACGATGACAATTCAAAATCCCAGGAACTTGCCTTCGACCGGTGGCGACAGAGTCTCATTTTGTATACCGAGCTCCAAATGTCCAACTCAATGGACAAGCTCGCGGCAATCGCTGGATACGCCAAATTTCTTGGGAGCGTGATACGTTGCAAATACATGTATGGGCTTTGGAAAGATGACCTACACGTGGAACTGCTGTGGAAGTCGGTGTATGCGACGTCGACGTTGAAATGTGTCACACGGGCAGTGGATCGAGCACCATCGTGGTCTTGGGCTTCGATCGACGGCAGGGTGAGCATGAGCCTTAGCCCTCCTATGCGAGATATGATTCAGAACCCCAAAAACCAGCGGTTGGCGGTTCTGGATTGCAAGAATATCTCCGGATCTTATGATCCCATTCGGGCGAATAAGAGTGGATCCAGAGGCTTCGAATTGAATGTTCGCGGACCGCTGACAACGTTGTGGCCTGCTCAGAAGTGGGGAAAGTACAAGCAGGAGTACGTCTCATTGCGTGCAAATGCGGACGGAGAAGAAATCGCCGTCGGAAGTTGGGATACCCTTAAGGACTATCAGAGCAAACAATATCTGGACTATATGATTTATGCTCTTCTTGTGGTTCGTGGGAAAGGGCTCTTGCTGGCAAAAATCCAGGGTTCAGATCACTATCGTCGAATTGGGACTTTCAGATCTCTGGAAAAGGAAGATATCTTCATCAGAGATCAGGAGATCATTATCATTTAGGTAGCTGTCCACTGATGGGCCATGATACGGAGTAAGATGGAGGATGGCATTCATCGAGGTGACATATATGCTAAATATCCCAGCAGCCTAGGAAGCTGCACTCCCGACTTAATTAATTGCTTACTAGATGTAACTTTTTTTTAGAAAACAAAAGAATAGAAGGATAGAAGGATAGAAGATCATTCTGTAAATTCTGCGCATTCTGTGTACGCATTCTGATTTTTGATGGGGTACAGCTTAGCAAGATTCTGCAGCCTTAGCGCCCTAAAGCACTGCCTAATCCACAACTGATTTCAAGAAGACAGGAAAGGGGAACTTTATTCAATTAGAACAGTGATTCCCGCGGCCCGCATTTTTAAGCTTACTGCACTCTGCAGCTAATTGATCGAGCTTGGTGGTGTTTTCACATTAGTTAGATAGATGATTATACTTACTACGCTATACAGAGTCGTACATTAAAAGTCATCAATATACGCTAGAACTAGAGCGCCGCTAACAAACTCTAGCTGAAGTTAGTACTGCCTAATTTGTGTCCCACAGAGAGGGAGCCCTTACAGTGACCCTTAACAGTCCCCATAATTTCCTTGAATCTCTAGGGCCGCTTGGCCTTCTTTTAGGCTGCTAGGGGTGACTCACAACCTATGTCAGCTAAGCTTCAGGTATTCGGTCCATTAGCAGTTCTAACATCGTGAGTAGAGACTAGCATAGGACTACTACAAAGATAGCTAGCTTTACTTTATCGTAGTTAGCGGATATTCACGGCTTTTGATGCACGACTCCGTACTTTAATTTTAATTAGTCCTAAGATCCAATGACGACTCTTCGACTGACTAGGGGTCAACCAAGGTCTCATAAAAAGCTGAGGCATAAGTTACACTACATTTGGACGACGGTGGTCATTCCGTCGGCTCCGTGCTCGCTGTTCTTCAAATGCAATGTTGGACGAGACGGCCACCTCTTGTGCATTGGAAGAGACGCGCCTTTTCCGATTCTGGCAGAAGGTATCGAAACGGACAAACCCATGTAGCCCCTTCAAAAGCTCTGTGCAGTGTTAGATACATTGCACACTCTTCCAGGCACGGGAGCTTCCAGACGGTCCCTACTTTAGCCAGCTGGGATCGTGATACCTTTCAGCAGCGAGCTTTCAACCCCAAGCTCCCTGCTCTGCTTCCTCAGGATGAGTCAAAGCAACCTCCCGCCTCCCAGTCCTGGTTAGAAACAGACCATAAACGACCATCCCTACGTACTCTCAACTTTGACTACCTCACAAAATACGGCGACACGAGTGTACCCCTGGAGCTCACGCAAACCGAATCCTCAGGCAGACAGACATTCGAGCGCTTCCACGCTCCACTGAAGCTGTTCCTGGAATGGATGCAGCAAAATCAAGCAACAACCACGGCTAACCCCTCTACCCCATCTCCATCACCTCGTCTCTACCTCGCCCAATGTCAGATCTCTGACCTACCTCAACCTCTCCAAGCTGATCTCCCAACCCCCGAAGTCGTGCTCAAAGCAGGAAAAGGCGATATCTACGACGCCAACATCTGGATCGGCTTACCACCCACCGACACGCCACTCCATCGTGACCCGAACCCCAATTTCTTCCTCCAGCTCGCCGGCACCAAGACCGTGCGGCTCTTCCCGCCCGAAGTTGGGAGTGAGATCTTTGGGTCGGTCCAAGCAAAGCTAGGAAGGAATAGAAGTGCCGTATTCCGAAGCGAGGAAATGATGCAAGGCGAGGAGAGGGAGATGCTCGCAAACCAAGTATGGGGAGATGGCGATTCATCGCAGCTTGCCCCGGGTCTTCAAGTTGGTGGCTACGAAGCTACCGTAGAGCAAGGAAAAGCTCTCTTCATCCCACTCGGATGGTGGCATAGTATCAGGAGTGCTGGGACAGGAACGACCGCATCAGTCAATTGGTGGTTTCGCTGATGTCTTATTCCAAGAACAATTTCTCTCGTGTTGCTCTGCAGCAAGACGAGGCATGTTCAATAAGGCCTATTACCCGGAGGTTGATCTAGCAATGATGGTACGAAGGATGTCCGATCGATTCCGTGGAACCCCGAAGTCCGTCCTTCTAGCCTTGAGTTGCATGAATTACTCGCTACAGCAGAACAGCAAGATCCATCCACGTTCCATCTGGGACTCGACGCGGCAATCTCACCTTCCTATTGAGGTAGGTCGGACGTAATGAAGGTTTCTGTTCGTGGCACATCCGCAAACTCGTTTATTTCTTGGTAAGCGCGCAGAAGCTTCGTCACATGCTCGAATAGAGAGATCTGCTGCACCCACCGCTGCGGTAGCAGCTCGGAGAGGCAGCGAAATAGCTATGATCCATATCCGCTGCACAAGTATTCCAGATGCGGAGCTTCCATGCTCTGAAGACTCTGTCACTCTCGCTCTACAGGAGACGCATCACAGATTTACCGGCGCACTAGTAAGCCAACTCATATCATTCAAATCGAAATCAAATCCCATCGTCCCTCCACCGTCCGCACCTCCCGCATCCAACGATTCACCCATACCGGGCAGTAGCGCATTTGCCGCCTCCACCACCCCACCCGGCGGTGGTGGCGGCTTCTCCGTCCAGTGCGGTGCATTGGGCGTAGGCATACTCCTCGCTGTTGGCACTGAGGCGCTATTCGGACGCAACGTCGACGACGATCCTGCCGTGGTCGTGGACGCCGTTGGTGCAGCAGTGTGGTTATTTGGGCTAGTCGTCTCAGTGATCTTGTCGGCCAGGATTTCCAGTGCCAGAACGCAGCGCTGGACAAGTGGGGAGAGGGGTTCAAATGAGTGGATGATTTCCAGCGCGTGGTTCCAGGATGTGTCTATGTTGTAATTTGGGCTACCCATTGGTCTGAGCCTTGCAGCTTGGAGAACGGTGGCGGCGGAGTAGGTGAAGAGGATGCAGTTCCACCATTGTGGGACTGGGCCGGTGATGTTTTCGCGATCGAGATTGCTGTAGATGAGGTGAATTGCGTCGTGGGCGGCGCGCAGGCAGAGGTTGGAGCAGGCCAGTGCGAGGTGTTGAGGGAGGGATTCGTGCTCCATATCTGATGAGGATGAGGTGTATGTGGTATCAGGTTGGGCGAGGCAGAAGCGGGATAAGATAGGGCGGAAGAGGAGTATTCGGCTGTGGAGATAACGGGAGCGGAGGACATTGGCTTGACGGTGAAAGATAGGATTATATGAGTTAGGACTGCTGATGCAGTCGGAACGAAGATGGCTGGGGAGCGATGAAGCCCAAATCATGAGCGACTGGTCGAGTTTTAGTGTTTCTGTCAGGTGGTTGATGTTTGAATCACCAAAGAGAAGGTTGTACTGATCTCGGGATGCGTATGTGCCAATCCCACGGTTTAAGGAGGCGGAATTCTTCATCACCTTGGCCATGATCTCGAAGACTTCTAGTGTTTTTATGTAAAAAGCGATGACAGGCGGACAGTCACTTGGTTGGCCTCTGTCCATGTGCTCGTCGTCCACGGCATTGGGTAGCGGAACAGAATTGGAGCCGAGTTTATCGACCATTGCGGGTCTGTTGAATTGCATCGACAAAATACTGGCACAACCACGTTAGCGCACGCAAGCATCAGAGACAGAGCTCCGGTCTCACCGATCCATTACGACGCAGCCATGCCATAATCTTCGTACCAGCTCCCGTTGGTGCACATCGTCAATCCGAACACTGGTTTCTGGCAGATGCAGCCCCAGACCTTCTGCAATACGTACAGTCAGGCCCGTTACCATCCATGCTTGGTGTGGAGAATTGGTGCTCTGTAGGTATTGTCCCATCAAGAGCAGGCATTGAACCAGTTGAACCGATCCAATGTCCCAGAGGTCAAGGTTGAGCAAGTCCTGCGCACGATCAAAATACTTTCGAGCCGAAGACTCCCTTTCTTTAGGAGCCAGACTCTCTGAGAACTGCGAAGCTAGTGCAAAGACAACATTTAGAGTGCACATCATCAGTGATTCGTCGGATTCGGAAGGTTCGCCAGCCCAGGTACCCTCGTACATGCGCTGAAATTGTCGACGGTCAAGAAAGGGGTACAAAGGATGAACGGCGTTCCAGTATACATCCAACAGGCCATCTGCGGTTTTGCGAGATGGTAAGACATACTCCACGCTCGGACCATTGTGCGTCTTCGGCTGCACCGTCGGCAATTGGGGTAATGGGCTACCGGATACTACAGGAGTATTCTGACCCGGAGAGGGTGTATTGCCTTTGGCACTTATCGCAGCCCTGATCTGTTGCACAAAAGAGCCTGCACTTTTCGAGCCGAAGAAATCACATTGACCATAATCTGGTTCGGAATGCAATGGTTGAATGTTTCTCGGTCGTCCTTTTTTGAAGACCAGAGGTCTTTGCATCGGCTGATTGGGTACAGAAGTATACTGGCGCTGCTGAGGTGGATGCTGCAGCTGCTGCTGAGTGGGCATATCGTAGCTTTGGCCGCCATTGCCCATACGCTGCGAAGTCTGAGCAGAATGGCCCCTATGAGCTGACGGTGACCCTGTAAACTCAGAGTGCTGTGGATCCGCCGGAGACCATGGCTTCTCAAACGGTCTTGCGTGATTGATGGCTTGGAAAGTCCCTGGATCAGATCGTTGATGGGCCAAGGTAGGCGACTGACCCTTCTCGGCTTGTAGTTCGCGTAACTTGAGCTCGAGATGGTGCACTAGTACATTATCAGCCATCCTGATACAGGCAGACCTTTCATTATGCAGATCTGTTCTCGAGTCTCTGCTAAACATACCGTAGCCCTTGGAGGGCCCATGGCTCGTTCTCACTTCGGACGTGTATTCGCATGGCACGCCCCGATCCGACCTTCGCGCACAAGGTGAACATACAGGGCGCAACCCATCGCACCGTGAAATTGGTCAGACTATGGACCAATTGTTCGACAGGTTATGCTCACCTTGACTTTCTTAGCTCTACATACGTCGCAAGCTATCGCGACTTTTTGTCTTTTGGTAGCTGGAGGCCCTGGTTGGCGTTCCGGCGGAGGGAGCGGATGCATCATTCCCGGACGGGGACCGTCCATGATGGGCGACAACGCACAACGACCTCAAGTTTGTATCTCGAGGGAGCTGGATTTCTTGCTGATAGTGAGAGACATGACCTCCCGATGATATTCGATATTCGACGCGTAAGGCTTGCAGAAGTGAGAATAAAGTCCGAATGTTCGGAAGAGCAGGTCTTGGCAAGTCCGGCGTCCCGGACACCAAGGCTGATCTGGGTTGGAGCAGGCGGCTCTTACCGGCCACATTCCGATAGCGTAAGTAGTCATGCGCTAGTACTGCTAGTAATGCTAGTATCGGAGTCGTTGTTATGCCAAGACTTATGCCAAGCATCTACTATTACCGGCGAGCCGCACATCTCTACGGAGTAGCCCGAAGGCAAATGTAGATGGGGCTTCCGACCATACTACGTACGATATTTACGGCCTTACGTGCGTTACCTGACTCGGGTCCAATAATTAGCTTAGCATAACACGCAATACTCCCATCCATGGACAGACCTATGGATTTGTGGGCCCTGGTTGCAGCCTGTGGAGCTGTTTCTACCGTCTCTCCACTGTTGCGAACCACTAACTTACTCCATCTGCCAAATGATTCAAGCGACGAGAACGCACCCTCCAGATCAGGCATCTACTATGCGTTGAGGTTACTGGGAGACTATGAAGTTGCACACAGAAGCTGCACTCACCCTGAAGAAAGACTTTGATCGATGCTTAGATCTTGCTTCAACGCAGTTGCCAATTTCCCAATTTCCCAATATCTTTCCTCCATTCTTGCAGACCAATTGGGGAGGCGAATTATGGACAAAAAGGAATCCCCGAAGTGGTCTCCGCCCGCTTCAACGTCCAACCGACCTCTTGCCTTTTTGGGCGCTGGAGGCAGAGCAAAGAAGATAGCTTGTCTTTGGGCTTCTGCGGGATATGATGTGAACATCCAAGACTTGGACGAAGATCGATGCGATGCAGCGCTGTGGTATATAAACACAAACGCCTCGAACTTTGCAGAGCGGCTTGGTCGAGACTCCCGCCGAGTGGGCAAATGTCGAAATTTTGCAGACCTTGCATCTGCGGTGAACAATGTCTGGCTAGTGGTCGAAGCATGCCAAGGACAGTCGCAGTCGAGAATTGATATATTGGGCGAGGTAGATTCTATGTTGCCTACCGACTGCATACTTGCTTCGACCTCTTCCTCCACCTCGAACCTTATATTTGCGAGGACGACCACAAGGCGCCGGCACCTTACTTGCTATATACGCTACTCACTTCTACCGAACAATCGAGCTGTTGAACTGCTCCCTTGCCCGGAAACGGATCCAGGCGTCCTTTCTTTTCTTACCGAGCATCACCAAAAAATGGGTTTGATAACAGCAGTGTCACACGGTAGTTCGAAACGAATGGTGATGGATCGAATATGGGGCTGTGAAAAGAGAGGTCTTAACAGTGCTCGCAGAGGATGTTTCTGACCCTGAGGAAGTTGATACTCTTTGGGGCGAAATGTTCTCGGATCCAAGTAGTGGCAATAGAAGATGAATACGTTGCAGAGCGAAACCTGGAGAGCTCCTTCACATCAGACTTCTTACGGTTGAAGTATATCCAGGAAGGCAGGTTCGGGGCGGGATCGCCGAAAGGGAGGCTCAGGTTCCTGAAAGTTTCCAAATCCATTGCCAACGGGGACATTTATGTGCCAAAGACGCCATCACAACCGACATTGTTCTTCCTGGATGTGGGTGTAGGCGAAAATGTCCACTCTATGGAAGAAGCAATGACAGCCGGCAAGATCTTGACCACCACCCCAGACGGCAGGCAAATCAACACAATCGTTACCAGGCAATCCTACCCGGATGGAATCGACATTAGCCTCCAAGTTGGCCGTATCTTCTGGACCGACATGGGTGTAACAGGCTGCAAAGACGGCTCCATCATGTCGGCAACCCTCGACGGCTCCGACATCCAATACATCATTCCCAAAGGCCATGTCCACACTCCCAAACAACTCGCCATGGATCACATAAACTCCCACCTCTACTTCTCCGACCGCGAAGGCCTCTGCGTCAGCCGATGCAACTTTCACGGCTCCAACAAAACCACCCTGATCCAAACCGGCGACCCCGCAAACCCAGACCACGCAAGCGACCCTCTCCGCTTCGCACGAGCACGTTTTACTGGACGCAAAAAGGGCGCAGCAAAGCAGGCCAAGGCCGCATCTTCCGTGCCAACGTGACCACCCCCTCCCAACTGCACCCCTTCCTCCCGTCCCGACATCGAGCTCCTCTTCTCCAACCTCCCCGAATGCATCGACCTCGAAATCGAGCCAGGCTCGCAATCCCTCTGGTGGACAGACAGGGGCGAGCACCCGGGCGGGAACTCGCTGAACGTCTCGTATGTGGGCCGAGACGCGAGACCCGCCAACCCCGCGCTGGCGGTCCTGCCGGAACGGAATATCCTGACCAGACATCTGCATGAGGCGATTGGGATCCGGCTGGATGTCAGCAACCGATGTGTTTATCTGGCTGACCTGGGGGGTTCGGTGTACCGTGTTGGGATGGATGGGACGGGGAAGAGGGTGGTTTATTCGAGTGAGACGGCCTTTACAGGGGTGGCGATTGCGTATTTGGATTGATTGCTCGATGGATGGATTCAGGTTGGGGGGTTGTAATGTCTAAGTGAGGGACGAGAGTAATGTGCGGGATCGATGCTGGGATAGAAGCTTACGCGCACACACGACGAGGGAGAGGTTTTTTCTCTGCCACTACGAGAGAGTGAGTCCCCTGGGCAGAGATCGTCTGGTGCTGGAGAGGCGCTGGCTCACCCATCCGCTCGTCAGGAAATAATAAGTTTAGAGAAATAGAGAGAGAGAGACAGAAAGAAAGATAGACGGATGCAGTGAGGCGCGAAAGGGAGCAGTATAGAGACACCCTATTTGATCAGACGAGGTTTTTGTGTCCGCCTTCCACCAACGCTGGCTAGATCCCTTCATAGCGAGTCAGTGGAACAGGAGGGCCTCTATCACAAGAGAAGTCTGGAATCAACACGATTTTGAAATGGATTGTGTGTGTTTTTCCCCCCTTGCTCTGGCTCTGGAAGACTGCGGGCTCGAATTTCGCAATGCAATGCCATGCCACGCCACCAAAATGCCTTGCCATGGGCTATCGAACGCTCAGAGCCCAAATCCGCAAGCTCAAAGGCCCAAGCGTCGTTTTCCTTCCATGCTGTTGTGGTAGCCCACATAGCTCCAAGCAAAGCAGAGCAGAGCAAATCTACCACGCATCCAGTCAGAGAACTGCATGAGCCCGATGCCGCGTACGGACAGACCCTGCCACTCGGTAATCCCAGCAGCTATACCTATCGTACCACTTTCCCAGGCTGCTGAGCAACGTCCTCAATGCGATCCCTAGCCCTGTTGAAGTGACTGAAGTCTATTCCCTTCCATCATCATGCACGTCAAACCCCATTAAGTCGAGCATCATCACCTTCATCCCGAACGGTCACCTTGCTAAACCTGCCGGCCAACCCGTGATTCTCCTCATTCCCCTCGTCGTCTTCGATCCCAATCCCACCGCTGGCCCAATGATCATACCTATGCTTATCCTCCATCTCGGGCGACCGCGGTGCTCGAGCAGGCATAGGATATCCACTCCCGCCCGGATGTAACGCTTGAACATCCTCCTGGGCTCTGGCAATCTCCTCCTCCGACCTTGAACCCCATACTTCTCCTGATCGTGTCTCCTCTCGTATGGGTTCATCATTCCCGCCCCTTGCCCTGAAGTCCCGTCGTTCATTCTGTTCTTGCAGCGCTAGCAGTTGGTTCTGGTAATCAGCCAAAGCGTCGTTTCGCCGCCCTGCCTGCACCTCTCCTGGTGGGTTCATGGATGCAGAAGCCGAGGGTGGTGGCGCATTTTCCGAGACCTCATTTCTGGTTGTATCGGCACTCTTGTCTATCTCGTGAAAATCGTCGCCTCGCACTACAACTTGGCCGTCTCGGATCTTGCGCATCAGGGACAGGAACTGAGATTGCTCGAACTTGGGAGATGTTTCCCCAGCCATGGAGTTGAGTAGTCGACCGGCTGTGCGGGCGAGCTCGTCGGCATTGCGGCTGTTTTGCTCGGCGCTTCGTGTCATTTCGTGGTCGTTGTAGGATATGGAGTCAGAGCCGATGAGCATTGGTAGGTCTTCCTGTTCGAGGAAATTTGGCATTGGGGTCTGTTCGGGTGGTTCGAGAGTGGTGGGTTGACTTCTGTTGAGGTCGGAGCTTTGATTATTGAAGATGGGGTCGAGCCGGACGCCTGCTACTACTTCTGAGTTGGACAGATCTGATTGTGTCTCTTTCTCTTTAGATACATAGGCACCTTCTGCTTGCGCAAAAGCAGCTTCGAAGGCTGCGCTGTGTGCTATATCAGGGTATGCTCCCTGACGCACCTCTTCTACCGAGGAGGAAGGCAACTCTTGATAGATCCCTGGCTGCTGCTGGGCAAAATAATACTGCGACATTGGCTGGCTCTGCATGTAGCCAAGACCGGCCATCTGAGACCTCATGGGCTGTGCTCCGTTCAAACTGCTAAAAGAGTATTGTTGCTGTCGTCGCATGAAATCATCACGCCATCCGCCTGCAGCTCTTTCAACATTCGGCCGCATCAGAGGCGCTTCAGGTCGAAATTGGTTCTGCGAAATAGGTTGACCTTGAGCTGAACCCAAATATAGATTCTGAAAGTCTGCTGCCCATCGAGGCGCAGAGTGTCCCTTTTGTTGGTAGGGCTGAGGAAGTGACTGAGAAGTCTCGGAATGTAGATGAGAAGCAAACAGCGGCTGTTGATGGTACAAAGGTTGCTGAGAGCCAGCCTCGAAAGCGGCAAGCTCAGCGTCTAGAGAACCTGCTCGTGGATCTGGGGTACGGAATCCCTGCGGAAGGTGTCAGTACGACTTCAGGGGTCCATACAAACACGGAGGTGAGTCTACCTGTGCAGGGAGATGCCTTGCGCCAACGGTCCGATCTTGCTGGAGACTGCGGTCGACTTGGGAGTGATTCTTAAAGGACTGGAGGGGATTTGCTGGGCCGCAAAGTGCATCGGCCATGCTTGCGGGATACAAAGCAAGTCAAATGGGAGAAGGTAGTAAGAGACAAGTCGGGAAGACACAGGCAGAAGAAGTGAGGTTGTGGGTACAGACTCAGTGTGTGGTCACCAGAACCTCAGAACCTCAGAACCTCAGAACCGAGGCTGATGAGATGTAGATCAGATCAGATAAGATAAGATAAGATTCCCGACCTAGCCAAACGCCAAGACTTGAATCCACTGCCACTGCAGCACGCTACTAACGTACACTACCACTTGGCGAGACAGTTTTTCGCGCAGGGCGTTCGGCAACACTCAAATTTCGAACAGCTATAGCTCTACCAAAATAGCTCGAAATGGACTCAAACAAGGAGCATTCTATTCAGCAGGCCTCAAATGACGTTGATCTAGGCCTATTTGACTCAGTTCGTAAAGCTGCGAGCTATTACGACGTTCCAAATTCGACCCTGGCCCATCGACGCGCAGGGCGACCCTCTATAGCAGAAACTGATCGCATTTCACAACGGCTATCAAAACAAGAAGAAAAGTGCTGATTCAATACTTCCGAGACCTACAAAGGCAGCATTTATGCCCGAATTACGCTCAAATCCGTCGAATGATTACAAAATTGCTACTTAGCAAGGGGGATAAGATTCAATTGGGCAAACACTACGTGGAGCGTTTAATAGCTCGCCATCCAGAGCTTAAAACGCGGCGAAATCGACTAATGGATATCAAACGACTCATGGCCCTTGATTCTAGCGTTATTAAATGCTTTTTTGCCGAATTTAAACAGCTCTGCAGCTAAAACGCAGTTGAGCTGCAAGATATCTACAATATAGACGAAACAGGGTTTCAGATAGGGCAAATAGCGTCGAAATACGTTGTTTTTGACCCTGCTATAGGTCGCCCAGTGGCTCCAGCATCAGTTAATACTCAATGGGTCTCTATTATCGAGTGTATAAATACAGAAAAGGCTATTAAGCCCTATCTTATCTTTACTGGCAAGAATCCTGAGCATCATATGTTTCCAGAGCATGAGGACCTCCCTAACGTTATATAGGCCTTTTCTCCTAAGGGATGGACTGATGAAGGAATCGCCTGATTTGAACCCTATAGAGAGCATCTGGAGGTTGTTGAAGCAGAGGCTAAAGAATCGAGGCCTTATTACTGATCCAGAGGAGCTGCGGCGAGCAATTGAGGAGGAGTGGGATAAAATCACTCTGGAGGAGATCAATAAGGCAATTGCTACGATGCCCAAAAGAGTAGCTGCCGTAAATGAGCGAAATGGTTTTCCTATACTATTTTGAAGATAGAAGTAATAGAGTGGAGTGGGACTTCCGTCCCACTATTTTCGGCACCCAGCTCCGGTCCTAACCATCTCTATAGCACTCCGAAGAAGCTAGATGAAATTCGAGAGCTTCAAGCGCAAATTGAGGCCAAAGTTAGTCCTCGAACTCGACGCTCTGTACGCAAGCTCAGCCACGCAGCTATTCAAGAGCATGCTGGCGCGCAATTGCTTCAAAATGAGCTCAACAATTTACGCAAGCAATCTCATCAGCAAGAGGTCAAAAAGCGCTCAAAACGCATGCTAAAAGAGAGGGTGCAGCGTTCGTGGAATCTTGAGGAGGTCAGGGCTGCCAAAGAGGGCAGAGCGCCCTCCAGGGTGCAAATTACGCACCGTGGAGAGGATTCGTTACGCATAAGAATTCTCTCAGATAGGCTTAAATAGGAAGTATCGTCAGCTTCATTATTTCCTTAATTGGACGTGGATGTTGGGCCATTTGAGTGATAGAATTACTGCGTGAAGTGTGTGCAAACTGTCTCGCCAAGTGGGGTGTCTCGCCAAGTGGTAGTGTACGTTAGTAGTATTAGAGGCCCTTTGAACGGTGCGTAACTACCATGTACTGTCCATGAAAACTGTTCGGCTTCCTTCCCATCAGAAGCTCGTCGCATCCATTCCCTCATCGAGTCGGCAGCTGTGCTATTCAGTACGTCTAGCCTCCAACCTCAGCACCAGAATACCCATGGACCTCTGTCGACACCATTTCCCAGCTCAAAGCCATCCACCACCGTAGGTGGGCCACACCTCCAATGTCTGCCCATCATGATCTTTCCGCCTGGTATGATGACACCTTCGTAGATATATGCATAGCCGATGTCCTCCCAAGCAATCTCTTCTGGTGGGTGCAGGTTATCCTCCATCTCTGCAATAAAGTCCCTAGTCAGGTATGCTGGACCCAGTGGCCCCTTCAATTCTTCTCGAGCTTCAAGCTCCTCTCTCATCGCCTTCTCCTCTTCTTCGGAACTGGCTGGTACTGCATCATCTATCACCATCTGTGCTGGGTTCTGAGGCTGAGGCTGAGGCTGGCCCTGGTCTTGTGCCTGCATCTGGTCGAAAGCAGTTGACTGTTCGGCAACCCCTTCCTGGTTCATGTTCGGTGCTTCAAGAGCAGCAATGGGCTCAATCTGGTCGAAAGGGTCGTCATTCTCAGGTGAGTTCACATCCAGAACAGCAAGTAGGTAACGCGGCGTCGGTTGATACATTACCATTACAATCCTCCTCCAACCAGGGATCTCTTTCTGCGCCGGAAGCGGATGAATGACCCCTCTTACTCGTAGTGACTTGTATGCTGGATACATGTCTGGATGGCTCGTAGGCGAGAGGAAGGGGGCAATACCACGAATGTACACATGGCCACTATCTGCATCTGCATGCGGCGTTGTTGACTCGACTATTGGTATCGTTGCAAATATAGGAGGCCACCATCCACGTTGTGTAGAATTGGTGGCTTGAAGATCCAGTGTTAATGGATGGACACCGTCCTTGCCATACTGGAGCATCCAATCCTCTGCACAGGTTTGATGCTCCTCAATGTCTGTTATGTACCTGGGAGTAGGATGAGTGCAAGAGTAGTGCCCGTGCCAATGTGCTTGGACTTCTGCCGGTTCTTGGATTGCTCTGTCCCATGCTCGCGGTGCATGATTTCGTCGAACCAACATACGAGCCATTTCCCCATAGGTAGGGACAGGATTGGTGTACAATCCCGTAGCGTTGTATGCTAGGTGGCCATTCCAGAAGTTACGTATGTGAAGCAGGGCTTCGAGATCAAGTCTCAAGTCTCGTTTTTGGGGTTCAATGTCTTGAACCTGGGACTCTCGTGCATAATATATTGTTCTCAAAGGAAGTGCATAAAGATATATTATCTTCAAGTCATAGTTGTCACGTGAAGCCTTTGTCTCGACTGCAAAATCAGAGCTAGGGTGGAGTACCAGGTGGGAGAAGACAAGCTGTAACGCGGCAAAGAGTCCATTCTGTTTGCCGTACGGTACAACATCGTAAGCAAAGAAGGGTGACGACAGGAACTCTTCCATGTACGGAGCACTCTTGGGACTAGAAAGTACTTCCAGGTTTCGTGAACGAGTACGTTTCGGACCGTGTGGGCTGTGATATGTCTCTGTACAGGAAGTAGGTCGTCAGCACATGAAAGATAGGGATTGATAATCACTTTAGATGCTCGCTCCCGCAGCGCATCCGTCCCCAGCTCAGCGTGCCGCTTAGGAATCGGTGTGGGTGATATGATACTTACCCAGCACCATGTCTCTCAAAACCTCTAGAGCGGCTCTAGACCGAGCTGTACCTATGCTCGCGAAGGATGGAAATTTTCTCAGTACCAATTCACGAAGCTGATAGGCAACACGGAACTCATAAGGGCCTTCGATGATAGGATGATCATAGCGAGCCAAGAATCGTGTCCGCCAGACAGTTGACTTCTCAAGGACAGTAGCTGTTGCGAAATCCTTGCAAGTCAAGACGAAGTTCATAAGATCAGCATCGTCTGCAATCCTGATTGCAATCAATTCCACGATCTACAAAGTGGTCAATGTTAGCGCAGGCGAATTAATGCAATTAAAATCAATCGTCTTACTTCAAGGGGTAGAAGATATTGGATAGAGAAACCCTCGACTGCGGTATCGGGTTTCGGATGGGCCGTGTTCGTATTGGATGCAAAAGGGTCCATGTCGATGTCCATGGAAGACGTTAAGGATATGTTGTCGCTGAGCTCAGATTCGTCATCACCAAACATGGCTCTCTCTGCTGTCTGAATACTGTCAAAGTTCCAATTTCGAAGGAATTGAGACGTTATAGATGACCGGGGATGTTGTTTTCCAGTCATCGAAATGCAATGAAAAATGCTAGTGATCAATCACGATATTGTGCCTATCCCTCGATCTGTCGACCACTGTAAACATCAGGTCAACCAAAATCGAGATTTGCTGACTTGCTGGAACAGACTGGAGTGACTTGTCAGCAATGTAGGAGAGGCAATTTTACATATTTATGAGCTCACACTTAGATGAAGTTCAAAGTCAAAGAGGATAAGAGCCTTACTATGTAATAAAAGCCACTAACACAAATCGAATTGATTGTAGAGAGTGCCACATCAATAAATAGGTTCGAAGGGAACGAGCACGGGTCTCCACATCTAAGAGGGTATGCCAAATTCACGAGAATTCTAAAGCGATGCCGGCAAGCTTGAATATCAAGTGGATACCACCATTCAGAACTCACAATGGTACTGGGAGCCAGAAAGGTTGTGAAAAGCTCCTTAGATCTTTGCTAAATTATGCCGGAGAAGCTCTTTCCCAAGCGATCTGTCATGCAAATATCAGACCATAAACAACGAGAACAGTCAGCCCAAGCATGCTGGAGGCTGCGGCGCCAACTCTTTGAGCGACGCCAGTTTGCGAGGACTGATTTGTAGCCGAGCCGGCTGGGCTTGACATTGATTCTCGAGCAATGACATAGATTTCCCCGGTTGCATCGGATGTCATGAACAGCCTGCCTTGGGCGTCGAAAGCAAGACCGGCTGGCCTGAAACAGTTGTCAGGACATGCATCATTATCGACGTTTGCGAATATGTCTAGCGCAGCAGTCTTGTTGTCAGGAGCTGCAACAGGCTCCCCATTTTCGAAGGAAACCATCGCCAGCTTATAACCGCTCGGTACGTCTCGATTCCTGTGATGGCTTAGCATATGGAAGCAGACCCAATAACTATCAAAGATCGCATACCAGCTACCATGGAAAGATATCCATGCCTCGGTACCACTGTTGTTGAATTTGATGTCGAGGGGCGCTTGGTGAGCAATGAAAGTAAGTCTAGGAGGTATTTGGGCAGCGCAATAAGTGTCGTTGCCACCGTCTCCATCAGCAGCAAACTGTGCTCCAACCGGTAGATTGGCGTTTGGTAGTAGAGCTTCGGATTCCCATACAGCATAGCATTGTGGATATCCATAGTTGCCTCCTTGTCGCTCGTACTCGGTACCATTCAGATAGCCATGAAAATTCAATTCTTCGCCCGGATTATCCTGTCGAATGCTAGCACCATCTCTTCGCAGGTTATCGGCAGAATTCTCCACACTCCAGATGCCCCCTGTAATGGGGTGCTCCGCGACGCCTACAGAATTTCGAAGACCCCAACCGAGGCGAAGGCCGTCACTCGCGTAAGTATAGTTCTGGTCGTCTGTCAGGTTACCGATGTTGAAAGCTCTAAGTTGACTATGTCCGGATGTAATGTCGGCGGCTACCGGGTCAATGTTCGAGTCGCTGCCACGACTGATGACCAGGGTATCGTTGACCATCTCCGAGAGGAGCAGCGTTCGGGTACGATGGTCAGAACCACTCATTGCTCCCACCAAAGTACGCTGCTCTGAAGCAGACTGTGACGCGGGATCATACGTCCAAGAGAAAACAGATTCCATAGAAGAAGCATAGAGAACAGTTCCATCATTAGAGATGGCGATCCCATGATTCACCTGTGCCCAGCAATGAGCCATTGCATACTTGTTCAATGGAATTACGCTTACACCTTGACCACGAACCACTGTCCTCCTGCTTGCTTCTCCGACACATATGCCACCGCCATCGTTTAAAGTAAGGGCAGAAATTGCAGGATCATCACCTCTGGATGCCTCCACGACCAGAAGATGCCCAGCTCTGTCGAATTGAATTCCGCGGGGTCTTGCTAGGCCAGTTGCCACCAAACCTACTTGGTATCCAGAGGCAACAGTTGCCGAATATGATGGTCTTAGAGAACTCAGGCAAGTTGTTTGCGCAGTAGCCAGAGAAAGAAGGGCAGTCGATGCCAGAATAAAGTATGTATGTGTCATCTTACAGATGGAGACCTTCACCAAGGACGTATCCAAGGCAAACGAGGCAGGTTGTTTGGGATTGTTTGCTGTCTACCCATCTTGTATGGGACTCTGCAACACAAGTTACACGATGGAACGGTGGAACCATCGTCCACATCCAAGTACGTGTTTCTCTCTTGTGATTGAAGTCGTCGTAATGGCGCTGTTGATCTCACTTGGCATCTTGGAGTGTTGAGCGTGACATTTCAAATGCGTGAGATAATCTAGCAAGCTAGGGCTTGGGTGACTCTCTGGCTTTGACCAAAGTATGTAATAATATTATGTCTACCACCGTTCATGCCCTGCATTGTATACGCAAACCCCTGTTCAGCTGCAAGGTGGGTACCACGTTACAAGTAAGCATGATTTGGATTATTGATGACAACGACTGGAGCTGTCAGAAACACAAATCTATTCAACCAAGTTCGCTTTTTTCTAGTCAACCGTTCATTACCTTCCAAGACGAGGACCCGGAGTGAACAGACACTGGTGCCATGTGGTACATGACAGATATCCACAGCGTGCCACCCGTACGCCAAGTACCCAAGTGAGAGGACTCTTCCACGCCAATAAGAGGCTCAATAGCGGCCAAAGCCATTACCAGAATCACATTCCATCAGACCATCGTTGCCGCATCTTTCCTTCCACGCCGATGATGGAACTGCCAACCTAGATGAGTTTCCGAAGGAGAAGGAAAATGACCACCAGCTGCAACTGGTTAGGTCGCGTGCGATAACCAAGGTCCACCATGCGTAGTCCAACCCATTTCTCCTATTTTCGCATGTCGCTAAATGCATCTCAAACGCCGTAATGTACATCAATGAAGTTGGCCTCAGTCATGTCAAGCTGCTGTGAGTCATGCCACTGTCATCAAGTTCATGTGCCCAAGTCTATCTGGTTCGTTGTTACTGCCAGCCAATGACCCTTCCATATAACTGTTCACGCTGGTACTCTTCACGAGAGGAGGTTTCTGAGAGATTGGAGGAGATATTGGAGATGGGCTTTGAGGTCTATTGAATATCTGACTGAAAGGGGGATCTTGAGGCTCTTTTGGGGTCCGATCAGGACTTGCAAGGACATCTTCTGCCTTACGAACAAGGTCCTTGAGAGCTCTAGTAGCTACACCTGCCCTGATGACAAGATCACGTAGGTCCTGCGTATCGAAAGGTAGCTTTGGAGGTTGGCCCTGATCTTCGAACGGGGAAGACTCTATACCGGTACGGTTCTGATGAATTGTCTGGAGGAAGGACTTGGCCTGCGCCAAACTCTCCCCACGGGGCCGTCCGGTTGCCGGTGTTGTGGGTGCTGAGTTTAAGATTGCATTGATGAATGTTTTGTGTTCGTCCTCGGTATTGAGGAAGTGCGGCTGATTTGGCGAATGAGGAACAAATGTATCCACGTCAAAATCATCAAAGCCATTGGAGAAGCCGGGCGAGAGGGGTGGCACGAACTCCTCGTCATCCTCGTTCAGGGTGGCCAAATTGATGATGTTTTCTGCATCATCCCATAGATGATGTGAAGGCCCTTTCATCAAGTCCAACAAGGTGCCTTGGTGTTTGAGCCTCTTAAGTTCCTCGACAAGCAGCATAAATTCTTGCACCTGACCAAACTGGCCATGGACGCTTGCCTGCCGGTCGATGATGGCTTGGGGCACTTTCATCCCTGCTCCTGATCTCTCAGGAACCTGCTGGGTATCACATTCTTCAAGCTCGTCGAATTCGAAGTCGTCTGTCCATTCCTCGCTCACACCTTTGTTGCCGAGGCCCCAGGTACCGAACTTGGCTGGTGGGTACCCAGGATCACTGTCTAGGTAAGACTCCTTGGCTGCAGGGACGCTCTGGCTGCGTAGATGAAGAGCATTCGGTGCGCGGCGTCCAGGTGCGCGGCTCCCACGGCCGTCATTGCTCTGCTTGCTGTGCATCGTCCGGGGTCTAGGGCTTGAGCCATGCAGTGAGTCATGGTCAGATCGCTGTTGTTCCGACCAGTCGAAAATTGACAAGCGTTTTTCTTCACGTAGGTCGTCAAGACCCTGCCTGAGCGGTAGAGGTGGATGTTGGTGTGCTGGTAGCAGCGGCGGGCTGAGCCTCCAGGAAGTGTACTGAGGCAACTCAGGACTTACCGGTCTCCATGTAGCAGTCGATTTGGCACAGAACTCGTCGTCCCAAAGATCCCCATCAAGACAAGTCGTGCCTTCTTTCTGAGCTGTGGTTAGCTCTGTGGTTAGCTCTGTGGGATTCTTTTCATGCTGCTGGACATCAGGATAACGTGTCGAAAGAGGCGAAGAAGAAGAGAAGTCTCGAGCCTGTGACTGGCTCTCTCGAGCAGCAACGGGAGTGGCAAAAGATTCAACAACTTCTGGGTTGCTAGAATGGTCATCTCTTGGTGTAGAGAGGCTTTCTAAACTATCCAGAGAAGTTTCGTCATGCTGTGACGGTTCACTAAATGAACCCAGTGGTATGAGATCTTCGAGGGATAACAAGGTTTCTTTTTTTGTTTTGGGACCAGGGGAATCGTCAAACAGTCTTTCAATCTCTAGACCGGGAAGATCTGAGTTACTGCTCGTTGTAGCCCTTGTTGCCATTGAGTCGTATGCGGTATCGCTCTGAAATTCCATTGAGTCTTCATCTCCTGAAGAAAACAGTCGTTCATTTTCGGAGCCAGAAGTTGTTGATGTCGGCTCAGAAAGATTCAGAGACGTTCTCTGAAGTGAACACGATGACGGCCGCAGAGCGGAAAAGGGTGGTTGAGGATCAGCTTCTGGTGGGGGATCCGGAGAAGCATGAGGGTCAGGTTGAGGTGTGTGATAGCCCTGAGAACAGTCCAACATGGCCACTCAGCCCTGCATTGGCCGGTTTGTAGACTCTCAGTGCTGAAGCTCGGCGATTCCAATACTGGGAGATGTTCAGGCAGTTGGATACCAAGGGTATCAAGCCCTTACTATTGGATTGTCATAATGGGTGATGTTCGCTCTGCAATCGTATATGTGCGACTTCTCCAGAGTTGCCCGTCGAGGAGAAATTGGAGGGCCCGCGGGAACAAAAGAGATGGATGCCGATACCTCAGCCTTGAGAGTTGGGTTTACTGTAAGATTATCGCGCAACGCCGCCGCACTACGGTACAGAATAACTTAACTTACACCTTAACTAAACAATTCCTGCCTCGCTAACTAGACCCATTTGGCGGAATGCGGCGGAGGATCTCCACAAATTTAAGCCCTGTTCAGGGGAGCGACTAGCCCTTTAGCATGCCCACGCATGCCCACGCATGCTCATGCTCAAGCTCTGCCGCATTGTCCGCGCTCCTCACTGCCAACCTATCCCCTAACCGACCTGAGTTCACAAGATCCTGGACAATAGACACCACCTGCCAGGTTCGATGTCCCTAGCCAGTAGTCGCGGCGCGTCTCTGCCTATCACCATCTCCGCCAGTTTCCAGGCTGAGGTCATCTCGCTCTGTGACAGACTTGCTGTCCCTCACTCAGTTGTCCTTTCAATCTACGTGGCACAGGACCAAGAAAACGATTGCTGTTACAGTCGGTATGCAAACGGGCTTTGCAAGTAGTAATTGTCTGGTCGCGGATAGTGCCTGAATGATGTGACTGCTCCCCTGCCGGAGACGGCTGGGTACCATGCTCTACTTATGCTTAAGTCGCTAAATCTGAAACCTCAAACATCAGACGCTCGGAAAACATCTCCTCCTCGAGTTCGGTACCGTGTGGGAGCCTCTGTTACTCCGTATTCCTACTGCCCACAAAAGTCAGATTCTAGGTGTCGCATTGGTTCCCGGGAGGAACTTTGGCTCCGACGTATTGGTTTGCTTGCCACGCTGCCGCTGGCTCCTGCGAGGGGTGAGGTAATTTCTGACAAGCTGCTAATCAGGCAGAGGGAAGTTTTTGGTGACACGTATAAATGATCATGTCCACTTGTAACGTTCTTTCGCAGCGAAACTTGAGGCTTTCCAGCAATCAGTCTAACTAGCATGGACAAGCGTTTAAGCCATGCAGATTGACAGTCCACAACTAAGTAGTAACAGCCAGAAACATCAAAAACTATGGCTAGCTAACACTCGGCGTGGCTTGGAAGAGCTATTCCGGGAACAAGGATTTGAAGCCTTTGTGCAATCCCAGCTGCATGACCATGGAGTAACACCTTCAGGCTGATCTCTTGCAACTCATGTAGGATGAGAACGTCAAACATTACACGAGGTAAGGGAGTGGCTTCCCTTTATCAAATACCTTGCTTGACATCGAGGTACTTGTCCTTATGCTTCTTGTGCTACAATGGGGGACTCTGATTGCCATTGGCAATAGATATGGGAGATAGACACGCCTACGGGATCTTTCTGCCGTGGCTCTAGCCTTGTTATCCGTACGAGGTAAAGATGGTCACAATGGAGGGGTCTTTGGAGTGGCTCGTCTGCACCACACTAGAACAGCCAGCTATTTGGTGGGCCGAGACCAATTGTTTGGGCTAGAAGTGGAGAACCGTGGGCTGCAGCTTGCACACATTGTCTCCAGCTTTCAAGCAAGCTGTGATTGATCTCTTCCGAAAGGGCGGCGATGAGCAGGACAGCAGTCTGCTGGCAGATCATCCGGAATGCCCCGTATGCATGCTTGTGCTGCATGCAAGATCGAACATCGCAGATAGCTTCGGGGGCGGCTCGATAGAGATTGCTGCACAGATTTCGCATACCCTATGGTAATGAATCTGCCGGCAGCGACGTGAGCCGTACAGGATCTGAGTAGCTTCTTGGAGGCAAAGATCACGCTCCAACCGAGACTGGTGTCTACCAGTCGCGTGCTCTGAACGCGTGCCCTGGCGTGTCAGAAATTGTTGGACCGGACAAGGCAAGCTGAGACGAGCCTTCGATTGGCTATAGTGGCTTCGTCCGGTAAGAAACTTGGGAGGGTGTGTGAAATACACGAATAGTCTTCGATGAATATTAGATGTAGTATTCATCATCCTCAGTCGGCCACCACTTGGTAATTATGTCGTGATATGATGACTGAGACAATCTGTGACGACTGAACACCAACTAACCAGCGACAAGTGACCGCCACCGCAAATCATCCCCCCCCAATTTAGCACGGGTTTACCAGATGAAATCGGTGATGTGCTTGGAGTGAAGCTAACTTAATTAATGACAGCAGTTGGGAACGATCATACTACGTAGTACGTAGTACGTAGTCCGTAGTCATCAACGCAGTGCTAAAGGATTGCTGATCGCCTACTACTAGTACTAGTAATAATACCACGCTTGGCCACTCGAGAGTTGCGCACCAAAAGTCAAGCCACAACGCCACAATCTCTTTTCCTTGATGCGTACTACGTACTACGTAGTACAAGTATCGACAAAGTCATTCGATAAAGCTATCAAGCACTTTGGCAGCCTAGAATGGAGTCGGAAATCCGATCTCAGATACCCAACATTGATCATGTCGTCTCTGAGTACACCGTGGTGAGAATAAACATCCCACTCTCTGGTTCATCTATGGTTTTGCACACTGTAGGCACTGACTGACCGCCGTCAAGGGATATCTTAATCACGCTTCAAAACTGTATTTTTCGGATGAGGATGCATCTGCTCAATCACCACTAACAGAGGCATTGGAGACTATAACTACATTGCTTGTTTCCGCATCCGGGAATTTTGACAAGCAAAATGAGACCTCGATCCGCGATTTGGTTGAGAGGTTCATTTCCAAGCTAAGTTCTGCTGATGACGGGGATGGCGAGAGACGACAAAGGCCCTTGGCGGCCAAAAAATTGGAGCAGGCTATCCAAGTCAGCTCGCAAAGGAATGTGTCTTCCACATTAGGATTGACCAGCGGCGGAGTTGACCTAGAAGCTACTAATGCGCGAAAGGTTGAATCTAAGGTCGATAAGAAGAAGCTTGAAAAGGCAGAGCGGAAGATCCGTGCCAAACAGGACAAAAAAGTGATGAAGAACGTCGAATACGAGGCTTCGAGGCTCCTTGACCAACCGGACAGCACGCAATCGTACGAGGAGTTCTTCATGCAAGTCAATCCACTTCAACTAGGCAAGGACTCGCAAACCAAAAGCAAAGACATAAAGGTGGACAGCATCGACGTGTCTATCTCGGGCAAGCGTATCCTAACTGATACGTCGCTTACACTTGCGTACGGGAGAAGATATGGTCTAGTCGGTCAGAACGGTATCGGTAAATCGACTTTGCTGAGGGCACTGAGCAGAAGAGAAGTGGCAATCCCCACACATATCTCCATTCTCCATGTTGAACAGGAGGTAGGAATAATCACTTTCCCCTTCCAAATCAACCCAAGAATGACTTTTCGCAGATAAATGGGGACGACACTCCTGCGTTGCAAGCCGTCCTCGATGCCGATGTTTGGCGGAAGCATCTGCTGGCGGAGCAGGAAGTATGTGTTCAAAATTGTACTTCTGAGTGGTTACGGATTAATGTTAATACCTGCAGAAAATATCGAGAAAACTCGCAAAATTGGAGACCGAGAGAAGCTCCATGGCCGATACCTCGAAAGATGCTCTCAGACTTGACTCAGAGCGAGAAGGTCTGGATACTACGTTGAGCGATATCCATGCTAAGCTGGCCGAAATGGAATCAGACAAGGCAGAGCCTAGGGCTGCTAGTATTCTTGCTGGCTTAGGTTTCTCTACAGAGCGGCAGCAGTATCCGACAAAGACATTCTCGGGCGGTTGGAGAATGAGGTTAGCACTGGCGCGTGCCCTCTTCTGCGAGCCAGACTTACTACTTCTCGATGAACCGTCCAATATGTTGGATGTGCCTTCTATTACCTTCTTGTCCAACTACCTACAAACATATCCGAGCACCGTACTGGTAGTCTCTCACGACAGAGCATTCCTCAACGAAGTTGCTACTGATATCATCCATCAACATTCAGAACGCTTAGACTACTACAAAGGATCGAATTTCGATTCATTCTACGCTACCAAGGAAGAGCGAAGAAAGAATGCCAAGCGAGAGTATGAGAATCAGATGGCACAGCGAGCTCATCTACAGGCCTTCATCGACAAATTTCGCTACAACGCTGCTAAATCATCAGAAGCACAGTCCCGCATCAAGAAGCTGGAAAAGATGCCTCTTCTCGAGGCCCCGGAAGCCGAGTACACAGTGCATTTCAAGTTTCCAGATGTGGAAAAGCTGTCTCCTCCGATCATCCAGATGACAAATGTCGCGTTTGGCTACACTCCGGACAAGCTACTTCTTCGAAATGTGGACCTGGACGTGCAGTTAGACTCTCGAATCGGCATTGTCGGACCCAACGGTGCTGGTAAGACCACAGTGCTCAAGCTCCTCATCGGTGCACTACAACCAACCTCTGGTCTGATTTCCCAGAATCCACGACTACGCATCGGCTTCTTCGCTCAGCATCACGTCGATGCATTAGACATGGCGACTTCGGCCGTAGGCTTCATGTCTAAGAACTACCCTGGCAGAACTGACGAAGAGTATCGTCGCCATCTCGGCGCATTTGGCATCACCGGCATGACCGGTCTTCAGAAGATGGACTTGTTGTCAGGAGGTCAAAAGTCCCGTGTGGCATTTGCATGCCTCTCGCTTACCAATCCGCACATCCTCGTCCTTGATGAGCCGTCCAACCATCTCGATATAGAAGCTATGGATGCTCTATCACTAGCTCTGAACCAGTTTGGAGGTGGCGTCCTTATGGTCAGTCACGATGTGACAATGCTGCAAAATGTCTGTACCAGCCTCTGGGTTTGTGATAACGGGGTGGTGGAGAAATTCCCGGGCGATGTCAAGGCATACAAAAAGAAGATCACTGCCCAGGCGAATGAGGCCGGCGTCGTCCAGAAACAAGTTTAGTAGTTGAGGTTTTAATCCATTCGGAACAAAACAGATGCCATCACGACGCTAAAAGGGAGCTCGTTCTTGAGGCTTTGAGCGCAGAGAGGGCGCCATACACATTCCCAAATTAGAATCAACCTTCTTCCCATCTAGCAATAAGAGACACGAAGACTGTATAATACGTGAACTTTCCAGCATGTCAATGCACCTTGTAATTCGTATGAGGTGAGAGGATGTTTTCGCTACGACTTAGTATTGTTGCCGCCACTGGGGATATAAATGTCTTGGCATATCTGACTTACTTGGCAATATTCCGAACCTCACCGCAAGCAGCACAGTAACCTTCATACACAGAACCCACATCACTGGCAGCAACATACCTGCGTGTCTACAACCAGACTGAGTGAATCGATTTGGTTGCCAATACAGGGTTCTGCTTAGACACATACTTCCCAATCACCATCCCAATTGCCCGGCGGCCACCTCCCAACCCTCCATTGACAAGATCCCCTCCCATCTCACAACCCGCATAGAAGCCCAACCACGCATTCCTTTCCCTACCCTTCCACGTCAACCAAAAAAGATCCAAACAAAATAAAAAAACGATGCTCACCAGACGGCTCGCCACACTCTCCCCCCTGACCATTCGCCCCCAGCTCGCCTCCACCCTTCCACGCCCAACGGCAGCAGCAGTGGCAACAAGCCCCGTACGGCCCCTTTCCACCACTCAAGCCCGATCCTCAGGCGGCAGCGACGACCACAGCTCCCACTACGACCCGCCGGGCGGCTGGCTCTGGGGGATCCGACCAGGCGAGAAGTACGAGAAGGAGGGCTGGGAGAATCTGTTCTTCTACGGCTTCTACGGCAGTATCGGCTTGGCGTGTGTGGCTTATGCTTTTAAGCCGGATACTTCGTGAGTGTTTTCGTCGCTTCTTTTCTTCTCGTTGGACTTCGGGAGAGAAGGGGAGGGGGGGGGATTTGCGGGGATCTGTATGAGAGAAAGGGGGAAGGTATTTGATGTAGATGGTTTCGATGGGATTGGGGATTCAAAAAAGAAAGGTGTGCTTGCTTGCTAACCTGTGGCATGTAATAGGATACAAACATGGGCGCTTGAGGAGGCGAGGAGACGGTTGGAAATCGAGGGCATCTTGGAGGATCCGGAGAAGAAGTAGGACCCGTGCTCATTCACTGGAATGTCCAAGACGCAGGAACAAAGACACTGCTGCTGGATCGGTGCCAGTGAACTTGTACATACGCCAAATTCCTGGCAAGAATGGGCTCGTGACTTGTGTTAGGATGGGTGCTCTACAGTTGTTGACATGACATGAGGAGTCATGCTAGAGGGCGTTTCGGTGTCTTGGTGAGCACCATTTTCGTACCAGGTAATGGTTTACCTGCACAGAACAAATCTGATGATAATTTCCTTGCACAAATTACCATCAGATGCAGCGAGCCACTACGGTTCTAAGGCATACATTCTACACCAGTAACAACATTTTATCGTCGATATGGCCGATTGCGGAAGACACGCGCCCATCAGGATGCTCACCGGTTCCCAATATTTGACAGGCTGATCATCGAATTTGGCTCGAGCACGTATCCAGGTACAAGAGGGCTGATGTAAAGAATTTCCCATTGCTGGGCTACTAAATCTCAGGATACACGTCGGTCCTCCTCAGAAGTGGAAGCTCCCTCCTCGCCTTCTCCACCAATCCCAAATCCAAATCCACAAGCAACAGCTGTGGTTCCCTTTCCCCTTCCCGCTCAGCATCCGCATCCTCCACCCGCTCCGACCTCCCTATCACCTCACCCCACGGCCCTATCACAATCGAGTCTCCATAGCTTACCCTCTTCCCGTTGTGCCTCCCACACTGCGCCGCCGCAAGGACAAACGCCTGATTCTCGATCGCCCTACCTCTCAGCAGCGTCTCCCAATGTGCCTTGCCAGTCGGGACCGTAAACGCGGACGGATAGACCAACACCTGCGCGCCTTGCCGCGTCAGCCGAAGTGATATCTCGGGGAAGCGGAGGTCAAAGCAGATCATCATGCCGATCTTCCCGATTGGGGTGTCGATTGGAGGGACGATGTCCCTGCCGGCTTCGACGCTGTTGCTTTCTTTCAGGACTGGTCCGCCGGGGATGTCGACGTCGAAGAGGTGGAGTTTCTGGTAGCGGCTTGTCACGGTGCCATGCTCGTTGATCCAGATCAGGGTGTTCTTGACTTTGTTGGCCCCATCGGCGGGTTCGTGGATGCCGACGTTGATCGGGAGGGTGGAGGTTCGCGCTTCATGTTGGAGGCCGAGAACGAAGGGACTGGAAGTCACCGATTGGACGAGGGAGATTGTTTCGGAGGAAGAGGAGGCGATGTAGTCGGAAGCTTCAGGGAGGAAGAGCGCCTAAGTTAGGAATGAATATGCAGGCTGTGAGGATGAGCGATTTCGGGTCGAGGAGGGCATGACGTGTAGAAGACAGCAACAGATCGTACGATAATGATAATGCAAAAGAGTAGTTGGGGCCCCCTACTTTTGCTCCCGCGGCTGCTGCTCTACGCACCAGCGTCTGGCATTGCGTGAGATTGTGTGATAGCGATGCCGTCGAGCAGATCTGTCCCACTGCCTGCTCGATTAGGCAGGTCAATTATAGTATCGTAGCTTCTCGGGCGACAGTAGTATGCAGACATGACGAGGACGTACCGCGATGACCATAGCTCCGTGGATTGAAGTCTGATGAAGCGAAACGGCTTACTGTACCGTAGCTTGAACCATATTGTCCTCCAGACGGGAACTCCTTGGCGTAACGTAAGCCATACCCAGTATGGAAGTCATCTAACCTCGATTTACAAGTCAGGTCCCGATTGTCTTGGTGACAGACTTGACAGGACCGCAGTAGCCTTACATGGAGGCACTGTAAGGCACTGTAGGCACTGTACTACGAAGGCACTGCTGTGACCTGCAGCATGTCTGCCGTCGCGCGCAATGCAGGTCGATGGATCTGCAGTATCCCCGTGGGGTCAACAAGTGTCTGCAAGACGTCGGTACCGCTGTCTCGCTGTCTCGCTGGCAAATGATTAACTTCCACGAAGTCCCACCCAACCGCAGGGAAAAAACAATAGCCTGAAAGTATATGGCAACTGGATTCGAGGGTGCGGGTAGAGGGAGTAGAGGGAAGCGAGACTCGAATATGGTGTGCTCTGCCGCCATGCACTCAGCAGCCGAGACCTATCTACCTCTATTCGGATGGCGTCGAGGATACCACCGGCAGCCCTCTTGAGGAGAGAGCAATCTACGATGGACAGAAACGTCCTATCCAGTATCGAATCATCCGACTCCCCACGGTGGAGATTGTGGTTCTGGTGACTCTGGCCCTGACTGCTGAGCACGCCTGTTCTCCGTTCTATGAAGGCGCTTCCACTGTCTGGACATGGCATGACGACAAGGGTGGACAGGCTCCGAGGATGAAGAAGAAGAATAAAAAAAAGAAATTTCTTCCGATCTGGGCAAGTCTCTGCATACATCACGAAGTGAGGCCGCCCGGGAAGTGTGTAGTACATGTTGCAGGTAACATATCTGGGAGGGATTCAAACAAGTAAGTGAGTGTGATGCTCGTCGAGGTGAAAGTCAAATATGAAAACGATTTTTTGTTGGATTCAAACGGCCCTCCTCACTTACGCCATGTGAACGAGTGATTCCTATCTTCAAGAAATTTAACTCCTCTCACCGGCATTGCCGCGACCTGAAACCCAATATTTCCGTTGCTTGATAACACCTCCACTTGCTAAACATCTCTATATTCAACGAAGCATCACCCGTTCAGACAGTGATTGGCAATGCCATCATTTCTCAAGCTTCCATCTGAACTCCACCTGAACATCCTCGTCTTTCTTGACTACGCGACTCTCACTGACATGAAACGCGTCCACCGAGTCATTCGCGATCTGCTCGAAGCCTACAAGTCTATCATCAGAGATGCATTGTCGAGATACGAAGTTGAGATGCAGAGCTGCTTCGGTGAAGATGCCTGTCCATCACCATGCTACTATCCGTGTTACAAGTGTTTGAAGCCTATTTACTGGGCGTACATTGCACTCCCTGGCCACGACCGCTCTGGATACAGACTTGGAGGGCCCAAACGCGCCGAGCGGGCGTGCCGTGCTTGTGACTCCAAGCAACACGACGCTTTCGCGGTGATGCTGCAGCAGGAGCTGGTAGAAAATGCGACACTATGGGATAGGCTTGATGGTACTTGTTGTGCAGGGTATCTTCATGGGAGGGAGACTGGCCTGGACGGTTAAGTGAACAAGTATTAGCCTTTTTTAGGGAGTGTGAAGTTCATAGTTGTTGACAAGCTACTGCGTATCTGGAAAATACCTGGTTTTGGGTCGCTGATCATGAGCTCAACCTGTCGTTGTAGCCGGGTTAAGGTAGACAGAATCGTCGAGTGTTTTGGCTGACTAATTGCTCCTCGACGCTAACGGGCAATTCCGGCCAATCATCAGTTACGTCCGGTGCACACTGATCTCATCTAGTCACTGACCGACCCAAAAGATCCAGAAATACATCGTCAAAGTGAATAAATGCAAGAAGTGTCCAAAACCAGGAAGCTTCATGAGTCTGGCTTGCGACGGCGGAGATGTTTGTCTTCGCGGATTAGTTTCTTCGGCTTCTGACCCAGCAGTATTTTTCGTTGCTGGCAATATTCAGGCTAGTCCTATCGAAGGGCAGATGTCAAGCGTGCGGTAGCTGACACATTTGACCCAGCAATGCTGGTTGCTGGCGCAGGGAGTCCGAGTTCTTCAACAATCGTACTTACCTCTCCCTTGGCCTCCGGTGAGACGTTCTTTAGGTTTGAGTATTCCATGGAAACATCCACGACTGACTCTGATCGAGTCCGAGTAATGTCCCATCCCTTGCTTAAACCAGAACTATGTCTCTGATCTCAGGCTCTGCCCAATTCTCCCATCCATACTTCGACACTTGTCCAACTCCAAAGCGGTAGTAACACTCCTTCATCTGAGTCACTAGCATGATATTCACCCACTCCGTGTCCTTCCGAAGCATGGTGAATCCAGGCTGATTCATATAACTGATCGTTGACCTTGATACCGAGATGGCAATGCACTGGACCTTAGGGAAGCCAGTTGACATCCCAATCCGCTGCAGCGCCGTCGCCTGTTTATTTAACAGTGCGATCCCAATCCGCCTGCCAGGCATATCGAGCAGTCCATCAGCTCTGCAGTTGAGGTCGTCGAGGACGGGCGCAATTTGAAGGGTTGCAATCGAGGCTTGAAAAGTCAAAAAACACCGCTGCAAGCAGTTCGCGACCATGTTTCCTGTACCCTTGCGACGTTTCTCTGCTTCTTCGTCCGCTGTCAGACGACCAGCAAGGGAAGTGCTGCCTTCGACCCATCGGTCGTCCTGAGGCTCTGATAGCGGTGTCCCGAGAACGCTGACCTGAGGGTTCCCTAGCTTGTCATCTAAACAAATGACTGTCCACTTCTCGATCAAAGGCTCATCGCTAGCTGGAAAGATGTGGTACTTCACAGGACCATTCCATGCAGCCCACGACCACGTAGGGTAGAACAATACAGGATTGACGTCAGAGAACCTTCGTAGGCCATCTCGATCTGCTGTTGGAACCCAAAATAAAGCTTCATGAAATAATCCAATCGACATGCCGCAGATGAAACGGTTCCTGCTGGCACGGTGAAGATTATTTAAAAGACCTGAAATTGCTAGAAGAATGTCTGACCGATTTTTAAGTTCTCGAGGAGAATAGCTCTCGACAATTTTTTGATAATCTGCCCATCCGCTGTTCACTGTGAGGGGAGAGTATCTGCTTGGCAGGTAGTGCCTCAAAGTTGAGGCAGTGCATTGTTCGAGGATCAAGCCAATATAAGAATGTGCGCTGACTGTCTCAAGGGCAATATCTTCTGAGAAACTTGTGCTGGAGCAGACGTAATAAACTTGTTGATCTGTAAATAACAAGGCCCTTCGAGCAAGATGCCATTCCTGGAAAGTCCAGCCTCTTGTATTCCAAATTGATTTTTCAAGAATGTGGTCAAGTGGTGGCGATGACACAACTATCCGTAGCCCCTGGACGACTTGTACGTGCTGATCATTCCCTGTTCTCGGACTATCTCGAAAGCCAATCAGCCCGGCATTGGCGTCAATACCTCCAGCAGCCACGAGGACCAGTGAAGCTAAGCCATAGATTCTGTCCATAGTCTGAATCTGATTTCCCTTGTCAACCCCATCTTGGACAATACATAGGGCATCCACCCATAGAAATCTAATGTTAAGTTCTCTGACTAAGCGGATGGCGTCTGCGACGGTCCTGGGACATCTTACCTTACCCAAGCCATTTTCCTTTTGCCGTTTCTTGAGATTTCTTGTCTTCGTTTCAAACTTGTCGTTCTTGAAATCCCCCCAAACATAACTCAAAGCCACAAACTCGCACGCGTCCTCTCCTGGCACAAGCTGCATCTTTTGAACATCAATCAGGCGCGTGTCCGGCGGCAGCCTACGCTGTGGCACCTCATCTGTTTCCGGGTTTTCAAACGCATGTTCATTAACAATCCTAAAATCCTCGCAGTTTTCTGAATGATTTGTCTTGCATTTCCTGTACCAGGTAGCCATAAGTGATATATCGCAGACAGAAGAGATAAGTCGCCCGTGACCGTGCTCCTGAAGACCCAAGACAGGTGCATCATCGACAAGCAGACGCAGCTCCGGCGGGAACTTCTTCTCGCAATCCTCCTCGGCTCGGTTGAGTTTTCGTCTTTCGCAGACGACGTGGATCTCGATAGATCGGATCGGACCCTCTGACGTTGTTGCCTCGCAGGACTCAAGTACAATTTCAGTGCGTGCGAAGTCATGGAACAGTCCTTTGTTGAACCGTACGGGCAGAGAGGTCCAGCTCTTTTCAAGCGCTCTAATGACGAGACGGCATAGTACACAGTCTGGTTTCTTGACTATATCGTCCAAGTATCCAAGATTCATTAGTAAGGGCGGAGTCGGTGTATCCTGTTGAGGCCGGTGACCGTGTCTGTCTGGTCGATCAAGGAAGAGATCTTTGATCCTGATATCTTTGCAAGTGTCACAAAGCGTTTCCGGTGTGGCATCACTAGCAACTGTTGGCTCATCTGTCGATTGTTGAATCTCAGCATTTTTACTAGCCTTCACATCAATAGATTTGATCCTGTGCATTTGGATCTTGCTGAGTACTTTATCCATGATGCTGATCACTTTGATTACCACGAAAACAGTTCGTAAAAGGCAATGAACTTGGTATCACAGTACAATTCTTCAGAATCAGCGTAATTCTGAGAATTGCACCATTCCACAGGACTTTTTTATTCCCCAACATTTTACCCAGACCGAGTGATTGATCCCATAGCGGTGAACAGGTCTGGCCACAAAAGCTCTGAAAGTGCTACTCGTATCGAAAACAAGTGATCTAAGCCTCTTTCGGATGGCGAATTGTCTTGGCTATGCAAGTCCTTCAGGTAGGACGACAGCCTCCCGACCTGTACCTGCATCTGCTACCACTCTGGGTTACAGCAACCCTCAGAACCCAAAGCCATGGGTGCGTTCCCCCCTAGAATGACCGACAATCAACATATGGCCTATTCTTGATAATGCTGTGGTGGGCGTGGAGCTGGCGCTGACCGGGCCGCAAGAATACTACGGTTTCATGAGGCGTATGAACGTTGCCTCTGAGAATATGGAGGCTGAGGGCGGTGGGCATGTTTGGGCTCCCCGTTGACATGGAATCGTTGAAGGAGTGTTTGAATAAAGGTGGGTCGAAAAGACGAGATCCCATGTTTAGAGCATTGATTTTATCAACACAACTCGATCAGCAGGAAGTTGGCTGGAAGAACAATAGCAGACGAGCTGATGCTAGGTACTAGTTGTAGATAGAGGGAGTACAAAATTGCTGAAGCTTGACGTGTTGGTGTTGCGGAATTGAAGGGACTGATTACTTATGGCAGAGGCCAGCATGATTTCGAGGGGATCTTTGCATACAAGCAATGGTTTACCGGAGCGCTGATAAGGCACAGCAAACACCATCGTACTTGGAAAACCATTGGAGCGGGCTTATTGTTACATCGTGTCAAGCATGGTGGCTGTATCACGAAAGAAAACAAATATCCAGTTGTTTGTTCTCGGATACAGTGATTACACAATGCATAGTTTATGATTAGCTACCACGGAAGACCTCGACAGACCTAGAGGTCCAAGGGCAGAGACTCATACTTGCCGATACCAGATCACCGAGCGCCTGTGGAGTCTTAGAGCAGATGCTCAGACATTCCGACCTTCATCGTCAAACCTTACGAGGTGATGGGAACATGGCGGACTGGTACTGAGTCTCGAATGGAAGGCCTCTGATATTTTCAGTAAAGGGATGGTGAATGGCTCGGTCCTGAGAAGCCCATAAAGAGTCTGTTGTCAAATTCCAGGCTTTTCTGCTGGGGCTCCTCCTTGACTCGTTCCGTCGGATAACTATATCAGCAAGGCAACCCGACATGGCGGATAAATGAAGAAGTACGCCCGCAATTTCTGATAAGGACTTTTACACCAATTCTGTCTCGCAGGAGAGCCGTTGACAGTCGCTGAATCAACGTGACATGAACTCCTTCGCTGATGTCTGGCGGCTCTTGCGTTCTTCGCCCTGACCTTTTGCGCAAGCCAGCGCATGAGATTATACAATCCGGTTGAGCTAATTTTGAAGTCCAAGAGAGCTTTGCGTAGGCCATTTTGCCTGTCTTCGATCACGATCTTGGTAGACAACTCTGCAGGAATGCGCAAGAAGCGGATGGCAGTATCCTGATAAGGCAAATCAATAGCCAAAACAGCAAGCGAGCGGGATATCAAATAATTACGTTGAACTTGATAGAGCGACTAGAGCGCGACACTCTGGCACAGAATCGAAAAGCTGGGAGCGGTCGCGAATAGGACACATTGTGGGCCTGTTACATAAGCATATTCTGACGAGCTGAAAGTTCGGAACATGGATATATGAATCATGTGGTTCGTCATCTTGAAGTCCGTAGGGAAGTTTCCGCACAATCACTCGAGATGGATGAATATCAGGTTCGTCCTTTGAATCGGAGCCAGAGGCCTAGGTTTCAAGGTTCTTAGGACAAGACGCCCCATTGCGATTGCTCGATCGATGGGAGAGATGAACAAGGTCAGACTAGTGTGGAAGGCCTACACTAAATGTCAGACATGTAGGATATTTCCAAGGAGTTATCGGGAAGCTGTCATGCAGCATAGCAAGGGTAGGGTAATAGGTCAGTTCTCCAAGATGATGTATGTTCGACATGATTGATTTCAGTAAGAACACAGCGAACGTAAAATTCATCACATGTAACGCACACGCTACCAGTGAAAGCATTTGAGACTCACTGACCTTGAACAGTATACTGGGTATCAATTGAGCCTAGCAGACGCAGAGAGGTCAGTATGGATTTGAGAGCCTTCAGAAGCAGATAAGGGACATGAGCGCTGCTTAAAACATCTCTGTCAGGCTAAAAAAATTAGCAACATTCACCAAGAAGGGCTCAAGTTGCTCACCTCATTAAATCAGAATTTTCAGTGTATGTACGTTCATTTCCAGGTAGAACCCGGTTCAAACAGTGTGAATATTATTCATCATAAAGAGGATATTTGCCGCTCGGTGCACAAGGACTGGGATGATATGTTTACCTAAAGATATCAGTCAGTTTCCCTCCGTTGATTTTGGCGAGCCGCAGAAAAGTGCAAAAAAAGATGACAATCAGCTGACGAGTTCTCAACAAGTAGCACATTCTTCACAATCCTCCACAAGGTTTGTAAAGCCCTGTTTTTGATGGAGAATTGGGATGTGTACGGCAGTCTGTCCGCCCGTTCGTTCAAAGTTCTTCATGAATTCTGTCTCATCCCTCTTTTCTTGTGTGATCTCCTGCGGAGGTGGGAACCAGAGCGTGGACACGAGGCACAGGCAGAGATTTAGAACGTGTTGTTCTCAATCATACCTAGTTCCGAGTCAGTATGACATCCATGCAATTTGTGTACAGGGAGCAGTAGCTGGGAAGAACAGTTGGGGGTCAGACAAGGCTGAAACTTGTAGTTGACAGATTCGACATGATGGTTAAGAATGAGGAATGCCTTTCGTGTCATGAAGTCATCATTAAGACTAGAAATATTGCAAGGGAAAAAAGCTATCTTCACACCTTTGAGGATTTTATAACGGTTGACCTGAGACCTGAAACCTGAATCGGCATTTCACAGCCATCGGAAGTGCTGTCTTGCTGCAGCCGGGTATCTGAGATCAAGCGATAATTAGGATATGTAGTTTTTGAATGTGAAAGACTGGTGAAGGGTGAGAATGGAATTTCAGAGTAATTCTAGAGATATGTTTGACTCCGCAACAAATGCTAGGATTTGGATTGTTCGTTCATAGAGTTCATCAGACAGATCACAGGGAAGATGCGGCCGCGGAAGGTTGCGTACCTGAGTCTCTGGTCTAGAATGTGCACCATTCTACAGAGGATCTCACTCCCCTCGGCAAACACGGCAGATTGCGAGAACAACTCGATCAAAAGAAAAATCGTAGGAAGGTTTTGGAAAATAATTGGTGGCACGTGCCAAGAGTGATTGCCAAGGATCCAATGGGCCAGTTTCAAATTCCCGCAACGTCACGGTGCAATCCTTTCGTGATACCTAGCAAGGTACATGGTCCTATGAATTTCACAATCTACAGAGCATAGGTCTACAGATTACGGCATGAAGGGTGCCGTTGGCGAGCAGTGTCAAAGGCAGTGATTTGAGCGGATTTGGTGGAGGGTTTAGATTACTAACAAAATTGCAAATACAGTGACGAATGGCAAATCAGGATCCCAATGCTGCTATTCTCTGGCCAGACTCCATCCTGGCCACCTGGTTATACATTTGTAAGAAAATGAATGACACCAAACTCTCTCCTCGTCGCCTTGCAACCTTTCTGAAAACAACAGGAAAGGTTTCTCTTTCTTTTTGAAACCGACATCTTACAACCCGATGGCAAGAGCCAATACGCCGATAACACCCGCCATACTAGCAACAACGGCGCCAGTAGGGGCAGGAGCACCCCCCGTTGAGGTCGCGCTTGATGAGCCGGTGGCAGAGGCAGAGGCAGAGGCTGCGCTGAGTCGAGAGCTAACAGATGCTCCTACGGAACTGGCATCTGCGCTGAGTTGAGAGGTAACAGAGGCTGCAACGGAACTGATACTGGCAGTGATGGACTCTACGGCGGAAGACAACGACGCATTGTCTGTAGCGGCGCTAGCAGCGCTGGCAGCGCCATCGATGTAGCTTCTAACATCTGAGGGCAGAGCAGAGTACCAGGAAGGGGCATTGCCAGCAGACAACTCGCTTGCGAAGGAAGCCGAAACTGCAGGATCACTGAGTGCTGTCACAAACCCGGGAGGAACTGCGGTTGCCAGGACAGAAAAGATTGAAAGCTCGTTGCTTGGAAGCGGAATACTGAGCGTGGCAAGGTTTGATGTGATGGATGCACTGAAGAGATATAAGGCACCGAGCAATGGCAAGAACTGGGGATTTAGTAGCTTACAGTTCGGAAGCGAGGGAGCTGTCCTGTGCCATAGCAGTAGCAGCGAAGGCAGCCGCGAGGAAAGCCTTGAACTGCATTCTTGATCGTTGGGGCTGAGACACGCCAATTGGTGATGATGGGATCTGGTATGGATTCTCTTGTACAATTGGTAAAGGGTTATCAAAACCAAAAAGTGATGCTGTTTCCGTTGTTGTGATGTAAAGGAGGAAAGAAAACAAAGATGAAAGAACAAATAACTAAAAGGTACTGCACAGCTGAGGATTGGGAAGAGTGATCAAAACCAATCATATTAATCAATAATCAGGAAGGCTCGTATTTCAGAGCCTGATTGACCTGAAAGGGAGGCCAACGGCTGATCTACAGCACTGGCAGGGCTGCTGCCGGCAAAAAATGCGGTGTCAGAAAAATAGTGTATCAACTACTACGGGGGAGGCATACGTAGTAAGATCCCTACGTAGTAGCATCGCGCTAGAAAAGCCTTGGAGAGCTGAGTTACAACGCCACGTAAGCGCCTTGCCATAGTGAGGATAAGGTGCCCAGAAATCGCCCAACTAAGATTAGTTTGTTTGTCTGATTGGCTAACATCAACAAGAAGGGCCGTACAAAACCGACAGGGCTATCTGTACCCATAGTGTTCGGAGTGGCAAATACTAATGCCGTGCTAGGGATACTCATGCCTCCCCCGTAGTTAGTACTCCGCCAAAAGGGCACCACTAGAAAAGGGATACATCAACCACTCCGCCAAAAGGACAGCGCTTGTGGGTTTCGAACCACACTTAATTGATGTACCCCTCACTGACTCCACTGATAGGTTTCAAACCACACTGGATTGATGAATCCACCGCCTGACAGTGTCCAGTAGCTACGAGTGGTGTGTCGTGGTTAGAAACTGGGAAGCTTACGTAGTAGGTCATGCTATTCGTCTACTTGCTTCGGGACGACATGGTTCTGTCAGACTTACTACGTACCATGCCCACATACCCATGTTTGATAATCCCTTTGCACTTCAGTAGTACTCCGTATTGAATTTCATCTCACCTCTGCTTGTACAGCAACTGCATCATTGATTACACAATGCGATACTGCGAATCTTGCAAGCCAGTGAGGTACGGCGTCAATGCCCTGCAATGGCGACATTGATCAGTATGTTGAAGGTGTGGACCACATTTCCTGAAGCCAGTAGAGCGTCGTGCATTAAAAGTCATCAATATACGCTAAAATTGGAGTGCCACTAGCACACTCGATCTAAGCTTAAATGTCACGTAAAACATATGGCTATTAAGGGTGGAGCCCTAGTTATAGTAGAGCTGCTGCTGTGACCCCCTTTTCTTCAGACCCCTAAGGCCCTCTTTAGGCCATTGAACGTGGCTAGCTGTGTCAGTTAAGCTTCAGCCATCCGCCCCCTCTGACCATCTCGAAGCCCATACTACTACGGTAGGAGGCATAATGTTTGTCAATACAGTGCTAGTAGTGACTAGTTCTGATACGAGTCCACAGATAGCTAATTGGTTATCAAAAAGCTTACAAGATCAAGCAGCCATACAAAAAAGACCACCAACCCTGATTAATCCATCTTTGAATTAGTGCTGCTTAGCCTCGCTTGTTTAGTAATTGTTTTGGTCCAAAGATACTAGTGCGGGGGTGACAGACATTATGCCTCCCCCTGTAGTACCTACTATCACTAGACCAGTACAAAAAGGGCTAGCTTTTACTCATCCTTGTTAGCGTATATTGATTACTTTTGAGACATCACTCCGTACACTACAACTGTTTACCACTGCTATACGCAATTTGCTACAAGATGAAACAATCGAGCCGGGAGAGATTGTGGCGCCCTGGGGCCTTCAGGCCTCCTGCAAACGGGGCCACGTAGCTGATTGATAGAGCTGCTGTAGCTTAGCTGGACTCGCCTACAGGTGCCATTATAAGTACGAACCAGGGAGAGTCCACCCAGCCGACCTGGTTTGTACTAGTACGGGGGAGGCCTGAAGTAATGTAGCTCAGCACTAGTATCTTTACTGATAAATGTCCTTCGCACAAAACAGCTGTGTCTAAAAGAAGTTAGATGTAACAAATTAGCCCGTCAGGATGGGTTACATACAAAATAAGCTTCACACTGACGAATCATAGTTCTCGTATACAATAAGAAGACCTAGCCGCTACAAGCACCTGACTAACATCACGTAGTACTTCAGGCCCCCCAATAGTACGGAGTCAATTGAATATACGCTTACTTGAATACGTAGTAAATTGCAGCTAGTTGTTTTCGTGTTAATATGGTTCTAGTTCCTGGTGGCGACGTTATGCACGACTCCGTACGCTTACTGCTTATAAGTTAGATCACTTTTTGCAAGGAGCTGAAAGTGGCCAACGTCAGACCTAAACCACGAAATCGCTGCTATGCGCTTAGAAATTCTAGTAGTCTGATCTTGTTCTATGTGAGCAATGCCCAGACAACTTCCTTCACCAGCGTTGACGAGTACCTAAGACGGCGGCAATTTGTTGTTTTCTTGCTCACGAATGTTCTGCTCAAGGTGAGTGGGGAGATCAATACAGATATGACCCGAACTGCTGGGATCGCCAAAAGTGGAGTATCTTGGCCAGCTCAATCCGGGGAGCTCCACTCCTTTCATCATGTGGAATGGTGCCTACTCTCAATATTCAAGAAAACGCCTTCAATGATCCTGCTAGTGGCCAGATACCTCCGTTAGCTACCGATGTTGATGCGCTTGAGCGTTGGAATTCCCCAAGAAGAAACGCTGGAGGGTTTCCGCTACCTTCAATCAGTGAGTTTGTTGGGCTTCTGTCCAAGTGTGCACGGTGGCCATTTCTGATTGGTGCTAGCAAATGGTGTAATGGGCATGTACGATGGAGCGTGAGTTGTGTCATCTTCGGTACAAGTCTTATGACTGATTATCTCAAGAGTGGGCGCGCTGGTACCAGATGTAAATGTCACCTGCCACCTAGCCATAAACTTCTCGGCTGATCTCTATGAAGCTGGAAACGTACTACCAGCTCAGCTACAGCGTTGTATCAATTGTCTTCTTGCTCCTGTCTTCGGGTACTGCGTTGCAGCATTCTCGAATCATTTGATCCACCGCAAACTTGGTCAACGCGGGATTGCCTTCCTGGGACCTGGGAGGGTCAGGTGGAGCTATCGTTCCCTTTCCCTTTGGTGCCATCGCGCAAGCGAAAGGCGTCAAGGTTCTACAGCCTGTTATCATGGCTCTTCTAGCTGGCATTTCCATTATCTGGCTCCTGTTGCCGAGAGTACCGAAAGGGGAAGCGTGATCCTTGTTACGAGGATAGTATGGTGGAAGCGGCCTGAACTCCGTCCTCAGCAACAGAATGCCACTTGACCACATCGACAGCTGTTAGAATCTTCCAGAGAGTGCTTGCGGCACAGTTCTTGCGATCATTTAGTACCGCTCTTCTGGTCCCTGAACACTCGGCGATCATTTAGAGATTGTGACAGGTAGGATGTGCAAGATGGCATGTGGCATCGCCAATTTCTGTGGGGATGTCGCGCTTTTCGTCATTGTCGATCAAGGGTTTCCCGCACGTCACCATGAATTTTGAATTCTAGTGAATGATGGAATTGTTGCCAACAAGATATTCACTATTCACTGTGTGCCGGGAAAAGGTCAGCTTTCGCCTATAAATAGCATGCTCTCAAAACTATCCAGTCTACCTGTAAAACGACTTTCTCAACTATCAACCCATCCGCGAATCCAAGTCTCATCTCAAACCAGAACTATGGCTTATGCAAACACCACCAAATTCAAGCTCAACACCGGCGCCGAGATCCCCGCCATTGGGTTTGGGACATGGCAGGACAAAGAGTTCCAAGAAGATGCCGTCTACGAGGCTTTGAAGGCTGGCTACCGTCACATTGACACAGCAAGAGTGTATGCTTCAGTCAATGACATGTTCTTTCCTTCTACCATGCTAATGCTTTCAAAGCTACGGTACAGAACCCGCCGTCGCCGGAGGCATCAAAAAGAGTGGCCTTCCACGGCAAGAGCTTTTCATAACTAGCAAGTTGTGGAACAACTCTCATCATCCAGACGATGTGGAGAAGGCTTGCGATGCATCGCTGAAAGACCTCAACACCGATTACCTCGACCTCTACCTCATCCATTGGCCATCACCGTTCGTCCGTGGTGACAAAATGTTTCCAAAGGACAAGGTCGGCAAGCCGATGGTTGGTGACACCGATTATGTCGATGTATGTCTCCTTTCCCATCTCACGTAACTTCCAGTTGACCACTCTTATCAGACCTATAAAGCAATGGAAAAGCTCGTCGAAAAGGGCAAATGCAAAGCGATCGGCATCTCCAACTTCTCCAAAGGCGAGCTCGAAAGACTTCTCAAAGAAGCCTCCATCCCCCCTGCCGCACACCAAATTGAGTGCCATCCTTACCTCGCGCAGCATTCCTTCGACGCTTTCCACAAACAAAAGAACATCCACATCACACAATACTCGCCGTTCGGCAACCAGAACGAGTTCTACAGCTCCGGCAAGGATATCGGCAAGCTGATCGACGATCCCATACTCGCCGAGATTGGTAAGAAGTACAACAAGAGTGGTGCACAGGTCGCATTGGCATGGGGTATTGCACACGGCAGGTCTGTTATTCCTAAGTCGAAGACTCCAAGCAGGATTAAGTCGAATCTGGAGGGAGACTTCAAGCTGGATCCTGGGGACGTGCAGAAGATTGATGAAATGGACAAAAAGATACGATTCAATGATTCATCGGAGGACTTTGGCTGGAATTTCTTTACTGACCTTGATGGGAAGAAATAGAAAAGTCTTGATCAATCGAGCCTGAGGCGCAGAATAGATCTTGCTAAGCTTGAATCGTGAAGCTGATGCAAGATCTGTTTACATAGAAAACAAGGATGCAAATCCAACGCCAAAGCTTCCTTTGTATACCGCTCACAACCCGAAGTCGGCAGACGACCATGATCTTCATTTTTGGCCACTCCAGCACGTTCTCCAAGCAGGATTTCCTAATCACTCAAACTGCTTCCTGGACCACGGCAAATTTCCTTTGAATTCCTCCTACTACTTCGTTCCCATTCTTCCTCTATCATTCCTTCACTCTTTTCTCTATCCTTCTCCTTCTCCTTCTCCTTCTCCTTCTCTCCTTCTCCTTCTCCTTCTCCTTCTCCTCCATCCCTGTGGCCCCACTCACTGCTATCTTCCCTTCACTTCTTCCTCCACTTTTCAACACTACCCATTCTTCAATCCTTGCGTCAGTCTTACACATTTCTTTCCGCTACGTATCCACGCCTACCCCCCCCCNAAAAAACAGTAGCAAGCCTATCCGAGTGCCCTGTCGTTGCTGGTAAAATCCCATAAGACCTGATTCACACACAACACATGCAAAGCATACAGCACCAACGTGAGGAGGATTATTTGCCATTAGGACTCTTCCCACCCCGTCCGGCGCCACACCTTCTTGGTTCGCGAAAGCGAAAGTGAAAGTGAAAGTGAAAGAACAAGAACGCGGGACCGGCCTGACTTGATGGGATCAACCTGTCGCGCCTCCCCCGCGCCCGGAGCATAGAACTTGGAGGGTTTTCCGCTTTCCGGTGTCGGGATGGTGTTGCGGGTGTGCTCTCCATTCAGCATCATATCACCTTACATGATATTTGTATATTGAGAGCTGTGTGCAGAGCGAAACTCGAGCACAGATGAGATGAAGGTTGGGAAAGGGTTCGTCGCTAAGGTGGTGATGTTTGTTTGGTTCTGGATCTACACAACCTGGTACTTAATACCGCATGGGGGGGTTGGGATCGGAGGACCAGTGTGTCGGAACAAACACTGTTAGTCGGGATAGGGGTGAGTACCTAAATAATCCAAGGGGAGCACTCTTGGCGGCTTCCGCCGCTGAGTGGTCGTAATGATTTGGATCTGGATGTTTGACGAGGCTGAGCAAAACAAGGCATGCCGAATGGTTCTAGTATCAAGAGGTTTTGGACTTTTTAATCTGTAACGAGCTAGCTAGACAAGGAACCGTGGCTACGTGTTTGCAGCCCCAGACCGAGTTCGTCCTTTGGCAGAAATCTCCTCCTAACTTTTGGCATTCCTGCGTACTTGAACATGCTTTTCACACTCTCTCACACCATTCACACCCCATGGCTTCTGATATGTTCCTCCTCCAATCTATGCTGCATCTGTCAAGTTTTCTTCGCTTTCTTCGTCTTTTTCACAGTGCTCTCCGCTCCCGGCTCGCCATTGACCTTGAATTCTTGGGGGTCTGCAGCTGCTGGCTCCATGACCCTTGGCTCAGACTCAGCTAGGTCATGAGCCGCAGTCGAATTCTTTCGCTTTCTGCTTCTCCTCTTTTTCTTGATACCTTCGGCGCTCTCTGCAGGCAACATGGAAGAGGAAGTCTCTTTCTCAACTGAGGTAGTCTTGGGGCCCGTTGTCGCGACAGCTGGCATCCCGTCTATGGTAGCTTGCGCAATGCCATTCATGTCCTTCTCCTTCTGGTTTGAGCTCTGGTCTGTTGTAGAACCAGAGGGTGCAATAGTAGCATCTGATTCAGGCTTCGTGGGTAGATCGTTGGCCTTTGAAGGATTCTCGTCCGTAACGGGCTGCGGATGAAGTTGCTTGGCATTCTCTTTTGCCTTGTGGCGCTTCTCTTTTCCCTTGTCTCCTTTTTCCGAATTTTGCTTCACACTGTTCTGGGACTGGACAGGGTCGGGAGTGAGTGCATTCAGATCCGCTGTCGGGACAGTCACTCCGCTTATCTCAGTGGTAGCTGTGTTATCCTTTTTCGACTTTTTCGACTTTTTCTTGCCAGATACGACCTCTTCTTTGGCAACAGCAGTCGGAGCTGGAGGGTTTTCGCCATCAGCTTTTGACGGGTCAGGCACGTTCTTCTCTTTCTTGGACTGCTTCTTGCAAGGAACGATCTCATCTTGCGGAACTCCAGCGTGGGCTGATACGTCGTTGCCTTCCGATCTTGAGGGATCAGGCATTTTCCTCTCCTTCGACTTTTTCTTGCTAAGTGCAACCTCGTTTTCAGGGACAACACTTGGGGAGGGAACTTCTTTATTTTCTCCTTTGGGTGCATCGGGACCTTGTTCCTCCACAGCATTTTGCGATTCCTTCTGCTGTAGCACTTCGGACGGACTCTTCAGCCTAGGCAGCTCTATCTCATATCCCATTGCCTTGAGCTTTTCAGCCTTTCTCTTTCTCCTTGACTGCTCCTTGGAGTTCTTCTTCGCCCACTGGCTTTCAGACTTCGGTGCTTCTAAGGCTCTCTTCTCCATTCTATTATGAGGCGCAACTCGAAAGCGCTTGTTGGCTCCCTTGAACGTATCTGGATGTAAAGACTCGGGCTGCACATATTTACATTTCAGAATATGACCAAACATGAGATAGTTGTCCATGGTCTCGGCGACGATTTTGGCCACCTCATTGCTTTCAAATTCAATAAAAGCGAAATGCTTAGAGTGCCCGGTCTTTCGATTTCGGGATAGTCGTAATTTGCTAATATTGCCGAATTGCGAAAAGTACTGGCGCATCTCGTTTTCGTAAAAACCGTGGGGTATTCTGCCAACGTAGACCGCTCCTGGGCCATCCTTGTTGCCATTCTGAGCAGCCTGTCTAAGCTTCTTTTGAGTCTTTTTGTAGTTCGGTATGGCAGCAGTGGGCTTATCCTTATCGAAACCCTCGTCTTGAGCCAGATCCTCGTTATCGCTATCAAACCCTTCCAGCAAGGCACCTGCTTGATCGATATCTTCATCACTTTCGTACTCCTCCTGAAGCTCTGTCTCGGTGGTCCTCTGCGCCTCGGCTTGCTTTGAAGTCGACGCTGCGTCTTTTGCGACAGTCTCCAGAGACTCATTGATTGTGTTGCTAGATACCCCGTTCACACCATCAGTGGTAGAATCCATCGCTAACACATTTGCCGCCTCTTTAGCTTTATTGCTCTGCTTCGGCACATGATCCTTCTGGCCGAGTAGCTTCTTGATCTTCTCGGCATGCACGTTAATCGTTGATGGGCCTTTCTTTGGCACGGACGAGCTGACAATGCCGCCATCTGTGGTGGATGTTTCCTTCGTTTTTGGGTTTGGCTTGGCTTCCTTCAGTTTCGAACCAGCTGGCGCATCCCCAGAAGCCTCCGTAGCAGTGGCCGTTCTCTTTGCAGCCGAATCATTGTGCATAGCTGAGCCGCTCGCCTCACCGTTCGCTCCTGCCTTATCCTCCTTCGACTTTTTCTTCCTCGGCCTCTTTGAGCTAATAGTGCCAACATGTTCTGTCTTACCTACAGAAACTCCACCGCTCTTCTCTTCATCGTCACTAAGGAAATCAACTGCTCGCTTTCTCGGTTTGACTTTGGGGTTGGCCTGGGTTTCGGCAGAATCAGTGGGCTGTGGAGCTGCGGGCTGAGCATTTGAGATTGGCGTTGCGGCTATGTCGCCCGTAGTAGGCTTTTTAGATGCAGCTTTGGCCTTTTTGGTCTTATTTGCCTGTGAAGCATCTACGGCAACAGGCGTGACAGCTTTGGAGAAGGACAATTAGAGACACGAAATCAGACAGGTTTCCGAACGTCTCTCACCTTTCCGCTTCCTCTCCTTGCCTTCTGTAGTCATGATGTTATCCTAGTACGACATTGGCATTTGAAGGGGCTGTTAAGGTATCATTTCCAGAATGGCTTCTTTTCAGAACTATGGTAAAAGAATAATTTTTTGGGAGAGCTTTCTTTGTGCCAAGCGCCCCTAACAACCCCCCTCCCCCCGGCCAACCAACCAACCAAATTAGAGGAGCTCCAGCACGTAGTCACCAATTCAGTGGCACATACTCATCGAGCACAACATGTAGCTTATTCAGGTTGGACCTGTGGCCTTATCCGAGTCCGCTGTTTGTACATCCTCACGCTTTCTGTTGGATAAAGACACCCACCAAATATGCATGAAGAGAGACTTTGACCAATGTATCGTACCTCTTTCTCTGGTAACTTAGTGTGGCCACAAGATGACTCACCCGCCCATCACCACCAATCTACGATTCCCTCTTCTTCAGGTAGGAGGTGCCCGTAAAAGACCAGTACTCGATTGCCTCTTTGCATCGCTTTCCATTGCTTTCCTCTCTTTTGTGCGACTTCTCTACAATGTGAACCAGTGCAAAGCAAACTGAAAGTCTTTCTTTCCATACCGCGCTCATAACGTGTCCAACCTTCAGATACTGTGCAACGGTCACCATACTATACACCTATACACATAAATCTACCGCTACCATGCCTAGACACCACCACCCCAAGCACACGTCCCACTCCTCCGAGCCCGGCCAAAAGTCCACTGATACCTCCAGCAACGAATCCCAATTCCCTGACTCCATCCGCTTAGATCCTTCTCTCGTCCATCTAGATGGCCGCACCCTAGAAGGCGGTGGTCAACTCGTCCGTGTAGCGCTAACCCTCTCAGCGCTAACCAACATTCCCATTCACATCCACAACATCCGGGGCAATCGTTCTAGCCGCTCTTCTAGGAAAGGTGGTGGATTGAAATCGTCGCATCTGGCCGCATTGGAGTTTCTAGCCGGAGCTACCGCAGCAAAAACCCTGGGTGCCAGCGTTGGAAGCACGGAGGTTGTGTTTGAACCTGAAAGGGATAAGCAATTGCTTAGAGATGGAGCAAAAGCCGAGGTTGGAGAAGGGAAAGTGGATAGGGCGTATGAGATCCGGCTCGACAAGCCGGGCAGCGTGTGGTTGATCCTTCAGGCTATCCTACCTTACGTGATATTTGCTGCGTCAGAACATGTCCCGATGCAGTTGATCATAACGGGTGGGACGAACGTGCCAAAGAGCATGAGTGGTGAGTACGTAAAGCAAGTGATGTGCCCCATGTTTGAGAAGATCGGTTTGCCAAGTATCGATGTTGATATTAAGAGAAGAGGCTGGACTCACGGAAGGGCTATCCAGATTGGAGAGGTGGCTATCAAGGTGCATGCATTAGAGAGAGATGCGAAGTTACGTCCCTTCGAGCTGAAGAAGCGAGGAGCGATATCAAGAATCGCAATTACAGCCCTAGCGGGCACTGAAGCAATGAGATCTGCCCTTGTCAAAAAAGCAACCGATCATGTCCGTGAAAAGTATCCGCAGCTCGAACCGCCTGAAATCGTGGTGAATGAAGACTCCGGTGACCCCAAACGTCTCTATCTACTCCTCGTAGCCCACACCTCTAACGGCTGCATGTTGGGCAGAGACTGGCTCTACGATGAGAAGATCAAAGGCGCGCTCAATGAGTCGCAAACCGAGCTGATAGCGGAGAAGATGGTGCAAAGGGTCGTCGGCGAGCTGGCTGCTGAGATCGCCCACGGTGGATGCGTGGACGAGTACATGCGTGATCAATTGGTGGTCTTTCAGGCTCTTACGAATGGACCAACTCATGTTGATGGCGGCGCTGGCACTGGGGATGGCAGTCTACACGCGAGGACCTGTCGATGGGTTGCAGAGCAGATTCTGCCAGACCAAGCAAGCTTTGACGCCGAAGGAGGCTGTCGGGGCGTGGGGTTTGCCGCTGGGGAAATCTTCGAGGAGAGGAAAGGTGTGGAGAAGTGATTCTGCAGAAGAAAGAGGAGCAAACCGGAGAGGAAGGGGACCGCTGGGGAAATATCGATAGCAATGATCAAAGGGTGAATAGCAAGCTCTTCGAGCTGCTTGGGGATTTGGACATATCCAGAAATGATTGAGATTGTACGGACCCAAGATCGGTCTGTTTCCAGGATGTAGGGACAGAGCAATTATCAAAAGGCACGCAGAGTAAGCAGTCCTGGCTCACCCAACGAAAATGCAGGAGGGAGACTGTAATGAAGAAGTTTCTGCTTGGCTAGAATACAAGACAGTCGCTCCTTGGAGCTAATGCTGCTTTTCTCCAGCTAAGTGAGAGCAATTCGACTACCCTAAGAATGGGATGTCTGATGGCGAGAATGACTTCTTTTCGCTCGCATCTCGAGATTGAACAATGAGCAGACCGATGGTCCATGCCAAGCTCCTTGCACTGCTGCATTTGCATGTTCGTTTGCCTCTACCCATCCCTGAGCTATCCATCCACCCATCTGCATTTTCCGGTAATCTCTGCAAGCCTCAACGTGTGCACTAACGACCATTCTCGGTCTTTCTCTTCTTTTGAGGATGCTCGGGCATGAAGCCTTCAGCATACATCTTGAAGAACTCAGATGGCTCGGTTGGGTGGTTGCCGGTGACATCATGAAAGGCTAAGGTAGAGATGTAGTTGGTCTTACCCTCACGAACCAGAGAGTAGTACTCGAGCAGATACTCCTTCTCGGACTCATCGCTCTTGGACTGAGCATGGAGGACTCTCTTAGCTTCGCGCCTGTTGCAGGCAAGAGATAGTCAGCAACCTCTTGCCATCACTTGCAAATCAGTTACACGTACTCTGAGATATCTTCGAACTCCAATTTAACCCCCAACGCCTCGCTTGCTTCTGTAGCAAGCAAAGGTCCCGAGATCAACTTAGGTCCTGAAGATTTTATTAGCACTGTTAGTTGGAGCGTGAACCTGAGGGGATGAAGGACCTGTCAGAACGATGAGTTGTCCACGGTGCTTGTCGCTGAATCCGTTCTTTCCCTTCCCTGAAAGAACATGCGCGGCCACTTGTGCGACGTCACCAAGCGCGATAGGGGCAAACTGGTGTGTCTCTCCAACAGGCAACGGCAACACGCTATCCTCTTGAACCTGGGGCGAGTAGAGCAAGAGATTCTCCGCATAGAATCCTGCTCTGTTGAGAGTGTCAGTGAATGTGGTCGCTTTCGAACACCGGGCAATATTGAAACCATCAGAGGGGAAATGACTTACCGAATGATGACAGGCGACGTTCCCAGAGCTGTTTCAGGAAGACCCTTGGTGGCGAGAACACGTGATTCAAGCTCGAGGAACTCGTGAAGTCGAGGCTGCTTTTGCGCGTCGGCGAGATCACAGCCAGCGGAACTTAGAAAGAGGTTATTGGGGACATTCGCTTTCTTTGCGGCTTCGATCAGCTCCAGTGTGATGTCGAATTTGTCCTTGTGAGTGGGAGGGATGAGGCAGATCGCATCGCATCCAGTTTCCTTGAGTGTCTTGACCATGTCCCTCACTTTGCCATGCTTATGAGTCACGATTTTGGCACCGAGCTTAGTCAGTTCCTTGCATTTTGGGGAGCTTGGGTGAAGAGAAAGGCCGGTGACGGAGTTGACATGCTTTGAGAAAGTTGAATCGGTCAGAAGCAATTCAGCGATGAGATAGCCAGTTTGACCATCCACCGCCGTAATGCACACATTGCGAGGAGACATGTTGAGTCGAGATTGACAGCTGGATGAGAAGTGAAACTCGAGTGAAGAGTTTGTAGCTAACCAAAGGACTTTGGTCAGGCTTAGTTCTGGTTAGGATCAAGTCAAGAGTTGGTCGAAAGAAAGAGTGAAGGTTGTTTGATACAGGTTGTGTAGTATGAGCACTGAAGTAAAGGTCAGATTATAAGAGGCTGAGTACACAAGGACGTCACTAAAAGTAAGGGGCTTAAGTTCATATGCAAACAGCGTCATACTGACGGAACACAAAGGCACATTACATGCAGCAGTATTAGCTCACCAACAACACCGCAAACACGAATTAAACGCCGGTGGAGGTTCAATCGATGTTGTGGCTTTCGGGCATTACGATAATAGCACCAGTATAGACGTTCGGGGTGCCCTCATTTAAGACGCAGAAATAGAGCATCAATTCTCCTCCTAGATGTTGCTAAGATGACTAGGTCTTAAATTTGTAACAAAAGGCCCTCGGGGGCGTGTGGAAAGAATCCAGGCTGAAGGTACACAACCGTCCATAAGTTTCCTGGATGCTGTCGAGACCCGGCTACTGTCCGGGTGGAAGAAGGATTAGTCAAGGACTACAGCAAAAAATTGCTGGATGCATGGAGAGATGTTGTGCTCAGGTGAGAATAGCTGAACACCATATCGTTGAAAAGACGATGCTGAGTGCTGTTCTGCTTTCTTCAGGGAACTGTGACGAAGAACAAAGCTCCCTCAGGTGAATGGCAAGGAATAGGGCAGCAGTCACAAATCCAGAATAGTGTCATGCCAGACCGTATGAGCGCTCATTGGTTGGGATATCTACGCGTAACCCCTAAGTTCCGCCTGCTTTTGATTGGTCGATTTCTACTGCAATTTCGCAGTTAATTTCGCGGTACCGTACGGAGAATCTGTAGGTATATCTGCGCGCTGTGCCCCTGATTAGATAGAACTTGCTTTCTGAACCCTCTTCGCAGGAGGTCACACATGTCAATGCACCGTCGCCGGTTATCCATTGGACGGAAACTAAAAGGTGCTCTCAGCATCACCAGGGATCTACCAATTTAGTTCAACTCGAGCCGTTCTACGCCTCCTTGCCGCTAACCCTGAAGCATAAACGTAGCTCAATCTCTAATCCCTTAGATTGCAGAATGCTATGTCTTCCTCGGTTGTAAGTTCCAGTACAGAGGATCAGCAGCTTCAGCGTCGGTGACGTAATCATCAGCAGATGCGTGGTCCGGGCTCGACAGGTTTATTGTTGTTACTACGCTCGTCCTCGAGAATGGTGTTTGAGGTCAAGGCGTATGGCGTAATGTCTGCAAGGACCCTTGTTCCTTTGCACTTCGTTCTCTTCTTGGTTTGTTTAACTGACGTCTAATTCTGTCACAATTGCTGCTGTCTGAGGGATCAAGTTCATGCTTGTTGGCATAAGTGGTGAGCTTTTTTGCAAATAGTTTTCGCTCGAGGTTTGGGTACGGTATTTTGGTAAGAGGGGGCAGAAAACTTTGCGAGTAAGATAGGGCATTCTTTCAAGTATCCAACGGCTCAGTGATATTGCCAACGTAATCCTTTGTGAGTTCAGAACGGCCCCTGTTGCAGAGTGGCCAGCAGCGGTCGCCACTCCAGCATTGGCAACCCCTGATACCGGATCAGGTAGTAGGTGGGCATGGCTTTAATGGAACCACGCCGGACGTTCTGGGTCATAGCTCGGAATTCCTATAACACCAGCCACTAATGCCATTTGTTGAAGAGCTCGACAAGACTGTTCATGGGTATCCGTCTTTGGGAGCTAAAGAGTACCTGTGTTGCCGTGCATTGCGGCGAAACAGGTCAGGACCACTACAACCACATAATACAGCGATCTGTGCTACCCCAGGTATTCTGCAATATTAACTACATCAGCAACCAGCCGTGACGAAGAGCGTGCATCAGGAGGAGCTTAACAGCGTCCCAGACAAAGTTTGGGGCTCACGGTATCCTTCCAAAGGCACAATATAATTGATGTTTATTTGGTTTTGGTGTTTCTTCTCATATCATTCGATCTTATCACCACCGACGAGCTTCCTCTCGGTGTCCTCCCAAGTAAGATAATGGGGTCCGGTGCAAAGAAGACTTTTGGTTGTCAGATTCCTAACATTGTCGAGGTTCGTCTCAGTGTCTTTGCAAGTAAGATACTGCGTTCTGATGCTTTAATGACTGCGCGTTATATCTCGAGATCAAAAATCAACACTACTCCACAACGCAACCATGAGAGCCTATAAATATATACATCCCAGCCCATCACCCTCTCTCCAAATCCGTAATTAAACCACAAGTACATTCCTCACATGATCACAAAACATAATCCATTTTTTCCTGTGCCAAAATCCAGCTATTGTTTTTCAGTTCATCTAGAGCAGAAAAGGAAGCGGACGGAAGTGGTCTCGTGCAAAGTCAAGGGTCTTTACTACTACCTGTGGGTCTGGCGACGTATTTTGTAACCCTCTGGGCAAGATCACAGCGTCAGCATGATCAGTATAAGTTGGTTGCAGACAGAGGCTCATTAGTTCTCATCTTTTACATAGGGTCAAGAAACTTGGAGCCAAGGCGGCCACGAAATCTGTCGCCGGCCCTCAATACAGACTCAAGCGTAGAGGAGGGTGACCGAGGTAGCACAATCACCAACCCCACGGAATCACTCAGCAATGAACGTAGAAGCGAAGCTCCACAGACGAAAGCTTTAATGAGACAATTATATATTGGGACGTGGAAAGCTCTACCGAGAGACCAAAGACGGTCGTCCAATAAATACAAATTACATTCTGTATGCACACAAGACATCTCAAGTCATATGACGGTCACATCATCCTGGCCACATCTCAAATAGCCTCCCTGTTCTAAAAACCAGCCTTGCTGTGCCTCCTCTCCTGTGCAACACTCAGCTCACGGTAGCTCAATCGGCGCTCACCTGCCTCGACCTCTCTGAACGACACCTTTGGCCTGAAAGCCTTACTCTTCCACGCTTTGCTGACGATACCATAGAGTTCATCGACTTGCTCCAAGGACAGGCCCTTTGTTTCGTAGATGAGGGTCCACACGAAGAAAATGGCAATCAAGCAGCAGCTACCCCAGATGAAGAACACTCTGGCTTGAAGATTCGCTGCGTCTTCATTGACGAGGTAGGGGGTTGAATATGCAATAGCGAAGTTGAAAAGCCAGTTGGTAGCAGTGGTCATGCTGAGAGCTCTAGCTCGCACTTTGAGGGGAAACAATTCCCCGGTTACCACCCACGCCACGGGTCCCCACGAAGATGCAAAGAAGTAGATGTAAAAGCATGTGAAAGCAATACCGGCACGCTGAGCCGGCAGGTCTGTGGTGCCTGCGACTGTACCAACGATGGCAACGATGAACTGACAAACACACATTCCAATCGCACCAAGAAGAAGTAGACCTCGGCGTCCAAGCTTCTCGACCAAGTATAAACCAGGTAGGGTCGAGACCACATTGACTGTATTGGTGATGACCTGAATGATAAATGGATTCTGGAAGCCAGCACGTTCAAAGTAAGATGTGCCGTAATAGAAGATGAAGTTCACACCAGAAAGCTGTTGCAAGGCCTGCAAGGCGCAACCGGTAAACAGTCGCTTTCCAACCGTGCCTTTGAAACACTGCGCATAACTGGCCTTGCCAAGAGTTACCTCATAATCATGATTGGCTTTGACTTCGTTAAACTCGTCCACGATCGATGGATGTGTGGGATCTAGCCGGCGCAACCGACTAAACGATCTCGCCGCCTTTTCATCCTTGCCTTTCATGATGAGCCATCGGGGAGTCTCCGGAAGGAAGCACAGTCCGACACAGAGAATAATGGCCCATAAAAATTGGAGCGCCACAGGGATACGGTACGAGCCGCTATCGTTGCGATCTTTGGTACCATTGTTGACGATTGCTGCCAAAAACAGGCCTATTGTTATGGCCAGTTGGTACCTAGTATATTATGTTAACGATATCTTAATGTTTTTGCACCTGAACGTACGAGCCGACTATAGTGCCTCTAATCCACTTTGGTGCGGTCTCCGATTGGTAAAGTGGTACTTTGCACAACGTGAGAAGATTGAATCAGACGAGCGAACCACACATATGGCCGGGCATGGGCCATTGCAGTGAGGGTGAGGAACAAGCTTACTTTGTGCAGAGATGAGGCCAACACCGTACCCTGCGAAAAACCGACCAGCGATGAAGAGGGGCTGATCCACAGCGATCGTCTGAAGTAAAACACCCAGGTTGAAAACAATAGCGGTAGAAAGGATAAGCCCCAAACGACGACCGAAAAAATCGGCGCATGGAGCGGCAGTGAGAGCACCAAGGAAAGTCCCCAGGGACAGAATCGACACGATCAAAGACTCGTCGGATGGATTGAGGGCGGGTTCGCCACCAGCATTCGTATATCCTCTGTTAAATCCCCTGAGCCAAAAAGGCATGGCGATGATGCCGCTGATTGTTCCCGTATCATACCTCCATCCCAGTGTCAATTAACCAGCAAACCCAAGCACGACAGGGTCGCTACTCACCCAAACAAGATTCCCCCAAAGGCGACGAACACACCTAAAGACTTTCAGCTCCTTCGAAGGACTTGCAGATAGAATGGTTCTGCCGACGAACCTATAACGATCGCAACCCAAGCCGAGCCCGGCTCATCGTCCGGCTTCTTGATCAGGACGGCCATGGTTAGAGAAGTATTTTTTTCCTAGAAAAGCTTAAAAGGGCAAGAAGACAGCCGAAGAAGAGAGCTGTCACGGAAAACGGATCATGGATGGTAATTGAGAGAGAAGCAGTATTAATAAGACCGCTTCCCCACAAACCTGTCACCTCGGCACCAGTAAAGATGGCAAAGTCAGCCGAATAGAGCACTTGGCTACCGTAAGAACTCCATTTCTCAACGATGTGGCCGAGGTTCAAACCAATGAGCTCCTCGCTATCGGGTTTCTGGCATGAGGTCACGCGTCTATGACTTGCTTGGCCATCTAGGCCTGAGGGACCAAAGGCGGGATAAATGAAAGCGATCCTTGTGGGGAAGATGACGGAACAATGAGGTTACGTACTAGTAGAGTCTCAAAGATGCAATGCTAAGTTGCCTCTGCTCTGCCAAGGGAGTACCAGGTGCTTGTCCACCAGCGCCATGAAGTGACAGGTAGCCAATCCTCATTTGTTAAAAAAGAATCCCTGCTCGGAGTTCACTGGGGTTAAATCCGTCGGAAAATCCATACTCGGTAGATGAACCCCGGACAGTTTGGTAAGCGCTGGCATGCATGGTACGTACAATAAGACTGCCAGCTTACCGGGGTTCCATTGCCGCATATGGCTACAACAATCAAACAATCTCCTTTTCATGCAAGGTTTCTGATCGTATCATTGATCCAGTCAGATCTGGCGATGTTTAACGGCATGGCACAGTGCTTCGATTGAGGACATCCAGTACTCGAGCAGCGTAGGGACGATTGACACCACTATTTGCGTGATGTCATGGGGATCCGAAGGATTAAACCGGCAGTTAGTTGGTGCCACCCAAAGGTGCGTTCTAAAACATAGCGTAGTAGACACACGAAGTCATGCATTAAAAGTCTTCAACATAGGCTAGTATCAGAGCGCCAATAGCACCGGTCATTAAGCTCTCGTGTCAGCATAAATTGTACGCTGTGGGACCTTGGCGCCTATGGCCCTATTTCTCCCGAACTTTGTGCATAGTATTTCAGATTCCTAGCAGCTACACCACCAATTGATGCTTTGAACTGATGGAGCGTCCCATCGCTATAGGGGTAGCGTCCCTAGAACTACCCGGCAATGCCCTCCCATACCACTTACTTCTAGAGCCCTCTTCCAGGCTACTTAGTCTTTAGTTTAATGTCAGAGCCAGCTAAGCTTTAGTCAGTTACGTCATTACCACGCGAGGGGTGGCGGGAATTCAATGCACCACAGTTTTGACCGAGATTTTGCCGAAGTAACTGGCTACTAATTCATTACCATTATCACCACAATGAGGTTCTGATGGCATCTCCACCCGTGTTTAGTAGCTTTCTACACCGAGAGGGTATCTTAGCGATACGCTCCCGAACTTTCTGCATAGTAATCTTGCTCCATCCGTCTTGCAACACCTCTTCAAGCTGCTCAGGATGATCGAGCGCGTTCGTGAGTTGTAGGTTTTAAAAATTAGAATCTTTTAACAGTATCAGCTTCTGTGCGCTTAACATCCTTTGTAGGAGTAGTATGAGGGCTCATTCTGTTCAACTGATAGTATAAATTTGCGTAGAAGTGGGTTGTTAAGTGGTTGATACCTTTCCGGCTAAATTGCGGTCAAGATTGTTGATGTTAGTCTAGCACTAGTATCGATTAGTTTTTGTTACGGGCACACAGTGCTGTGATACGTCACTGTAGGCTTGTTCTGTGTGCATCCATTCTGACATGTCAATTATTACGTCTGACTTCTTTGGACATACGTAGTAGCTGTTCTGAGTGGACAGGTTACAAGTAGAGATACTAATGCTGAACTAACATTTACTTCGGCCTCCCCCATGTTATGTCTCTTTTTGGTCCTAATATTTACTGACATTTACACTAGTATAAGAAGAGCTAGTGACATCTACTCCCTGTTAGCATACATTGATGACATCTGATGCACGCCTGCGTACTACAGCTACAGGCCTACGTTCGGAGGACTCACTACGCATCAGGATTCTCTCAGATAGGCTTGAATAGAAAGTATCGCCAGCTTCATTATTTCCCTAATTGGACGTGAATATTGGCCCATTTGAGTGGTAGAATTACTGCGTACTAAAGTGTGTGCAAACTGTCCCGTCAAGTGGGGTGGCCCACCAAGTGGTTCTGTACGTTAGATGCTTTAATGCCAGGCTGGAATGCACTTCCGGCGGCACCAAGTATGATGGCACGCTGTCACCAACAACCGCAGCGATTGGTACATTAAGTCGTTGTGCTAAAGACATTGGGCACGTGCGGGCTGCAGATTTTGACCTAGAAAAGCAGGCAAGCTAGGACGAGAGTCATCCACGTGGAGTACTTGTCCACGCTGCCACCCAGAAATTTCCGCTAGTGTGAGCAAGTATTTCATTAATATTGAACATGCTTAGCACGTCACTCCCCACCACAGTGGCCACAACTATGCAATCCCCAGACTCTGATCGCAGGGGCTTTTCGGCAGCATGAGTAGATTCAAAAGCCCATAACTGATACTTGGCAGAGTCGTTGCTCAGGCCTTTTACTAATCACGACTACGGTAGCGTCTGACATTGCTATTTACACATGAGTTGACCAACAGATAGCAAAACAATAACCAAAAGGAGGATGATCCTCTCTTCGAACTAAAATATGCGCGTTGACTGTTAATTCTCAAGCTGCTGCAGCCGAGGGACAACTTGTCCCAGTCCTGGCAGTCATCGACCAACCCGTAACTGAACATCCTCGAAACTCTGTCGCGGTACCACAGCATGCCCTCCACCACTGCTTCTGCGGTCTGATGGGGCCAACTGATACCCTGAGGCAGGTTGAGCCGGAATGGAACTATAGTAATTGGGCATGGCAATCGGCCAGTCCGAAGACGGATTGCTTGACAAGGCTGACCTTCTGCTCAATCTTGACTCTGCTGGCGGAACCTGACTTGGTTCAGTTCTCTTCTCGAAGCTAAACTCTCTACGTAGACTATGCCTTTCACTTCTTCCGCTATTGTTGCTGATTGGCCTTGGGTATGTAGGCGGTAATAAAGGAGATACTGGCGAGCGTACATATTCCTCGCTTGGTTCAATGTCGTTCATTGCAATATCCGTACACTCCGTATGGTAGTCAGGCGGTGGTTCCTGCTCTGTCAGGTTCTGGTACGGCCCCTTTCGGTTCATCGATGCGGCGGAACCACTTTGTCTGTGGTCCGGATGAAACATGATGCTCTCCCTTGACAACATTTTGGAAGAAATCAGGCTGTCTCCCAGCAACTTCGGTTCGGGCCCATGCTCAGAGTCTGTGGTGAGACTGCTCTGTTGATGACCCTTGCGCCATGCTATACGCCTGCGAGTCCGATAGTAGAGCATGATCACAGCTCCGCCGCAAAAGAAACAGCAAAGCACAACAGCAGCCACTATTGCCCCTGCAGACATTTGAAAAGGTTTTTCGTCTGATTTTGGAATGGCCGAGGCTGTGGCCGAGGCTGCAGCCGGTGTTATATCAATCAGATTTGTTGTTGAGGAAGCATTTTCCGTCAATGTGATAGTGGTTCGGGCTGCTGAGGGGACTGTCATCGACGTCCCGGTTGTTCTGGTGATCGGAGCGGAACGACGTGTTGATGATGGCTTTTTGTCAGCGGTTCTCGAAGTAACAACGTGGCTCGAGGAACTCTCATCCCTTGTGGCACTTGAGGATTCTGCCGGTCTCGATTGGGGACTATCGGTGGTTGAGGGCGAGCTCTCGCTTCCAGGTGGCTGGCTCGGGTCAAAGGCGGAAGAACTGTGGTCACGCCGTCGATGTTGCTCGCCATCTTGTAAACGCTGCAGTTGCGAAAATTGGGGACCCATTTCGTGAAGACAACTGATGCAAGTGGCAGCGCATTGCGCAACCTGACAGAGCAGCAAAATTGGTAAACAGAGGAGGATCTTGCAGGTCCGCATCTTTGGAGGAATTGACAAATACTGTTTCTTTGGAAATAGAGCCTCGGTGGATACTCGGGCAGTTGCCGTTGAGCACCGGGGCTGGCGATACGACGTGAATGATTTGGCTCCTGGGAAGCGGTGCCAACAGTGAAGATATACGGCTCAGTCACAATACATTCTCTCATGTATCAATCGGATCCCGGAATAAGACGTCGCAGTATCGATTGACATGCAAGCTGGATCAGCCTGTGTAGAGCAGACTTAAACGACGACAAGGCGGCAGGGAACAAGTAAGCGGGCTCTTCCGTCCTCGAAATGGTATGTTTCGCATGCAGGCGACGATCAGTTTATGGGATCGTCTGCAAAGCTATTGATGACTGACGAATGCTGAAGACTTTCGTCACCTGCTGTGTACCCTAATGTGCTTGGGGGCTGAGGGGATATGCGTTGCTTTTACAACGAACCCGGGATCGCATAGCAGGCAGGCATTATGTTTCAATTATGTGAAAGATTAGAGAGGTGGCACGAAACACTATTTGAAAATAGAGTACTGATTACCCCGGGCAAGTCACCTTGTCCAGTAGAAAGCTGGCTGTTTGGGGATAAAATAAATTGAAATGTTAAGAAATGCAGGAGATACATTGAAACCCTGCGCCTGGAGCAGCAAACAGCAGATTTAGCTTCTCAGGATGCCTTGTATCGATCTTGACCTCTGCTAGAGCACAATCAACCCACTTTCTTCGTCTCCACTCCTTACTCCAGTCCCTAATAAGGCACCGCTGCCCTAGCACGGCATGCCTTGAGCGCCTCCGGATAATTCAGTCAAACCTCCCTGCTCCCCAGCTGAGGAGGGGAAGGTCGAAATGCACGATTCGTGAAAGTAGGGGGCCGAGGGCAAGGGAACTCACTGATACCATTCCATCAACCCGATTTGGGCATTTAAACAAGTCAAGATTAGGTCTAGGTGTAATGCAATGGCGCCCGGATGGAGGTCTACGGCGGAAATCGAGCTCTGTGACAGGCAGATGGCAGGTGGTGGCCTTGCTCTGAGTAACGCCAGGTGTTGTCGTCGCGAGGCTGTGCAAGGACTAGGATAAATATAGACACTCGCACCATCGCTGCCAAGCATATGCTTTAGAGCTCACAACAGCGCCTTCAGACAAGCCAAAGAGCAAGTCCGAGGTCACAGTCGACGTGAAGCTAGTGGTAGGATAAGTATCTGTCATTTCTGGTGTTACAAGTGCTACCTGATGCTTTGAACCTGCAAACTCGACCATCCCGGATCTTGTTCCAGTCTTGGCAGAGACCACAGTACATACTACGGTACGGAGTAGCAGGCAGAAGTATCCCTAGCACGGCGCTGGTATCTTCGTCTCATAACAGCTGATGTACGTGACCACTAACCTATGAGAATTTAGCTGTATTGCAGTAGGTGAGCTGGCTGGGTGTGGACAAGAGAAGCTTCGACAAAGCGGGGTGGCGGGGCATTTGATACTAGGCTTTCTTAGTATCATACTAGGACTAAACTAGCACTGGGGCTGACAGAAATAATCGCGTTTTAACCGATATTTAACCGTTTCTGCGCGGAGCTTTTGGCTTGTTCGGCTAAATATCGGATAAAACGCAATGAATTCTGACACCCCCTTGTTAGTAAGCTTGAGGCGTACGTCATTCCTTTCGCGATACGCAATGAAGTGGTGAAAAGGCCGCCATCCACGGCCTGGGAATCCGTTCAGCTTCTACTTTGTTCAGTCATTATAAATCTAATTTGAAAAATACTCTACAAGCTGCCAGAAGGTATCGACGCATTTGACCATGCCTCTTGTCGTACCAGGAATCACCTCAACCGGTGGCGGGGACAACGTACAGAACGAGTGGATGAGCAAACTCATGGGCAAGAAGCTGACCGACTCTGCCAGTGACCACTCCGTCAGTACAATCGGCTTTATGCTGTCAGCACAATTCCGTGCACAGATGGGTAGATCTAACACCCGTGGTGAACAGTCCTTCTCCAAGAAAGAGTTGCCGTCCAACCACCGAGTAGTGGAAGGCGAGTCAATGATGAGTATGGATCATAAACCAGATAGGTAAGGCAACTAGTACTTGGACGCTGGCAGTAGCTGAGTCATGAAGCAGACTCAATGTGCACGTTGATAAAGATGGCATTGTGAAGGATGTTAAGATGGGGTAATCGCCTGTGTGCTCATGCTTGAGCATCTCTAGCGGTTAGAGCTCTGGGCGGGTTGGCGATCGTAGGACTGACGGGCACATTCTGTTGAGGTTCTTGTGCTCGACTCTTCTCAATGGTATCATGTCCGTAACCTATGAAGCAAAGACTACAGCTTCGCTCTCGGCTTGTCTTTGGCAAGCATAGTATCCGCAACTTTCCGTCGCTGTACCTTGCCCGTGGCTGTCTTCGGAATCTCCTTTTGTACCCACACCTAGACATTATTGTTAGCTGATCGTGGTAAACCTTCCGGCGATTATACCTTACCCTTTTGGGCACCTTGAACTTTGCTGTCTTGCTAGACACGAAGTCGATTATATCCTTTTCGCTAAGTTGCTTACCTTCCTTCGCAACCACTACGACACCCACTTCTTGACCATACATCTCTGAAGGAACAGCGAAACTGACAGCTTCAGCGACTGGTGGAAAGGTCGCAATCACGTTGTCCAGCTCTATCGGGCTGATCTTCTCACCGCCTCGATTTATCAGCTCTTTTATTCTTCCAGTTATGATGACATAGCCATCTTTATCTTTCTTGCCCTGATCCCCAGTCCGAAAGAAACCATCATTGGTGAAGGACTCTTCATTGGCTTTTGAATTGTTCAAATAGCCTTTTGTAACATTCTCGCCTCGAATGCAAATCTCGGCTTCAGATCCTTGAGGAACCTCTTTACCGTCACTGTCAAGAATTGCTACTTCTACTCCTTGCCCCAACCCAACTGAGCCAGGCTGTCTTTTGCCTTTGCGCGGGAGTGGGTTTGAGGTCATTTGATGTGCAGCTTCGGTCATAGCATATGCTTCCAAGACCGGCGCATTGAAGGCGGTTTCAAGCTCATGGAACGTCTTTGGAGATAGAGGCGATGAGCATGAGCGTATAAATCGGATTTTGGGCATTGGATCCGGTGGAGGATTCTTCAACAGTATTTGATGTATTGTGGGGACTGCAGTATACCAATTTGCCTCGTGAGTTATGAAATCGGCCCAGAACTGGCGCGCAGAAAATCCATTGGGCACGATTACAGAGCCACCCGATGCCAAGGGAGCGAGAAGGCCTGCAAGTAGGCCGTGAACGTGAAACAGAGGCATCACTAGGTAAGTCCGATCTTTTGGTGTAAGCTCATATGTACCTTGAATGTTCTTCATAGTTCGTGTCAGGTTGCGCTGCGTCAGGGGCACAGCTTTCGGCCTTCCAGTCGTACCACTGGTATGTAGAACAAGCGCTATATCATCAGGATCTGCTTGCAATAACTTTTGGCCGCCCTTGCTGGCAAGCTTCCCTTTATCTTTGACCTCCAACACCACTTCCTTTCCATCCCAGTAACACTCCGCGATCGCGGCCTCATATTTTCTTGCCGCACGAACAGCAGGGGCGTCCTTTTCGAACGAACCCTTCGATACTAGAGCGAGAGCCGAGGACAAGTCGTCGATGTAAAACTCAAACTCGTCCTGCTTATATGATGGGTTCAGTGGGGCGGCAATTGCTCTCTGCCATGATGCTGCTAGGAAGGAAACGATGAATTCGTACGTGTTTGGAAGCGCTATGGAGACAGCCGCGCCGTGGGCAATGCCTAAACTTGCAAGCTTTTTCTGGAAAGAGAGCACTTCGGTTGAAAGCTCTTTGTAGGAGATTGTGAGGGGTTGGGGCTTGGTTGGAATGATAATCGCTGGAGCATCGCTCTCCTTAGAAAAAGCCGTACTCAACGTCGCCATCTTGGAAAGGCCGAACGGTGAAGTGAAGGATTGGCTGTAGGAGATGCTGGTGAACTGCTGTCCTCATTGATTCCAAGCTGCGGGAGTAACTACTGTTCAATGTTGGGGCCAATGTACTGTAGTTTAGGCGAATTACACTCCTCACAAATTTAACTCTAAGTTAATTGTTGAAATATGAGCATGACGTATGTCGAAGTGCATAGATAGCAGCTCGCGGTGAAAAGAGTTCTATCTGGAATTTAGTGTTGCGAGGCGCCATTTTTGCATCCGATTATCATATGCAGAGGAGTGTTTTTTCACCTAATGGTACGATTCACCTGTGCCACAGTTCTGCTTGTGCTATGATATGGCGGTCCTCCAAACTAACCTCCCAAACCATGCTAAGTCTTCCCAAACACTCTTCGGGTTTTGTGGAGCAGGCTCCATGCCGTCGTCAGAATCCATATCATCAACTTTCTGACTGCTAGATTTCTCAGGGTGATCATTCTTTTCGATATCATCATTTGGAGCAGTGACAGCTCCAGGGTCCGGCTTGTCATACTCAATTTCCAACTCATCCTCACCGGCTTCGTCCAACTTCAGAAACACGTCAATTACACCATCCACCCATCTTCCGAGCCTGAAGCCACGAGCTCGTACGGCTTGTTCGACCTGCCTTTCATCATCCTCTATGTCGTGTCTTTCGAATTCTAGTGCGCCATATCTGTCTTCATCATCTGAGTATAACTCACCATCCTCTAGCTCGTCCGCAAGATCCATCTCTAGGTCTGCTGCAATCTCGGCTTGGGTCTGAGCATCTGCCCAATCAGGCTCAATGGCCGCATATTCACATGCCGAGGCCGAGGACGCCATAGCAATTGGTGGATAAGTATGAGCTGCTGTAGGTTGTCCGGCTGCGCAAGAAGCTGTCAACGCAGTAGGAGTCATTGCGAGCTCTCTTCTGCTTTTTCGCCTGTCCCGACTCCCTCTTCGACTGTGGTTAGGTGTATTTCGTCCAGACCTACCTTGGGCATATTCGAAATTTGGATAGTCTCCTATGGCCGGTGATTGCAGTGATGTAGATGAAGCACGCTTTGCAAGCCAGCTCTGTCCCTTGCTTTCTCTTGATCCTTCTGTGAGCGCCATCCCTGTCTGTAAGAGCCAGCTCGATTCGTTCCTCTTTGGCCCTGCGTGCGTTATGATATGATGTTGCCTGGTAAGAGGATCTGCAAGCTCTGTCGTCTTACTCCCAGAAACTTCACTGCTCAAAGCGCCTTGAGAGGAGCTAGTCGCAACCTGAATTGACCCTGTGCTTTTGATCCTTTGATGTCGAGATCGGCTAGTTGCGCGACTGCCTGATTGAGAAAGAATGCCCCCGGGACTCGGCATGCTTGCTATGTGACTCAATGATGAGCTTGTATGGAGCTGACTGGTATCCGGATCCACATAAGCGTTGTAGTCGGACGGTGTGATTGGATATTTGGGCGTCAATGGGGCTAAGGAAAGGTGGTGTAGGTTGGGATGAGAGCGGCGGTGGGCCCCAGGAGAAAACGTGAGGGTGGAGCTGGAGCGGTTTGAAGTCTGCGACAGGTTCAGCTCATTATATTTCTGCAGCGCAGACAGCCTGCGCTGTAGTTGCATGTGATGAGGGGCTTGTGGGGCGTGAGAACGAAGGGGTGACAAGGATGGAGGTGTTGGAACGAATGAAGGAGTAGCTAAAGTATCGGTGCCCGTGTAAGAGCTATCGTTCTCGATGTCTCCGTCGTATGAACTCAAGTCATCGATTGGAAAAAGTGGTGCACGCGCCATTGGATACGTGTAGGCAGAAGACGGGATGAACAGTCGGCGAGGAGGGTTTCGAAGTAATCGATGACATACTCACATCCATATTGATGATCTTCTACTGTTCTACCAAGTTAGCAGTAGGATGCTCGTCGTCATTTGTGGGCCAGTATTCGGAGACTGAGGGGGGGAACAGTAGGGCCTGAGGACGAAGCATGTGATTATTGGTTTTGCGTAGGCCAGGTGATCTCCGGGTGGTGTATGCACTTCCTAAGCAAGACACACGCTTCGATAGTCGGCAGCTTTGATTTGTTTCCTTCAGTCTTGTGTCTGAGGATGTAAGTACAATAGTTTTCAACACATGTTGAGAGTTGGTTCAAATAGCAGAGACAGCGGTTGTTGAACTGGCTGAGACGTGGTCCATGCACTAACTCACTGATCCTGGGTCCCGCGGTCCCACACCCTCTACGGAGTTGCTACGTACAAGTTCCCAAGTTATTTGGTATCCCCTGACATCTTGGTACAAGTGTCCTACAGGATAGGTATCCCTTGTTCGCTAAGGAGGGTGTCTTCCTGTGCACAACGAATGGGACTTAAGATGCATGTCCATTACAACTCGAAAGGTTCCCGATCTATACAATAGAGGTAAAGCTGTCGTGATGCTGTGGCCATAACTCCCAATGACCTGACATATTCAGCGCATCCAGTAAGCAGGCAAATGGTACGTTCTCGGCACAAGCTATCATGGGAGAATGAAGCTGTTTTATCATCGTTCGATGTCACACAATTCTGCCCTTGTTGACTACAAATGCCTCCAGAGCTGAAATGGCACTCCACAACCTGTTTTCTGCTTCTGCAAACACCAATGATTTCGGGCCATAGAACACCTCGTCGCTCACTTCTTCAAGGTGTCTAGGCAGACAGTGCATGAATTTCCAACTCTCTTTGGCTCCTCCTCTCTTTGCCAGCTCGGGTGTGACCTGGAACCCACGGAATGCTTTTATTCTCTTCTCCTTTTCCGACTCTTGACCCATTGATATCCAAGTGTCGGTCACCAATATCTCGGCATTCTTCACTGCCTCTTCGGGCACGTTTGTTTCGGAAATGGCACCTGGCTTTTCCACGCCCTCACCGGCTTGCCTGATAATCTCACGCATGGAGTCTGGGATCTCGTAGCCCTTTGGTGTAGCTACAGCGACATCAACGCCGAGTTTTCGAGCGCCTATGCACATGTCAAAGAGAACATTGTTGGCGTCACCAATCCAAGCGATCTTCAAGCCTTGCACTCCCAGCCCAGATTGTTTGCTAGACGGGAAAGCCTCATGTATCGTCAGAAAGTCTGCAATTGCCTGCATAGGATGGTAGGTATCACATAGCGCATTTATAACTGGCACAGTCGAGTGTTTGGCCAGATTGGCAATATCGCCGTGGGGACCGACTCTTGCAACAATGCAAGATACCATACTAGAAATGACGACCGAGGTGTCGTATAGACTCTCATTCACACCCAACTGGATGTCATCTTTACCGAGGAACATGGGGTGACCTCCCATGGTCACGACTGCTCCTTCAGTAGAGACTCGCGTTCTAGTTGAGCGTTTGGAAAAGAGCATTGCTACCGTCTTGCCGTTTAGTGCTCCCTGTAGTCTAGCTGGTGTGGCACCACTTTTTATTGCGTTCTTGTGAGATGAAGCATTCTGAACTAGGCGACTGAACTCTGCCGGAGCGACGTCGGCAACTGATAATAGGTGGCGAGGAGCAAATGGAGAAGTCAGAGGCGTGGCAGGACTTGAATATGCCCGAGTTCCTTGATATCGTGCCCAGCTCAACCGTCGTAAAGCTTGCATTGTTGGCCGACGGTGACCCATGACGCAGACTAGTGGCCAAGTTATAAGCTATGCATTAGGCCTCATGTGAAGCCTGATGCGAAACCTCAGACTCCGCGAGCTGGTGCTCTCAGGATGCCGATCATATTTCTTAAGCATGCGTTGATAAGTGCTGGCCGTGACGCCGCCGATTACTCAGCCAAGCCTCGCGAGACTGGTCTAACTAATCAACTGCGAGCCTGAGTTAGTCAGGAACCGCATCACTGTGCTTGACTGTCGTCGAGGGCGCTCCTACGGCATAATCAACCCGCATCTCATTCTCTACAGGGCGCATGACCATCATGTTTCTGGCAGCAAGTATCTAGCTCTGCTAAGTCGGACTTAGCACTCTCCACTATTCCAAAATGTCCAACCTTGTAAACAACCGTCCGAGGTCACCACCACAGTCTTCGAACAGTCGAGCTTCCTCCAGAATATCTCACAAATCCTTGCCTTCGCAGCGATCACGGTCTTTCAACGACTCTGAAGAGACAACTCCACTACTAGCAAGACAAGCCGATTACGGCAGACAGAATGGTGGCAACCTGGCGAATGGCGTCCCCGGCTCGCCAACGACACGATCTTCGAGATCAACACAGGAAGGCTTCGAGGATGACAAAAAAGGCCAACGTCGATGGGCTTCAATGATTTCCCTATCTTTCCTCAGCTTGGTGGTCATCGCAATACTGTGCCTTGGCTTTGCTGCTCCTGCGATTGTGGAAGAATACGCGCAACAGGCTGTAGTGTTTGACCCCACAGATCTCTCGATCAACTCGTTTACTGCTACTGGTGTTAGGGCGAGAGTCCAAGGCACCTTCAAACTCGATGCATCAAGGGTGAGGAAGAAAGCCATTGCTGACATTGGCCGGTTTGGTACGTGGATCGCGAAAGAGATCGAGACGAAAGAATCCGACGTCAAAGTGTATCTTCCCGAGTACGGCAACGTCCTGCTAGGTGTTGCTGATGTGCCACCAATAAAGGTCAACGTACGAAACAACCATGTGAACACTATCGATTTCTTGACGGATCTCGAACCTGGTGATATGGATGGTATTCGCCGTATAGCCAATGACTGGTTGGACGGTCGATTGGGTTCTTTGAGAGTTCAAGGCGTGGCTACAGTGCCATTGAAGTCTGGGATCTTTAGCTTGGGAACTCAAAAGATTTCGCAATCTATGTTGTTCGAAGGTCAATCCTTGTCAGGCGTCCTTCAGTGGACGTTGTATTGTTGCTAACCTCAGCTGCAGGCCACGACCTCCCCGCTTTCCCTGAATTAGATGTCAAAGCTCTAAGCTTCCATGAGATCGGGCCTCCAGGGCAACCGGAAGGCATGGCGGCCATCGCCTCAGTCTCAATAATGAACGACTACCCCGTCCAGTTCGATATCCCACCACTCCGCTTTGACGTACTGGTTCCCAACTGCTTGCCTGATCAGGAATATCTTTTTTTGGCAGATGCCAAAACCGACGCAGCACATGTCCGGCCGAAACAGTTCGTCAACATGAACATAACCGGATTGATCCAGGGATTACCCCAAAAACTCACCACCGCATGCCCCTTGTCCAACGCATCCCCACTGGATGCGATTCTAGCCGACTATTTGCAAGGGAAGGACACCACAATAATTGTCCGTGGAGGCACTCGCCAAGAAGCAGAAACTCCTGGTTGGCTGGTCGATCTGATCAGGGGCACGACTGTACCTTTACCACTTCCTGGTCATCCGTTTGACAACCTTATCCGCAATTTCTCCCTGGCAGATGTGCACTTCAGCTTACCTGATCCATTCGCTGAGCCGGATACGCCAGACTCACAACCGAAGATCTCTGCAATTGCCAAGGTTCTTGTAGCCCTACCAGAGGACATGAACTTTAATGTTGATGTTGATCGCGTAAGAGCTGACGCAGATGTGTTCTATAAGGGTAGGAAACTTGGCAAACTCGACCTACGCAACTGGCAGAAGGCTACAACAACGAAGATCGAAGAAAATAACCAAGCGGGTCTCCTGGTTCAAGCCAAAGTCGAAGAAGCGCCTCTCAATATCACGAATGAAGACGCTTTCACTGATCTTCTGCAATCTCTGGTCTTTGGTGGAAAAGGCGTTGACCTTGGTATCAAAGCTAATGTGGATGTGAATACCAACACTGCGCTAGGTGCATTCGTTGTCCGCAAAATTCCAGCCGAAGGAAAGATTCACGTCAAACCCCTATCAGGAGGCGGCTTTTCCGACATGAGGCTACAGATTGGGTCCCTCGAAATTCTTGAGACCACTCAATCGTCCTTGAGGGTACAAGCAAAAGCCAACATCACCAATCCCAGTGAATATTCGGCGCGAATACCATACATTAATATCAATATCCTCAACAATGACACGATTCTAGGCAGTGTGTTTGCTAAGAATCTGGATATTGTTCCTGGAAACAATACCAATATTGTTGCTGTAGCAGTTTGGAACCCGTCTGGTATGAGCGGTGCAGAAGGAAGAAAAGTTGGACGCGATCTGCTTTCCCAGTATATCTCGGGTTACAACACCACTTTAACACTAAAGACCCACAAGGACACCATTCCCTCGCAACCAGCTCTAGGAAGAGCACTATCGAACCTCGAGATCGTCATCAACACGCCGAAGCTATCAGTGCCGCATATTCCTGGCGATGGCGGCCATGAAGACGATCCTGATCAGAATGATGGTGGACCACATTTCATTCGTGATGCAACGGTATTGCCTGCTTTCCTTGCAGTCTTGTGATATCAATTTCTAGCAATGGAACATATGCATGTCATTCGATTCACAGGACGGATTCACCCCTCCTCAGCGAGCAGTTCTCTGATCGTAATGCCAGTAACCTAACAAATCTCTGTGCCCACAGATGCACCTTCTCACCTCGACCGCCTCCTTTAGACTCATCTCGCCCCTTCCAAAAACGACTTTGTACATCACCTCGATCCACGCGCTTGCGTTCTACAACCACACCATCCCCATTGGCTCAATAGATCACGAATTTCCTTTTGCGGTCCCTCCTGGCGAGTCAACCACCCCTCGCTTGCCTGTCGTTTGGGACATAAGTGGTACTGGAGCTGATGCTGTGCGGGATGCTCTAGGTGGTACACTGAAACTTGATGCAAAGGCGAATGCTAGTGTGAAGATTGGAGAGTGGGAGGAAAGGCTTTGGTTTGTTGGTGGCGGGATTGGCGCACATGTGGTGTTGTGATCGGGATTCTTGGTAGACGGAGGATTTGCACAATGATGAGTATGTACACATATGGGCAAGTATAAGCTTTGGGAGCATGCTTGCAGGTTACCGCGAAATATCTGGTGTTCGGCCCTTTCGAAGAGTGGCGGAACGGTTGACGGAATGGCCTCATGCAACATGGAATTGACGGATTGGAAAACCACGGAGTCCTTCAAGCGGAGGACGTGAGTGCACATATAGCAATAACCATGACACCTCAAAATATATCAGATTTCTTCCACTTTTCTTGGATTTTGTGCGGGTTACCAGCAGCGACGGCACAGTGAATGCCCAAAAGCGTACATGTACAAATGGAGGAGGCGAGAAACCGCAGCGACCCAAGCCGGTTTCGATTTTCGAACCGTCATATCCGGATAGTCATTCATTTGACGTGATTCATCTGGTCTATTCACGTCTACCGGATTACGCAATTTCATTCTTGCATCGATCTTGTATAGGTGTCTGAAGGTTCTCATCTAGTCTATCACCATCAGACTCTGGATAGCTCACGGCCTCAATGAGAATCATTTTCTCGCAATCGCCACAAAAACATTCATCTCATAGCTCTTGCTCCTCACCGTCGCGCTGGCCATATCCTCCTTCAACTTCTCCTCAAATCTCTTCGTCTCCTCCTCACTCCACCCATTCGTAACCGATTTCGTCAACGCCTCCATCAACAACATCGACCCCGGCGTCGACCACTCTTCCCCTTTCATCCAAGTACCAAACCTCTGAATCTCGACCTTGTTACCCTCAAACCCACCGCCCTCTATCACAGCCCTCAGTTTCTCCTCCTTCAGCCACTCCTCCGGCAAGGGACCCTTCCAAATCGGTGAGTCTGGCCGGATAGCCTGTTGGACATGCTGGAAGACTTCAATGAAGCCCTGTTTCTCGAAGCTGGTCACGAGCGCGACACCGTCGGGTTTGAGCGTCCGTTTGATCTCGGCGATTGCCTTGAGGGGTTCTGGGATGATATGGATCGCGGCAGCCATGTATATGTGTGTGAACATGTTGTCTGGGAAGGTGCTCAGGTCCATGGAGTCCATGACGTGACTTTTCACGATGTCCTTGGGCCATGATTCGCGTACGGCTCGGGCCTCGAGGGCTCGAATCATAGCTGCTGAGTTGTCGGTCGCATGGATGGTGGGGTAGTTGCCTTCTTTGAATTGAGGAAGGCGGAGGATTTCGCCGGTGACGATGCCAGGGCCGGCGGCGTTGTCGAGCACTACAGAATCAGATGCCAGAGTTGGGCTGAGGTGGAGAAGTTGACCGGCTATCTCTTTCATGACGGTGGAGGTGTGTTCGTAGGTTGAGGCAACCTTCTCGAAGAGGGAAGAGGTGTCAAAGTGGAATTTGTTGCTCGGATGTGATGGAGACGCCATGTTAATAGGTGTCGAGAAATGTGTGTGACGAGACACTGGATGATGGCAGTAAAGAAATGTGGAATTTATCCTTATGGATACTGTGGATATGTACCTACACTTGTCTCAAAGAGGGTCTTGGGATCATGAAAGGTCAGGGCGAGTGACTGTTGTCAAGTTATGAGATAAGAAATGAGTGTTTTCAAAGGAAAGATCTCGAAACCATTATATGGATGGACATCTCTTCTACAAGTATCCGAGCTCAGAAACTCTGCTGCTCTGACCAAACATATGTCTCCGAAAAAATCTCCGACAAGGGCCTATACCAACAGTGATATGGAAGTAAGTTGAACGTCATTGTCAGTAGAGCGGTAGCAACAACTAGCCAGACCTTTGCGCTCTCAAGTCTATTATTGGAAAGTATGGAATTGATTATTGAGTAGGAGGAGTTGGCATTACCTTCAAATGGTGGCATAAACTTACGAAGTACAGAGTCATGCCCCAAAGCAGTGCAAATACGCTGATATTAGCCTCGGAGACTACTCTAGACTAGCTGTTCTAGCGCTCATACTAATTGGTATGGGACTTAGAACCGGATTACTCCTTCGTTCTTGCTCTTAACGCCAGAATACTCCTTATCGTCGTTATTGTCACAATCTTCTGCTTGGTGTTGAGTTTTTCTATTGATAAATTGTAGTTTGAAGAGCTTGCCTTTGACTTTAGTATCTGGCTAGCTGCGTTTAAAGCCCTGAATGCTCTCTTTGTACTTGAGGAAGAGGAAGAGGAAGAGGAAGAGGAGGAGTTCTACAGCTATCCACCTTTCTGGCGTAAATTTTGACATTTTTCTAATTGGTTGTTACAAACGCGATGACGGACAAGAGCTTATAAATGGCAGATAAACGCGCGGCCCACCGGATTATGCCCAATCAATGTGGCCATAGAAAAACAAGTCTGAGTCTTTAAGCCAAAGATGATCTAGGAAATATCTTTAATAGGTTTAAGGTTGCAATAGATGTCTGTCATTCGTTGAGACCAATTTAGACATTTGCGCTATCTAATTTCAGCCACCAATGAGAAAAATGTCAAAATTTACGCCAGAAAGATGGATAAGCCTGTTTGTGTGTACGCTGGAACGGCTAAGGAGGCTATAGCTCTGAAGCGGAGTTTCTGCAGTCATTATATTGATATTTGAGCTCTAAATTGTCAGAATCCCTGCGCATACGATACGTATCTGTTACGTATTAGCAGGATGATACAGGGGTCCCCGCATGCGAAACGCACGAAACGCTCTTGTAACTTTTACGCCCTGTTATTTATGGCAGTGAGCATTGCTATACGAATTGAACGCCGAATGCTGTTTCTGAGCTGTTGCAGTAATGCGCTTCTATAGCTATTAGTGTGAGCAAATGCTCCTCTTGATAGGAGTAACTCAATCAATTCAATTGGAATCTCCGTACGCTATTTGCTACATCCTCTAACATAAATAGCCCTAATTAGGCAGTAAAAAAGACGTTGAATGTAAACATAGTTCGCAGAGGATACACAAGCTCCTTATAGCAACTAAATTCGCTGTCAATATTAGTGTAGAGCTATTGTTGAATTTGCAATCAATATCAGTGTAGAGCTCAATTGTTATAGGTAACTCTTAGGGCCTATTAGGCCGCCATCCAAATTAGTGTGTGTACTAGGTCTAAGCTGATCAGCGCTAGTGACGCGCTAATGTTAGCGTATTTGCACTACCTTTAAGGCACGACGCCCTACAAAATCACCGTTGAAATAAGCCTTATGAGGCTCATGTTAGCTCGTACTAGACCTGAGACATACTACGTAGTAAATAACGTGGCAGTCACGTAGACTTTACCCTCTCACGGTTAAAGCGTCCTTTTTACTTCGGCCTTCCTACTTGGGTATAGTTGTCCTTTTGTCAATTCACACATGTGCATCACATCATCACGTCGTGGCCTAGCGGTAAGTCATGCGGGAAATGCCGCTGCAAGGAACGATCCGATTCGTTATGTCCTTTTGTACTCGCCCGCGCATTTGTGCAGTGATGTTGGCCTTGCAGCCACCCGACTCACGAGAGTCAGCTGTGTGTTGCATGGTCCGCCAATCAGTGGGCCGCGGCTGAGACAGCCAAAAAGACCCCAACGCGGGCCAATAGTAAGGCTCTTTACATGATAGGAACCTTTCCACATAACTGAGATCAGGCCCCCCGTAGTAACGAGCGGAAAATGTCACTGCTTTGCACTGGATGCTCAAGGCATACCAACAAAGTCACAGGTTTCTCTCTAGGCTTCCATTTGAAGTTGTATGAGTAGACATGGAGGTTAATACGCTTTCAAAGCGTTCATCATCCTCCTCCTGGCTTCATCCTAACTTTTCTTCCGGGGCCATACGACCGCCGGATAATGGCCGTCGATTGTGGTGATAGCCCGATACACTTCTCTCTGGGCACATTGCTGAGATATTGATGGAGATTCTCCGCTATAGGCTGCATACGATCAGACCCGGGAACCCGTCATGAGGAGCTTCTGGATCTTGGGACTTGCTCGGAGCTCTTTCAACATAGCCCGTAACGGACCCTTTCGGAACTTTGCTGCGATGAGCACTCGACAAAGGCGAGATGATGGGCTTGCGTTGTTCGCCGCTGCAGTCGAACTTCCGACACGTTTCCACCTCTGGACAGCATACTCTTATCCCACACCTCGCGACTTCTTGGCTAGGAGACCAGTACCCAATCAAGTCTCTTGTCTGCCTTGTGCAGGTTCATACCTATGGTCACCAATGTTGGCGCCTTACGAAGGCGTGACCCATGCCGGTGTGTCGTGGCTCAACCTTACACTATCGGCCCAAGTTTGCTCGTCTGCGCCCACGCCGTACCATGTTAGCAAATTTGAATCCTATCCATGGTCAGCCTTCCCTTGAACCGGCAGTCATCTCGATTTATCGTCGGCGATTGGTGTGCAGTCGATGCTTTGAGGATGGTACATACACACTGCTACAATCGCGCTGGGGTATCATTGAGGAAGTTGTCTTGGCTTCGTGTCGCTCGCAGGCGGTGCTAAATCCATGCGGTCGCCGAATCCGGTCTAGCTCATCGGATCGGAAAAACCACACGGGTTCATCTTGGCATATCAGGTTCTGCCAAGATGGAGCCAGGGAGCAAATGGACCTTTGGGGAGCAAAGTGATGCGATCCAAAGCTGCTCTCGATGTCTTGCGCATCCCTCTACACTATACTATCTGCAGTGGCCACCAGGAATGCTTTTATGGTGGACATGAGTTGCGACGCCACATCCACCGAACACATAAGGATGTCACAAACCTTTTATGTGCACAGACATATTACCTGACCCGACGTTTCTGGCGAATCGCAAGCATTGTCGCAACATGAAGACCTACGGTGCAAATTATAATGCCGCCGGACACCCCAGAAGAGCGCATTTCCACCCTTGAGAGACGCCCAAGGCTGACAGGCAAGTATCTCAAAATCGTGGTGGGGGAGATGAACCCCCGATGGAAGCGGGACTGGGTGACCGATAAGAAACTCGACATCATTGCAATACAGCTTTCTAGCCATCACATTTCGAGCCACCGTTGGCTTTTCTCGATGTACAATTACTGGACGACCCAAGGTACACAAAGCTTTATCAAGGTGATCCTTCCCCATCTCGTTTTGTGCACAACCATACAGGACCATCAGCTATGGTACCATTGAGGTGAGTCTCCAGTCCGTTGAGAACCACTACTACGAACGCCTGTAGCTTCCTTATGCATCGAGCGTCGGAATCCCATTCGCCGGACTAGTGGTGCGACAATGCCTTGAAGATTTTCCTGCTACCCATCTTGATGGGGATTGTGCTGTTCTCTTGTATGAGCTGCTTCTGTCTCCTTGGGCGAATACCTTTGCCTGCTCCGCTTTCTCTTTGCGTCGCTCTACTTGGTCAGCTCGGGCTCTCTACTTGTTTGGCTTTTCTTACCGTGATCGGCTGAGACATTGTCCTGGTTAAGATCTCTATTATCGATCCCAGTCGGGTAATTCTCGAAGCGCTCTGCCAGAGCATAGGCCGACCCAGCGCCTGCGACCATATCCCTGACTGCTCTGAGGTTAGGCGGTAGCTAAACCCGCAATTTTGATTCTTACCTGGTGGGTGACTCTCTTCCATATCGACGAGGCGCCAGTCGATATCTCCTCCAGCTTCCGAGTCGCCTATCAAGGTCGTGCTTCCTGTCAGGTTGTCAATGACATGAATACAAATTGCCAGCAGGGTTGGCTGCGAGGAAGAATGCCACATACCAAGTGTCTTCGCTCCATCTGCTACGTCGCTGATGTTGCCAAAACCACGCAATTTCTCCACATCGAGAGCATGACCGTCAGCTCTAGGTAGGGCATACCCTATTACTGACCCAAATTAGTTCAAACTTCGTGCGGGAATACAAGACCCTACCATCGTTCGCTGCTCTCCGGCTCCTCTCAAGAACGTCGGCCATATCAGCTGGTCGGCCGCCATTAGCAATGTTGACCAAGGCCTCGAGATTCGGCCGCCAGTTGGCGCTATCTGCTGAAAATGATTCCATGTTGATGGAAGACTTCAAAAGAAGCAAACTCAAATTGAAGGTAAGTGTGTGTCGCTGCAGCGCTGAGAGTCATAAGCCTGAGGTGTGAGGTGTGGTGGTGTGTAGAGTTTCTGGGGGGAGCCGATTAGCTTGGGGCGGGGTGCAGAGTCGCTTTCTCACTTTTTGAGATCAATTACTCCCATTCTTTCTACACAGACATCAAAATAGGAGTTATTTGCTCGCCCTGCTAGACATAAATTCTTTTCTCTCCACATTCCGCAGCAATCGTTCTTTCAACTCATCTTCGTGCCGTTGGAGTATGAATTACCAATTTTACGGTAACGTTGTTCCACAACTTGTGGCCATAGAAGAATGCCTAGCACGAACCCGGCCCACGATCTGCTGCTTTGCCGCCTGGAGATGCGCATTTGTGAGAACAGTTCCCTAGGCTTATGCACACGACGCCTAAAATATCGAGATCCACAAATATGTGCTCTAACTCCTGCGAGAATATATTGTGTCATTACCTAGATGAATTTTGATATCGTTGCTCCATGCCAGCATACCCTCTTCGTCTTGTAAGTTTTGAGCTTCAGATCTTATCTGACCTAATTCGAGGTTTACAAGCTCGAGCTCTGTTCCATGTAATTGTGCTATTAGGGAGACCTCGGCCCAGAGCGGAACGGAGATTGCCTACTACTAGTAGGTTACGCATTTACAAATGACAATTTGTTGTAATGACGCGTTTCAATATCCCCGCGTATCTTGAGGCTCCGCATCATCTTTAAAGATGCGCAACTTCAGGCAATCAAAGGGATGAACACCCCGTTAAACACTGACAATGGCGATTCGGTCTTCATCTGCCTTCGATCTCTGCAGGGCTGTTCATAACTCCTCGCAAACATGTCCGAGACCACATCACGAGTCGTGGAGGCCACATTCAAGGCGCCGGCATTGCAGGTGTCGGAGTGGGACAGGCATCGGTCGCTTATTACGAGGTTATATACCACAGAGCATAAACCGTTGAAGGAGGTTATTTCGATTCTCCATGAGCAGCATGGTTTCATTGCCACGTATGAGGTCCCATGCTCACACAAATGTCCAGACTGACAGCGTACAGACCTCGTCAGTATAAGCAACGTATCAAGGCATGGAACTTGAGCAAGAACCTGAAGTCAGAAGAGATAGAGTACGTACTACGAAGTCTTCCGAAAGATCAGCTGCAAGATGCAATCATGGATCCAAGCCAGTCCGCCGTTACGGTAAAAGGCAGAACCCTGCGCCTTTCGTTGCTACAGCGATACCTACGGCGGACACGTGTTTCACAAACACCAAAGCGCTGTAGCCCAGCTTCGTCGACGCGCCCACAGTCAGATGCCTCTTCTTCTCATGGCTCATTTAGAAAACTCCCGCAGGCCCAGACTCCTCTACCAGACAATTGCAACGAGTCAGCTCCAGGGAAGATTCAGTTACTATCCACATTACCTTCCCAACCACAGACATCCTGTTCAATTACAACAAGTCCTCACCATGTGTCTCAGAGCTCTCACGAATTCGAAATGGAGGATGACTCGTTCCTTGCGGGCTTCAAGCGTTTTAGCGCGCCTTCTACCACTGAGAAACGTACCAATTTGAGCGAGGAGGGAGATGACGATGCTCGAAGGAAACGCCGCAGAGTTCCAGCAAGGAATATGGCATCGTCAACAGGAACGAAAACATTGGCATGTCCCTTTTACAAGCACGATCCTCAGAAATACAACCCCCAGAATGATAACATCAGTTCCGCTATGCGCTACAGAACTTGCGCAGGCCCAGGGTGGGAATCGATTTCGAGACTGAGGTATGTCTTCTGCCTGAGCTGCAATCTCGCTTGCTAATCTATTAGACAACATCTTTTCCGTGCTCATATTGCTGCTAAGCACTGTCCTCGATGTAACCTAACACTTCACTCGAGGAGCGAGATTGAAAATCATGCACAGGACGGCTGTAGTGATCAATTGATTGACTTGAACTCTTCTCCCGAGGCTATTTCGGAAGAACAACAGCGTCAATTGAGAAGGAAGCAGCCGTCGAGTCTCACCAAGGAAGATAGTTGGCTACGCATGTATGGCATCCTCTTTCCCCACGACTCGAATATACCCAGCCCATGTGAGTGACTATCCTTATCCTTGTCATCATCGTCTGGCAACTGATGTACAATAAGATTACCAAAGTGACAAAGAAAGGTCAAAAGACGCGACGCACGTTTCACTTTCGCTGGACCAACCTTCCCCTGAGACTCAGCAAATTGATTGTCTGGTCCGGTATTTGTGCAGAATTCTACCAGACAAGGTTTTGAACAGATTGCAAGGACAGCCGAAGGCAGAAAGTCACTCCATCTGGACGGAAACATTGAATGCAACAACTCTACAATTCGCAGAGAACCCAATTCAACAGTGCTCACGAACGCACAATGAACCACACACTGAGGCTCATTCATGCAACACCGGTCAATACTCAGCCACTGAAGAAGGGCTGAAGACAGTCATATCTGAGGGTGTTCTCGAGACGTGCAGCGAATGGTTAAGAACTCGCATGGAACAAGATGACGATAGCGATGAAGAAAAGTCCGAGTACGAGAACGAGCAGAGCCGGTCCAGTAGCAGCCTGCAGGACCTGTCTCTTGCTCCGATCACGACTGTGCCAGATCAGTGGAATCGGTATGCTGAAACCCAAACACCCGGGGATCATCATTTGGCGCCCTCAAGCACTGTGGTAAGCGACTACTGGAGCCAACCAATATTTGATTTTACTTCCTGTGCTAGAAATCTCAACGCGACTACGGGGGCACTTCTCGGATCGACACACATGCAACTACAAGGAAAACGATTATCGCTTCCATCCGCACAGCCAGGTTGGGTGCATGGTGGCATCTTTGACGGTCCTGCCGGTGGCACCCCTGGAGACTGGATCTGGTCATCCACCAATCTCTCAGCAGATCCCTCGACATCTTGACGGCAGACAGAGATACTAGCAGGAATAGCGACTACGCTTCCAGACTGGAATCAAGATCCTTGACAGACATTTATTCCTCTTCTGCTGTTTACGGATCTCTACTGCGTTTGTTGCATGGTCTCTTGATACTTCACCCTGCACTTTACTACTCTCCAACGTGTCTTCTCCTCGTCAACATGACCGGCTCCCGTATGGACTATCTTGTTCACTCTCGAGCCCATCGGCATGTATTTAGCTTCTCACCACCAACTACTGACTCTAGTTATCATTTCCGTCATTCCCGGCTAAACCCTCAAGCTCATGACCCCCTTGGCTTTCCTCTTTACCATGCAAAATTTCGATACACCACGCTTGCACGCCACCCATCAATACCCTACCATAACCTTATCGACAGATTTCTACATTAGACCGAGGCTTCATCCAAATAAGGCTCACAATCTTACAGTTTTCAGCAGGCAGCCCCTTCTACCTGTCAACACCGACTCGGAAGAGCCGCGGAGCCGGATGGCTTTCTTGCTCTGACCAGCCAACCTCTATGGGATGTGCTGTCAAATCACACCCTTTTCTTTATTCCCGATATCGGCCATTGACGGATGCATCTTTTGCTGGTCATCGCCCATTCTTTTTAAACTCTGGCGCCCAGGTATCCCTCTTTATACTCGCGCACCCAGATTTTCAAGCCAGATCCGTGAACGGAACATGATGGACCTTTTCAACGGGTGGATGGGATATTTCATAACCTGGCGAGGGACGAAGAGGTCTCGAGTGAAGGCGGGCCGTGAAGCTGATCCTTGGAAAGGGGTTGCAAGATGTGTGGTAGCTATTGTGGATTGGATGCCTATTGGTTGAGCAACCGAAGGGCTCTGCGTACTAGGATGTTCACTCTCAATGATTCCACAGTATCCTTTCCGCCCTCGCCGCCGTGAGCTTTTCCTGTTCTGAGTGGCTAGAACGCTTCCGTGTCCTATGCTATTGCAAAAGCACTCAAGACCATGCTTGCAGGCCAGTTCCCCCACCCCTGATGCTAATTCACACCACAGTCCTCCCCAACGATTGCTGGCACAATCGCTGGACGACGGCTCACCGTTTAAGATCCACCAACCTCGTTCATTACCCCCCCATCCAACTTTAACACTTCTCCATTGACATAGCCACACCTCGCCAAAAACGCAACCGCCATCGCCATCTCCCCGTCTCTGCCCGGCCTTCCCGCTGGCACCTCATGCCCCTTATCCTGGACCTTCTCATCCGGCATATGACTCTTCTGCTTATCGTCACTACCCTTCATCGTCATCTCACTGGGAAAGTAACCTGGAGCAATACTGTTGACTCTAACGCCCGTCTCTGCGAACTCCTTGGACATCATGGCCGACAAATGCACCGTGGCTGCTTTGGCGGCGTTGTAACTAAAGTGGCCCTGGGAGTGACGCATCATGCCTGACATGCTGGAGATGGTGATTGCGGAGCTGCAATGCTCTTTGGGTGCGGCTTGGAGGAGCGGCAGGCAGGCAACGGTGGTGAAGTAGACGGCCGTGACGTCGGTATTGTACGTAGAGGCCCACTCCTCCGGCGACTCGGCGTTCCAGAGTTTTTCTTTCAGCTCGCTGGCCGACCCGGTGTCGGAGATGCCTTTGGGACCTGAGATGCCGGCGGCGGCGACGAGGAGGGAAAGATATTTCTCTTTCGAGGAGATCTCCTGGATGAGTTCTTCGAGGGACTCTTTGGAAGTGACATCCGCGCTGACGGGGATGATCTGGCCGGATGAGACTTTGGGATCGGGACTGTGCTGTTTGGCGGCGTTTTCGAGGACTTCCTTGCGTCGCCCTGTGATGTATACTTTTGCGCCTGTTCAAGAGAGTGAGTAGGGTAAATCCGTGGGAAAATCCGTGGGGAAGATCACCGTTTGCAACCAGGACTTGAGTGGCCATCAAACCAATTCCTGTGCCACCTCCTGTGACGAGACAGACATAATCTTTGAGTGAGAAGAGCTTGCTGACGCTGAGTTCTTGGGTGCTCGCCATGTTACAGGATCTCGGTAAAAAAACGGATCTGAGAGAGAGGTGAGGTAAAGATGATTGGAATAGAGAAAGGAGATTGTGAGCGGATAAGAAATCCAAGGAAGAAAATATACGTGGAGTTTGGACGGAGGACAATTGAAAACCGTTCTTGGGGAAAGGTATTCCGGGCTAAAGCAGCATGTTCACGGTGACGTTGGGTGAGTTGGGTGAATTTGACGTCAGCGCCCGTTCCCGTACCTGGCACGTGACCTTTTCTAGAGCTATTGTGCTACTCGAGTAGTTTTCTCTCTCCTCGCTCCTCGCTCCTTGCTCCTCAGGCCACCACTCTATAAACCTCGAAGCCTGTGCGAAAAGGTGGGCTTGAGCTGCAGGCAATTTCCCCTCTGCTGCTCTACTTGACCTAGCGTTCCTCTTGGAAAGCTGTGCTTTCGCCAGACGTGAAGCTGTGCGACTGAGAAACATAGCTCCCAAAGCCTTCGATTCCACTCCTCCCAGGTCGATTTCGGTCTGAATCATGGCCATCATTGCGAGATGGTTCAACCATTCCTGACACATGAGCGCATTGCGCCGGACGACCTGATAGATAGATTCGTCTCGACCCTTAGCCATCAAGTCTTCAGCGCTTTGGCAGCCATGGCCCTTGCGCCAGCCTCAGTCTTGTGGCCTCCAATGAAACCACTCGCATGCACAAAAACAGCTCCATCCTCAACCTCGTCGCCAAGCATCTCGTCGAGCTCTGCATCTCTCAGGCCTCTCCAAGGCTCAGGCAAGGCTTTCCTGCTCTCAAAGCTTGACACGCTTTTAGAAACGGCCTGCACTCTCCATTTAGAGCCTGGTTCCTCCTTTTCGGCGTATAAAACGTAGAGCGGTTTCTCGCTTTCCTGCAGGTTTTCGTCTTCCTCCAAGTTGTAGAGGTGCTCTTTCCAAGGAGTGCCAGCCCGAGGCAAGACCATAATCTGACCGGAAGGGTGGTTGTTCTTCCTTTGGTGAAAGGCTTCTTTCACAGTAGCCCGTGCTGGCAACCAGGCTGTGGCAGCGCTGTGCAGCTTTCTCAGAAAAGCATTTCCCATCATCTGAGACGCTTGACTAAAGCGATAGTCCTCCTCTGCTTGGGGTTGTTCTGGTGTAGATTTCGAGATGCCTGGGTTCAAGGGGTCTTCATGGTTCAAGTCTCCCACCAGGCTTGGAAGTGTGATACCTCCTTCCTTGAATCTTCCCTGAATACCGGTGGCTTTAAGCTTCTCGTCGTCATATTTTGAGATACCATTGTCGTTGGCATCAATAGCCTCAACGAAGTCATCGTACAGTTTCTGGAATAGAAGCTCTACATCTGGGTGAACGGTTGGTAATTTAGTATGTTGTGCAATGATAGCTCTGCCAAAATGCATGTAGACAAGTCCTGCAGAGGAGAGCTTCGTTTCCCGATTTGGGAAAGTTGTATTAAAGGTACGCTGGTGATGGTCATATCTGTTTCTTGCAGCATCATATTCTCCCCCAACATCGACGACCGTATGGCAAGTATCGAGGACCGTCGGATCACGGCTTCGCACAAGAGGAGAGGACATGTAGGCTGGAAGCAGTCGCAGCATGTACACAGCTAGAGCTTCATCCGCATGAAAATGTCCACTAGACGGGCCATTGGGTCAGCACTACTCTGCGCAGCGTTGAAATGGTGGATGCTGACTTATGCGTGCCTATAAGGTGTGCAGACGTTTTCATCTTCTTGACGGCGATGCTTTCGGCCATGGCCAACAGACGATGGAACATGCACTTTGCAAGATCAACCACGATGAGGATGGTTCCTGTATCCTTCTGTACCCTGGACCTTTCTCGGATCCAATGAGGAAGAACCGGCTACACCGCAGTAGCTAACGTAAAACGGTTTTAAGTTGTGGAGGGGAGTTGAAAGCTGGTCGTGTAAAGGGTCGTGTAAAGGGTTGTGTATGGATCGGAAGCCAGTGCCTTGAACGCAGCAGAGGAGACTACTCACATTACGTAGTAGGATTCTCATTGGCGGCATGGGCTGTCAGTGTCCAACCAACGGAGATGATTCATCCTCGCTCTCCCACGACGCTCTGTGATTGCCCTGAATCCCTGGTAATTATTCCATTTGTTCCCGTAAAAACTGCATCATATTGGCATAATCAGCGGCTATCCCTGCTCGCTCTGCCTTGGAAAATGCAGCTTGGCTGGGCTTCTCTCTAACTAGTGACCACAGGCACCACGCTCCGCAGTTGGCACCAAGGTTCACACCCTTCACAAGAACTTCAAATTTCTTGCCGCAGCACGCGACACCTTCCTTTCTGCGCCGTTGTCTGCACCATCGTTAGAACAAGACATCCATCGAGTGCATGCTGGAAGCCACACATTCATTGTCTTTCCAGCGTGTCGGTGCTGCTTGAATTTTCTACTGCTCCCTCCTTTCTGACATGTGATCAACGCTGTAACCAACTTGGCCACGGAAGAATATCACACCTGCTCCACAAGGTGACCGCGATCTTCCTCCTACAACATATGTTCCTTCATGTGCTGTTGTTACTCGAAAATTCGCTTCATCCCGAACACCTTACGAGCTCCACCATAGCAGTCGTAGCGACGCGCCTCTGGCGCTCAAGGCGCTGCTGATGTGGCTTCTCCGCATCGTGTCCTCGACCGTCTTCCTCACCACAATCATCCTTACAGTCCCTCTATCCTTCGATGTCGGAGGACGAACGTGCGGACTCGGTTACTCGTTGTCTCTAGCCTCCTTCTACTTCTTCCTTTCAATCGTTCGACTGTCCACGCCAGATCGATCTCGTGTCCGTTACTCGATAATACAGCTGGCCAGATGGACGCAACCAGCCATCGTCACAGCTATCTTCTTGTGGTCACTTGGTAGATTCTCGCTAGACGCCGGAAATGAGTCTGGATGGGTAGAACGCACCTTCAGTGGGAAAAGAGCAGCGGATACCTCTGTCTCGCAGTGGCTTTTTGGGCGCAATGGGCTAGTGGAATCAGCCACACTTGGATCGTGGGATAAGCTGCTCAGATGGTCGACGCCTGTCTTTCAGCTTTGCGAGGGATTCTGCAGCCTTCTCGTCATACAGGCCGCGGGACAGTTGACACGATGGCTTGTAAATCGTGGCGAGCGGAGTGACAGTTGGATGATTGGACTTCTGGTCTTCTCCGCATCGGTCATCTCAAGTTCGGTCTATTTTCTGTACCGTGTCATGCAGTTTCCAGAGATCTCCAACGTTGACGCGAGTCTGATAGGCGCAGCCATTGCCTGTTCTATTGTTCTCTGCATTTGGGGCATTGGCTCCGGCCGAGGAAATCCGGTCGAGTCTTCCCTCCTTTTCGCCTATATCGTTCTTTGCATCTATCAGATCTTCACCGACTACAAGCCATCAGACGTGTCAAAGACAGAAGCTGCCACAGCTGCACAAGGAACTCCTGATTTTCCGCCTTTTCCACCCATCATTATGGCTTCTTACACGACTCTCATGCACGCACTTTCTACACTACCGTCGACGCTCATCGTCTCCTTCAACTTCATCACCGCCGCATTTCAGACTATCACCCCAAGCGTCCTCATCTCTCTCGGCTACCGTCTCTTTGTGCTCTACGCTTCCACCCGTATCATCCCAGCTATCAATGAAAATGGTCCACGTGGTCTCAGCGTCGAGCCGACACTCGAGGACAGCAACGCCGCAAACCAATTTCTCGCGTTTCTATCATGGTTCTCCCCAAGTATTCTGGTCGCGGTCTACACCAGCCTTCTGATGCAGCACTTTGCAACCACAATGGGTGGATACTCTCCTGGCCTCACGGGTACCATCGGAGCGTGGTGGAACGGCAACGGCCAGCCGGGTATGGATGGTAATCTTTGGAAATGGGTCAATCTTGTTGGGACCATGGCCCTCTACGCTCTTGAGTTGTGGCTGGGCAAGGAGGACGACATCGACGGAGGACATTGGAAGGTTGATTGAAGAAATGACGACGACAATGGACGACACCGAAGACGAGCTTTATACATCTGATAAAGATTGATGACCATCTCGACGCCAACAATTGGGGGAGTGACCAACATTGCTGTTCACCATCTGCGCGGAACGGGGAATAAGCCTTCAATGGCTTGGCGCCACTTGCGATTCTGGAGTGTCAATTGGAGTAAAGGGCTTAGGACATGGTTGAGCTGGCCTGAGCTGGGTTGAACTGAGTCGAGCATATTCAAAGTCTCATTCCGACAGTTTGGTTCGCAGATCCGAGAGTATTCAAGGCCAGCCCCCTCGCGAAGCGGTAGCCATGCGGCGCTCATGCCACTTTCTGCAAACGCAGAAGGGCAGGCTATTCTGGGGAAGCAGGGAAGAGAAAGGCTTAATCACCCAAAATGCAGCATTGAAGCTGTTCAGCGTATCGTACTGCCGATCTTGCGTTCAACGAAAGTGCGAGGAAGCAGCAGGCAGAAGGGGAGTGCTTGACGAAGTGCAATTAGATGAATTAGACGCGAGCCGAGAAGCATCCGTCCCAGTCGAATATCATTCTTGATTTATTTTTTAATTTTTTTTAATTTTTTAATTTTTGGTCACGAACCTGTGCTTGAACCATTCTGCAAAGTCTGGAAACGGGTATCCATTATAACTAATACATATCCCCTCTGAAATGCGCGGCAAGTAAAGTACACAGTAGTCAGCCAGCCTGTTGCCTGGTATTGTTTGATGGAAGACTCGTTCATTCACTCAGACAAGCTCTGAGTTAATTAGCAGCGGAATGAAGAAAGCTCGTTTCTTTGCACGACCCTTGAAGTCTGCAACGAGCAGTAAGTACCACATTAGAATTGTGAAGAGAACTCCAGGAGCGCCGGCTTTCCATGCCTTCAGGATGTGTGCTAGCTATCCGAGTAATAGCATGAAACACCAAAGGAAGCTAAAGGCCGGAGGAGAAAGGCCCCTATGATGGAAAGATCAGAGAGCCGGAACAGGTCGTCTTCCAGCTTTTCTCCGTTCTGCTTCTCCTTCTCCTTTGAAAGAGCCAGCCGGTACTTTCCATCCCATCCCATCCCATCCCATCACAATGCTCATCTCCGAATTGGCAGCCCCTCCTGCACCACCGGCGGACTGATGCTCATCCCCTGCTGCAACAGCGCCTCTTCCCCATTCCCCTCTCCTCCATCTTGATCCGCCGTTTCCTCCTCCCCGTCGACTTCATCCGCGCTAGCCGTCCTAGCCAGATAACTACTCTCCTTAACCGGACTCCGACTCTGCCCGCCCGAAATCCCCACCGTGGCTCCATGCACCCCCTGTACGCTGCGCCTGTGCCCAGCCGCAGCAAGCCAGGACCAGGCATCGCGATCGCCACCGCTCATGCTGCCGGTGTGGGGGATGGTGGCGGAAGACGGGCTGTTGAGGGAATTCGCCGAGTTGGGGGGCGACGACGCCGAGAGGTGCGGGATGTTTTCTGCTTGCGGGTGTTCGGTGCCGATGGTGGTGACGCCCGTGTCGGAGGCTTTGCCGGCTTTGGAGAGGGCATAGTCGCCCGAGTCGAAATATTTGCGCTCCTGGTGTGAGATTTGGGTGTCAGGAAAGGGGGGTTGCGTTGTGCAGTTGGTAAGAGCAGCTGGAGGAGAGAAAGAGAACTGGTGCGGACGGGAGGTTGCGGTGTAGGGAGATGCGGAAATGGATACGTACCTTCAACTTGTTCTGGAGGAGATCCTTCTTGTTGGGGAGTTTGCCGTAGAGGCGGAAAAGTCGTTGCTCGTCTGCGGAGAGGGACTGCGTATGTGATACACGAGTTAGCGGTGGCTTCTCTTTTGTGGTTCAGGGAGCAGGATAACTGACGCTAATATCGACTTTGTTCTTCTGGTGAGGGTTCATGGCTGCGACCAACTGCTGAGCTATCCCACGTGACGGTTGTGAAGGAGAGGTAGGGCAAGAGTGCTAAGGTGTGGTCGACCAGGGTTGGGCCTTGGTCCACGTGCCACTCGAATGCGAACAAAGCCGAAGCTGACGATTGTGGTACCACGACCAGTCAAGTAGAATTCGCTGAGCTGGAGAAAGAGCTTCAACGTCTGATGATCGCGAGGGTGGCTATCTGACGACTCTTCTGCACGATTGTTGTGGTAAGGTTGTGGTAAGTGCCCCCTTTCCTTTGGACCAAGACTTGTGACAAGTTGCCGTAATCCTGCCCGTAATCTTGCCTTTATCTGTGAGCAGTGTGATGTGAAAAGGACCGAGATATCAAGGATTTAACGTTGGTAGAAGTGATCGAGGTAGTGGGAAGCACAACAGCGAAGGATAAGGGTTTGTGTTCGCTGTTACACCTGAATTGATGCTGTTTTGATTATCCGCCCTGGTTGCGAGGTCAGTGCCAAAAAAGTGGGGTGCTAAGCTTTGAGGTTATCGATTAGGCTAGTTTAGCCGTTGATAATTATCGGACCACAAATGGCCCGGGAAGTCGGAAAGTCACGTTATTGTTATTGCACAATCAGCTCTGTACATTCTCTCTCCACAGGCATATCGCTCTACAAACAGACTCCCTCGAATGCAAACTTTGTTGAGCTCCGTATATCATACTTCATATTCTGGGCTACCCTTGAGATGCCCCTACCAATTTCAAAACAATGGCATTCTCCATGCCGAGATAAGCTGGGTTGTCCGACAGCTGCCCCTCTAGCTACCCGCTACTTCAGATCACCTGAGCCCCGTCGAGGAGTAAATACCCTTTTAGACGTCGCAAAATGTTTCCCATCACATCATAGGGTCAACGAAGTTCCTCTATGCTCTAAGAGTGGATACTTCAATCACTTAGGGTTTGAGGAGCAGCTGCAGCAGCAGACCTATTACCATACCATACGCATTTTGGCCATACTAGTCTAGCCATCTTCCTCAAAGGTGCTCCATCTCACAGCAGTGGCAGTCATCAAGAAGGTCTCTATCGCGAAGGATACATGAACTACGTAGTAGGTGTGGTTCGAAACCCATTAGCGCTGTCCTTTTGGTAGAGTGGTTGATATGTCCCTCCAGAAGCTAAGCTCTCCCGTGGGATACCACATCCAACCGATGTTAGTGGCCATAGGTCGATTGTGTTTCACCAATTCGGCAGGATTCTCGCAACATTTGGTCAACATGCTACTCCAGATCTGGTAAGTTGGGCGTTTTCAATGCGAACCATTTTCTCCGGAATAGAGAATTGAGTCATGCCAAGCGGTCCAGTTGGGGATTCTACCGCGGTAATGCCATTGCCATGTGCCACGCCATGATTTTCATCGATGACACAACCCTGACAGATATCCACGAAGTTTTGCCGGTCCATGAGCATTGCTCCACCGTGAGATCTTGCTGCTGATGTGAGCAGGTTGGATCGGTTGGATCTACACAATCTGTCCTGATGAGTAGTGGATAAACTCCTCTGCCGTGGCTAAATCTCGGTTCAGTTATGGTAACATGGTCGTAAAGAGTCGTCCTGGCCCAGAATTGTATAAATCAGACCAAAGCGGCAATTGTTTTCTTCCAGTTGTTCATCTCCTTTCGCCGGCCCTTCTTCTGCTTGAATTTGCTTACCCTTCAGCGCTGCCCCTTGCCTGACCAACCATGGGAGACACTTCACATCCAGCTGATGCTCTTGAACTGCAAGATCCACACAGATGGATACAAGGTCATCAGGGGCATGACGATTACACCAGCACGAGTGGTGGTTTGGAGGGATCTGCCGTTCCTCCAGAGCATGCTGTCTCTGCACTGCCTACCTGGAACCAGAACAAAGCCAATGTCTTCAAAACATTTTCCACGTTTTCGGCCTTCATAATAATGGGTGCGAATGATGCAGCATATGGTGTGAGTAAAGCGTTGTCAGGTCGAAAATCTCGAAGCACATGCTGACCCGGTTCACAGGCCCTCATACCTTACGTAGGTTGCATTTTCTTGCTTCCATAAGTCCCAAGATGAGGATAGATGCTGAGGCAATATCCAGCTGGAACAATACTATCACATTACTTACCTCGTTGTCTCCCTCGTGTTTCTGTCTCCACTCGTGGGCTATGTGGCAAGTGCTGCATTGAACAATCTTGTCCATGTTCACTTCGGTCAGCGAGGGGTAGCACTCATTGGGCCAGCTTGCCATCTTATCGCATACGTTGTGATCGCCCTTCATCCGCCATACCCAGCCTTAGTCTTGGTCTTTATCCTCGCCGGGTTTGGAAATGGTCTCCTTGACGCCGGCTGGAATGCTCACGTTGGGAATCTTGCAAATGCCAACGAGGTTCTGGGATTCCTCCATGGCTTCTATGGCTTAGGGGCCGTGTTGAGTCCGTTGATCGCGACGGCGATGATCACTAGAGCTGATTTGATGTGGTACACATTCTACTATATCATGGTAAGTATTTGCATCTCACCATGTGTCCCTTGTTCGGAGGGCTGACTTTGGGGCATCATTCAGATTGGGGCTGCTGCATTAGAGCTAGCAACATCTGTTGCTTCCTTCTGGCCAGAAACAGGCAGCAAATATCGCAGTACGAATGGTACGGAGCACTCCCAGAACAAAGGCGCGACTAGAGAAGCCTTGAAAAAACGCGTGACATGGGTGGCTGCCATGTTCCTTTTGGTCTACGTCGGCATTGAAGTCGCTTTAGGTGGATGGATTGTGACGTTCATGATTCGCGTTCGCAACGGCGATCCCTTCGGCGCAGGAATTAGTGCTACAGGGTAGGTCTGAAGCAGCCATGTTGTCTGCATCTGGCACCGGAGGAGATGAGGTACTGATCTTTTGCAGATTCTGGCTCGGTATAACCGCTGGTCGCGTCATACTCGGATTTGTCACACCTCGGGTGGGCGAAGACATATCAATCGTCCTCTATCTGGTGGGAGCGACTGTCTGTCAACTGCTCTTCTGGCTCATTCCTTCATTTGTCGGTGGCTCAATCGCGGTAGCATTTGTCGGCTTCTTTCTGGGGCCGTTGTTTCCCGCAGCAGTGGTTGCAGTGACTAAGCTTCTCCCAAAGCATATGCATGTACCAGCCATTGGCTTTGCCGCTGCTTTTGGTGGTGGTGGGGCCACCGTCTTGCCCTTTGGGGTTGGTGCCATAGCCCAGAGGGCGGGCGTGCAAGTGTTGCAGCCAGTGATCGTGGCTATGCTGGTGCTAGCAACATCACTGTGGGCGATAGGTATGCCTAGGATCAAGAGAGGTGCGGACGACGACAGGTTGGGAAGAATGACGGCGGCTGGTAAAAGGGCAGGAAGGAAGATCAGTAGGAGATGTGCTGCATTCGTGTGACTTGCACGGCCCAGTGATATGGTTTGAGGTAAAAGTCGAAAAGCTTAAGTTATAGAATGAGAAAGAGGCCAATGAATAGGACGTCGTCGGCTGGCAAATGTATGTGGCTCAAGATTTGACGCACTAAGTGCTCTACCATTCACCAGAAGCAAAAAGAGACAAGTGCAACACGATATATTTGAGCTTCGAATGTTGAAGTCGATCTCGGCAGTATTTTTGACAACGCCCAAGATTGGCTGCAAGGGCGAAGCTTCGAAATTGCCATTGGCGTGATGAAGAACATTGCTATCACACACAAAAGAAATTGAGGCGCTCCTCAACGGAGTATATAATAAATAATATAACGTGGATCTCTATCAGTAAAGCATTGAAAAGCAGCGCCGGTCCAAAGTCCACTCCATGCTTAAGAAGGCCACACGAATATGGACCAAGAAGACAGATTGACACCAAACCCGAGTAACAGCTCGTGTTAGACGCAGAATGCCAGCAGGCTCATGCTCTCCCATATCACAATATCGTAGCAAGGGCAATGTCATGTAAGCCAGAAGCGAATCCGCTCGACGCAGCAATTTTCAGCACCACCTGTGAGCAAGTGGCACAAAGGCATCGTTCAGAATTAGAGAGGCTATGTCGTTGCTTGATCTCCGAAACCTCGGGAATGTGTGGTCGCAATTGAGAGGATGCAAACAACAAGGGTTATATAGAGGCCGTTTGACAATAAATGTGGAAGAAGGAAAGAAAGAAGTACTGAGGATTTTTTAGGGCTTTACAATTGTTCCGAAATTTGGGTCACGTGGTCTTGGCTATCTGCTCGGCTCCACCACAAAGGGAATATGTCATCTTTGCTACGGCTACAATCACAGTACCGCCAATGCTTCGACCAAGCGCCAAAAATCCCTGACTACCCAAATCCCTACACTCCTATCTGGCAGGAGACATTCTAGTGTTCGTCGTACCAGAATTCAAGCTCACTCTGCCGATCTCCGCGCCCGTCTTCATCATCATCATCCTCTCCATCATCGCCCTCTTCTTCATCGTCCACTTCATAACCGCTGTCGTCCATCTCGACATCCAAGCCCCCATCAGAAAAGCTTCGCAGGTCGTTGTCCGAGTCAGCCTGCCTACTAGCCAACCGTTCACTGATGTACGAGCGTGGAATCATGACGTTGTTACGAGCGAGCATTTCCCCAATCGTGTGACGTGTGTACCCATAATCGGTCCACAGGTCAACAAAGCGTCCAAGCTCCTCGGGAATCATCGGGATTTCGGACCTGCGGGAAACTTGTAGGACCGTGGGAGGCATGGCGCCAGCCGTGAATCGCTCCGACGCGAATTCAATCTCAGGAGGGACAAGGTGCACGAGCGAGATGCTCCAGAGACGCTCAGCCAGCATTGCGTTGAAGTCGCATGGTGCTGGAATCGAGGAGGCGCCGTTGTTCTGTGCTCGGGCGAAAGGGTTCACCCGTCCGTTCTCGTTCTCGAAGACGGGCTCGAGTCGCCGGCTGTCTGTTCGCACGTCCCAGATCAGGGTCCCTCGTGTGCTGCTGGGGTTGTGGTTTGGATTGCCTTGGCTCAGGGCCACGAGTGCTGCTGCTGCTTCCATGTCAGCAGGTGTATGGGCAGGGGGATAACCTGAGATAACTCGCACGTTGCGGTTCGTTTGGTTGCTTGCGTTGTTGTTCGGCATTGCGTTCAAATATGTGGGTTGTGTAGGGAGCGGGAGTGGTTTGTCGATTAGCAGAATCATCACTCGACAAGATGCCTCTATTTATGCTTGAGCTGCTTCTTTCAGACTTCACATCGACTGCCAGACAAGACAAAGATCGTCGTCCAGAACAACGACATTGTTCAGCTTTTGAGGCCCGTGACCTCTTTCTTTTAAACAAAGTGATTGTCTTCGCTTTCTACCTAGCTGCCCGCTGGACACTAATCGTTAACGTACAATGCCTTGTCCAATACTCGCGCTGGGTGATCATTTTCACTTGTGGCTCAAATAAGAAGCTGCAAGGATCAACTCGTGGTCGATCTACCCAGAAGTTCTTCAAAGCATAATTGAAAGAGTCTTGCTTGGTATGCTGAGCCTAGCAACTGTTTACCAAGGATAATTTTATGGATCCCAGACTTTCCCAGCATAATCAACAGGCTGTCGTCAAGGTTTTCAAAAAGCTGGAATTGGAGGAGGTACTCTGCATCATGTCCTCTATGGAAGTTCTGCAGCCATTTATGCAGGATATCAATTCCATGCTCGGGCTTCACAGTCTCCTCGTACTGCTTGCGCTGGGTGTCGGAGTTGGGTACCCAGGCAATATTCACAACATAATCGCCAAAGCGACATACTGTTTGTAAGTATTGCCTCGTCGACTCTAGATGTGTGTTGCGGACCGTGTCCCTGAATTCCTGCAGGTTTGTGTACGGTCGTTGCTCGAGATGTTTGTAAAGCCCTGGTTGACTCCCACCATGTCTGATCCTAAGATCAATAATTTCTTTTATTGTTTTTTGCATCTGCAAGGTCGAGCGCCGGGGTGGGCTTAGATTCGATATCTTGTATCGGGACACCTTCACCGGCCAGAAGGGATTCACCATGGACGTCAAAAACCTGGTTTGACGTCATTTAGAGGCTCGGGTGAGCAGAGCAAGTACACGCACCTTAATGGCGAAGCCTCGGGGCTGAGGAATGCGATCCTGATAGTTGTTCGTGGCCAAGGCAAAGACTCCATGATAAAATCCGACGTCAGGCCCTGGATCGCCTGGCTCAGAGGAATAGCGACAGAGGACTGGCCATTCACGCTCGCCGGCAAACATGCTTTGCTTCGGATGAGGTGAGAGGTTCTTCTCAGTCGCAAGCGTCCCTTTAACGATACCTTGAGTTCGTACATGTGTACCGCTATACCCATGTCGGGTGCGGTTCCATGTAGCTTTTTGTATGCATTGATGGTCTCTGCTACTGCATTGATATCTTCCTCCTCATTTGGTGGTATCTTCTCGACTCCATCGTCATCGCACTTGATGTAATATCTTCCTTCAAGTTTTGTGTATTTTTGACCTCTTAGTTTTGGATCTCCAATAGCTGCGGAACCGTTTGATAATGTGAAAAGAGAGGACAGACGCTTCGATTCTGGAGCGATTGCTTTAGTGTATCGAAGCTTGCGGCTCACTGCACCATCTGATAACCACATATATCTCTCAAGAGTGCGGGGCAGGCCTGAATGCATCCGTGATTCGCTGTAACACGCCTTGTTACTGATTGGCGAACTGTCTAGGACTGGACAACCCGGCGTGAGTTCTATGGGTAGCACTCAATTGTTGGGGTCATAGCTCAAATGTTCCGGACAGAGGCAGCCCAAGTCGAGGTACTTCCAAATACTTGAGCTACTAATACCTTTATGTGACTTTCCCTGGCATGAATTGTGCCTTTCGCAGGGGCATATCCAACCATCCCCACATTGTACCTGTCGAGGAGGTCACTCGATGTTCATTGCAGCATCAAGGCGCGATATTTCGAGGCCTCACTCTAAACACGCTCCGCGCAATCCCAATTGGCATGGTATATTTACCAAGCACAGAACCAAAGTGTAGAAATTGCGGTTGCTTCATAACAGATAAGAATAATGTGAAGGGTTACGACTTAGTAATTGTGCACTCTGGCGTGCCAAGATCGGCTTTTCTGCCACTGCGGCCTGAAATAACTCAATTGAATACTAGTAGGGTAGATTTTGATTGTGAAGCTACAACTATGAGCATGCTTGCGTATCGTCTCAAAGCATCACTGGCATCATGTTTGGCAAGCGGAACCACACTTTGAAAATTTATCTTAATTAGTCTGCTAGAGAGTTGATCAGGTTGATCTGTCGGCTTGTTGATTCCTTCTCAGTCTGCCCAAATGGGCAAGAAGCGAAAACGCGAGCAATTAACCCAGGATGAGGTTTGGGATGATTCGGCGTTATTGAAGTCATGGCAAGATGCACTTGATGAGTATCAGGTAGGTTTGCCTTAAGTCACTCAACTCCACTAACAGACTCAGTTCTATCATAGCATCCATGCTAAAGGAGAAAACGTGGAAGATGTCTTGCGCCAGGCAGAATCGGACGACGCCGCCAAGAACGAAGATGTCGTACCAGCACAGTCTTTTAATGATCCTCCTTCATCAGATAGCGCATTGGAAGATGGGGAAGTCGATGAACACGATACAATGACCTTCAGTAAGAAAGACACTGGCCAGTCTGGCGACAATGAACCGGTACGCAATAGACTCACTCCTGTCGGTTTGTGTCAGTCAGTATTCTCATTTCTAAGTCATCGACAGGTGCGCTTTGCAGAAGCACAGAACATTGAGCCCCCTCCTACAGAGAAGATCGCGGGCAGTGCTTTAGGTAATTTGAAAGTCGTCAAGACGTGTTCCGAATCCTTTACCTGCAGACTAGCTGATTTGTGCAACAGCTTCCATGGATCAAGATCAAATTCTGGAGAACATAAAGATGGCTTACTGGTGGGCTGGGTATTACTCCGCACTGTACGATGCGAAGCGAACGGCGACAGAGCCATCCAGGAAGTGAAGTGCGCGGAAGACCCCATGATGATTACTAGTCTAGGAGTGCAGAATTAAGTCAGAGAATAATGAAGCGTGTTGGGTCGCATGCTTGAGAAGGCCATGCTTAGCCAACTGCAACACGAAAAAGGTAGTACTCGGGAGGACGAAATCCGATGAAGATCCTTCAAAAGGCTGATTAGGATGAAGGAAAATGTTTCGTGAGATGTAAGCGCGCTGTTTGCGGGCTGGGTCGCTGTTCCTGACCTGGGCGGTTAGTTTTCTGAGAGAGTAGCCAACGTGATGCAAGGTCTGCCCAACCGCACTACAATCGGCTATCCCAGCGGCATACTGCATCTGTTTGCAGCGCACGTGAGATCAATGCTACGGGAGACAAGTTCTGCTTTCCTGCGACCAATGTGATTAGAAAGACAGTAATGCAGCCTTGGCGTGGTGCAGGTTGCAGTGCAGGGCTGCAGTGTCATTGCGGGACGGGCCAAAACATCAAAAGCGTACAGTGGCCAAGAAATTGACGCCGAGCCTCATTGTAGTGTCTCGAATGTCAAACCTGGGTTGCTCATCTGTAACAAAGTCTGTTGCTCAAAGTGTCGGATAGTCCATACACTGGCTGCTCCCACTTCTTCATGTTGCTCTCGGTCCTATAGAAATCCGATGCAGCCGCCATGGCCTTCTTGCAATCCAGCAAGGCTCATAATCTTGTGCAAACCTGCGAGGACTCACTTCCTTGCACAGCACTGCCCACTGAGACGGACTTTGCACCAGCACCCCATTTTCTCCTTATCTAATTCCAAACCATCCTCTTGACCTCGATTGAAGACTTCCAACCCTCGCCCACATTTTCTCTCTGCTTCTGTTCTGTCTCATATTGTTTCTGCATTTGCTTCTAAATTCATTCGCTCCTTTGATCGGTTCATCGCGCTCACGAGCAGGCTCTCGACTCTTTGAACCTTTAATATTCACCTAACACAAGAAATCATCATCATTGCGCAAGACAAGATCTATTCCTTGATATCCGAACACCTTCCGTAAAGATGACTCGACTTTTCGCGCTATTGCCCTTCATTATGGGTGCTCTAGCTAACACGGGCTCTGAACCCAAGGACATGGGTGCTTCCGGCGGCGGAATTGACTCATCCTCTTCTATCAACAGTGACGGCAAAGAGGAAATCCAACTCAATATTGGACCTGTGCAGATCAAAATTGTTGGTTCATTCAGTGGCCTCGGCAAATGGCAGTGGGAAGGCGCCAAACCGGGCGAAAATTCGACCGTTCATCAGGTAGGGCTGTTTCTCGAAAAACATGTGCGAGGGTGGACTGATTCCAGCACAGGTAACTGTTGGCGATCTCAAGGATGGCCAGCCAGTACTAGCATATGACCCTCCCAGTATTGATGCGCAGCCGGGCGACTATGTCCAGTTCAATTTCAAAGCGAACAACCATACCGTCACACAGTCCACCTTCGAGAAGCCTTGTGTGAAAATGCCAGGCGGTATGGACTCTGGCTTCATGCCTAACATACAAAACAACATGCCAGTGCCACCATCGATGATGGTGGCTATCAACGATACGCAGCCTCTTTGTAAGTTCTGTACTCTTTGGCAACGTTTGGCATTCTCTTGCTGACTTGTCACTTCTCAGGGTTCTACTGCCGTCAAGGGACTCATTGCGGTGAAGGCATGGCCTTCGGCATCAATCCCGGCGGTGCAGCCAAGATGGATGAGTTCTTGAACCTTGCCAGATCGCAAAATGGTACCAACGTGCTAGCTTCGAACAGCACATCGTCAGGAAATGGTACTGCCGGTGGTCAGAATGGACTGCCCGCCAGTTCTGCGGTTGCAAACCCAACAGCTTCACCACTATCAAATCTCGTTCCTGGCTCAGGGTCCGAGTCTGCAGGTGGCCCCGGTTCTGGTGGGGACGCGTGCAACTGCAACTGTCTCTGCGACCTGGGATCACCAAGCAATGGTGGATTGGTCGGATCCATTCCCCTTCCAAGCGCTGGTGCGCTGGGCAGAAGGAGTGTGAAGTACTGAGTGGCAGCCATGTAAGATGATAATGTAGATGGTCAGGGTGTTCTTGGTTGCTTGTTGTTTTAAACCAGGGGCAGTAGAATATTAGGCACCAGCCTTGCTTCTTGCCGCTTGTTTGGGGCTTTGGAGTTTTGGAAAAGAAGGACTAATGTGTGACTATAAAGCAAGAAAAGGCTCCTACACGTGGCCATGGATACAAACACGAAATTCAAATCACCTGCCGTGTTTCCGAGTCTCATCTGATTCTTCCATCTGTGCTGGGAAATTGTCCTCGAAGTACTAGTATCTCGTCCTTCTTCCACCATATTACTACAGGGGGGCATAAATATTGTTCGACTGGCGCTAACAAGCTTGTACCAAAACAACTTCTTCACAGAATCCAGATATAACTATATATAAATCCAATCGTAACCATGTATCGCTCTGTCTAATGCTTTTACAAGCAAGTTTTCTAAAGTTCAGAAATCTTCGTCAGACAGGATTGCTGTAGGACAACTACCGAGGTTGTAGTCCGTACATTGTAGCCAATGAATGTGTGTGGCGCTGTATGGTAACAAGCTGATTCTAGCGACTGCCTAACAATATCTATGTGTCAACCTGCTGTGCAGAGTGCGTAGAGAAGCAAGTTGATTGATAGCTACGGGGGTAGAGAGCGTAGATCTATGTACAATTGGCTGTACCGTACAGCGAAATTAGAAGCGAAATTGCGTCGGAAATTGACCAATTAGAAGCAGCAGAAACGCAGGGATTACGCATATTAAACGCGGCCAATTAGCCCTCTCAGAAGGTCAACACACCCCCCCAGGGTCAAATCGTGCCGAATTGAGCCTGTATGAAGCTCACGATAGGCTCAGAAATCGCCTAAAACGGCAAAGCGTAGTGTTTCCTCCTCTTCCTGCAACAGCTCATGCTCAACCTTTAGCACTTCTTGCTGTTCTCCTCCTAAACGGGTCGAAATATCCACCAAATTCAGCTGTTGAACGAACGCAGCGTGCTTCTGCGCAGGAAGCGGCTTTGTGAGGCCGTCCGCGGGCATTTCTGCGGTGGGAATCCACTGCAGCGCTATTTTGCCGTTCTGAATCTCCTGACGAAGCCAGTGGCCGTGTATATCGACGTGGCGCAGCTTGGTGGCGAGTCTAATACCCTCTTAAATGGTGATGGACTTTGCAGCTATCGCTTCCGCTGGTCGTACACGTAGGCCACCTCAGGTCTGATACCATGCAGCACTGCCCACCCACTCGCTACGGCTTTCATATTCCGAATGATGGCTCTCGACATTACCCGGTTCCTCAACACCCATCCGGCCCTTCTTGGCATGAGGGATTTCCGCCTGAGGTCATCAAATTAGCAGCCTACCAATCCATTCATGTTTCTCACGGAATATCTCGGCACCACACAAGACAATAAAAATGTACCCTGTGCTCGGCCGGATGTTGCCGCTTTACTACCGGGGGGTATACTACGTAAATATTGTTAGGCTGGTGCTAGTAGCAAATAGTTGTGATAACAAGGTCACACAATCTGAGTGGTTTTGACTTGCCTCCTTAGCGTCCGCTGTACTGCTATATCTGTGTGACTAGTAGCACTGATCAAATAGAACTCGCTCAATGATGGCTCAGATAGACTGCGGGATTATAGGATATCTGTTCATGCATCTTAAATTAAGCATTTGAAGATCCTTTAGTTGAAGAATACAGATGTAGCTCATTAAATGATCTAGAGCAACGTTACTAGCTCCAGCCTAACAATACTTACTACGTATTTATGCACTCCCACCGTTAGTAGCTAACGTTGACGAGGCTAAAAACGAAAGGCGATCAATGCCAGATTGAAGGATATCACCTTATCTTCGAGGTATGTTAATGGATTTTCTCCTCATCTCTAATACCTTCGAACCCATCGGTCAAAGTAAGAGCTATCCCACCGGTTATGACCATCATAACTATCATACCGGAACCGCCGGCCTGGGCTTCTATTGTTGCTTCCCTTCTCACCCTTTAGACTCTGCCGACAGCTCACCCGAGCTATCATGCTGCATCCCATCTTTGGGTGGGGTGGCACTGGCTGCAAAGATGACTATCCTGATAGCAGTAACAGCCTCCTTATTCACCCACTTGAACGTCTCTCTGCGTGCCAGCTCTTGAATCTCTCTATCAGCAGCAAGCTTGAATTCTGCAGCGAATTTATGCTTAGTCATCTGCTTCCAGCTGCGCGGCTCCGCAGGCAGCGTATCTCTGTGTAACCCATCTATTTTTCCACTTTTTTCGTGCCCTGCAGCGAATGCTGCATAGAAGGGCGTGAGCTCAGTAGTCTGCGCAAGCGCTGCGGCGTAATTCTGACGTCGAGAGCTCATACGAGAGCGTTTCGAGCCTTCTGGCAGGATATTTCGAGAGTCGAAGTCAGATCGATTTTCAGAGGGCGTAGAAGCGCTGCTAGGCGCAGAATTCGACTGCGTAGAAGGCGCAGGATGCTCAGGAGGCGTAGGAGTAGGGTCAGGAGTCGGTAACCTGTCAGAAAGCGTGCCAGAAGCACTCAAATCGCAGGGAGTTGGCGCGGGCGTAGAATTTGGCGTAGAGGCGCTAGGAGAGTCGTTTTCGCCTGCTGCGGATCTTGTGCCACGCTCCCTCTCCTCCTCCTCTTTAGTATCTGCACAGCTATTTGGCTCTGCCGCAGCCATAGAAGGAATTTCAAGGATCTCTATAACCTGGTTAGTCGATTCGCGTAAAAGATGGCCTATATCTAGCTCTGCAGGATCATAGAATAACTCTTCGTTAAACGTAATATCCCTTGTTCGTACGACCTTCTCCAGACTTGGTATCTAAATTCGATAAATATTCGTTGACTCGTATCCTACCAAATACCTTATATGAGCTCTCAGCTGCAGCTTCTGCAAGCGTGGTATGTGCTTATTTAACAGATAGGCTCTATATCCGTACGTGCGGAGATGAGCTAGATTCGGCTTCTGCTTTAATAGCGATTCGTATGAGGTCTTCCACTCCTGCTGGCGCTTAGGCATACAATTATTGAGATATCTAGTTGCTTTGACAATTTCTGGCCACAAGCTAGCTGGTAGATTAGCAGCTATACGTAAATAGCGCGCTTTTCTGATTATCACCCTCCTAGAGCGTTTAGCTGCGCCGTTTTGTTCTGGAGATGCTGGAGCAGAGCGCTCTATGGTTATTCCTCTTTTTGCTACTATTTCTATATACTTGCTGCCTAGCGTTCGCTCTCCATCTGTGCGTATGAAGCTCACGGAGGCGTTATAACGCGTTTTGACCATATTCAAGAATTCTTCGATGATGCTATACGCTTGTGACTTCTCTTGATGCGTATACACAAAATCCATGCCTGTAATAAAGCAGCAGAAGTAGCTAACCCATTTATCGTTATTATACCCTGCTTCTAAAGGTATCAAGTTGTACGCCACACGCTAGAGAGGCTTTTTGGCAGGCTCTGATTAGCCAGAGCATTGAGAGATAATTTTATAAGCTGTGCTTAATACACAGGGTTCGCAGTCAGTTCGCAGGGCCATAGAAGGAGCAACGACTGCTCCGTTGACGTTTTTCTGCAAATGAGAGATAGCCTCTTGCCCTGGATGCCCTAGAATAGCGTGCCAACGGTCAGCCGTGGCCTTAATCGCCTCTTTAGGAGCTCTGCTGCTGGCGGCGAACATTGATAGAGTGCCTTTTTCAACCGGTAGAGGATTGAATTCCAGTGCCCAATGGCTGCCGGCACGCTCAACGTAGCATAGCGTTTCTCCTGCTTTGTGTAGTCGACTTTGCTACGTATCCCAATGGACTCCTTTTGCTGTAAATCGATGTAGAGAAGCAGTATTCATAAAGAACCCTGGCACAAGAGCAACGTCAAGGAGCTGAATCTGTGTCAGGCCGTTTGGCGACCTCACGTTAATAATAACGCGACCAAACGCCTCAATTGGGTATATCGACTTCCCTGCCACCATCTTATCATCCTCGGTAGCCGCACGCTCGTATATGAAGCGCTTTGGGTCGTTGCAAACGTGCGAATTGGCGCCTGAATCGAGAATCCACGAAGAATCCACGTATCTCAGAGCTCATAGCTATCCCAATCAGTAGCAAACGACGTTAGCGGCGTTGGTAATGCAGAATGCTGCTCATTAGATTCCTCTGGAAGTTCGGACTGCTGTTTCTGCTTCTTCAATCGCTCTTGAAGCTTATTCGCTGCGCTTT